TATTTCACAGGGAACAATTTATCACTTTATGTGTCTCCTCTCCACAATAAAAATAAGTTTTGCGTTTCACTCTTGGAGATTGAATTGCTAGTCTCTCTTCAAACTCTATTTTGAAATTTTTTGACTTTGAGTCCAAGGAGACTATAATATTCAATCCTTGAAGTACTTTCGATAGTCTAACCTTCCAACTTCTTTGTTCACTCAATTTTTACAAAGTGAAAACACTCAAATAGTTTCTGGCAAAAACGCTCTCTAGATGACAAAAATTGTGAATAATGAAATCCAAAAGTTTTGTTATACTTCTCTAGTTTTATGCCCCTTGAACTTTAGAATAACATAACATTGTACCTAGATGTGATCTCTCAGTGAAGCCTTGATAAATACATAGATTATCTTTCAATACACAGGCATTAAAATTTTCAAAGACTAATTTTCAAAAATAAATTTACTTACTTTGAACAAATTCTCCCGAGAGCTTTCATTGGTATCTATGAATACTCCCTTAAATTCAAACACTCATAACTTGCTATAAACATATGATCCAAACTTGAAACAAAAACTGAAATATAACTCAAGTTCCACTTTAAAAGCACTAAAAACTTTTGAGAATGCTTTCAAAAACTATTTTATGTCCTTAAGACCACTTTTTCGTTTGAAAAAACATGCTCATGTGAACAAAAGATATAAAATAACTTTTAGGATATCGTATGAGACTACTTGATATACAAAATATTCTTCACTTTCAAGCATGTTCTCAGCTCTTTTATTCCCTAGTGTTAAATTCAAGTGACCTCTCATGGACATTTTCTCTCAAGCTAGAAATTGAATCTTGAGCATTTTGACTTCTAGATTGAGATCTCGGCAACGAAATTAAAAATGCAACCTTTGGACCGATTCTCATTCAGATATACCCAAAAGACTTTGCAGTAGCTCATAATGTTTCTAGAAGACTAGATTTTTTCCTCATAATCATACTTCAAACATCCTTTCACACATTCTCTCCACTCATCACTCAAGCTTACATTGACATTCCAAGATGCTAAAAACGTCACTCTTTCATTGATGAAACAAGTCTTTACATATGAACTCTCCAAATTTGCTTGAAAGTCTCTTCCCTACGTCTCTATATATATTACTTGTGAAGATACCATAATTATAAATGGTAATTCTTATCTAACTTACTTTTACAAAAATAAAGCATAGTAGGTTTGACTATGCTATGATATGTGACAACGTGTCATTTGGACTCCTAAATCTTCTAGAAGTATTTTAATTCTTAGATTGAGGTGACAACATGTCATTCGAGCCTATCTAACTTCTAGAAACTCTACTTGTCCCTTAATCAACATTAGATTTAGTCTAACCAATGAAATACATATAACTTAGTCAAATCAATAAGAATTAATTATGTATTCAAAGTCTCTCATCTTTAAAAACTGCATTTTGATAGAATACAAGATAGTTGTGCTCATTCAAATCTTCTAAAATTCCATTAATTATTTTGCCAAGTATAGATATTATAGCTAAACATTGTCATAACTTGATAAACTGAGTAATAATTAACTAGATTTAGTTAAATACAAGCTAAATATGATCAATTTCTTGGCTACTTCTAATTCTACTTCACACATACAAAAATTGATCTTACAGATCCGCTGGAATATAATATGCAAACCCAAGCCAAAAGGAGGGATGTGCATCATGTGCATAGTTGACACAAACGCCTACCTGATGAAAAAATGAATGTATGACATACTCGATGAAAACGCTAATGCTTGGAGTAGTGTTTTTTCATAAGTGATGATTTAATGTAGGCTCAAACACAACAAAAATATCATACGGAAGAATAACAATTTACTAAAATTGATCTTTACCTTCGGCCGTTGCACTTGTTTGAAGCTGAAATGGGAAGTTCGCTTTTCAGTTGTTGGCAAAATATTATACCTCAAATGATGTACTCATGAAGTGCAGATTTCAGGGTACCTTACGCTTAGAGATGTTGATCTTGACAAGCACTATCCAGCTTCTCGTCATATTTATCAAGTAATGATTGAACTTTGAATACTAAGGTTGATTGAGGTTGAAGCTATGTAGGTGAAGAAGTCTCTTCTAGAAGATTTGTATGTTTTTGGACAGGAAAACGCGTCCAAGAGACAAGAGGTCTCTCTTGTTTATTTGTTTTTCCAGAAGTTATACACCTCCCTTAGATTTGGTTGCTCTCCTCTATGTTTAAGTGCTACGTGGACTATGAGGTACAAACCAATTTTGGGCAGTTTAACAAAAGCAACAAGGTTAAGGAAAAAGAAATACAAGACAAAAAAATATGAGACTTCACTTTACATGCTTCTAAACAAGAAATGGGACACGAACAAATCATCAATTTAGTGGGAGCAGCTGGAACGTTTACAAGGACAAGATTTTCATGTGAAGAATCCTATAGCATGCCGTGTACACCAAGAAGCGTGTGTCCAAGCTTGGGCATGGAGAGGTCAAGTGCTCCAGGGGCTACAACAAGATGAAATCAATTCATTTCTTGTTTGACTGCCCCTTTGCAAAGCAAATCTAGAGGGCTATAGCAGATTTGAAATAAACAACAATCAAAACGCAAAACATTTTTATACAAGCAAAGTTTTTGATTGAACTCATAGAAGTAGCACTAATTCAACAAATTGGTAGTCATGTTTCTGCACAGTGTCTGATTACAGCTAAAATGTGTGGACATTTGTGGCTAAGCAAAAAAAAAAAAAGGTTTTATTTTCAAATGTTGTAGCACATGTGAATGTACATGATGGAGTCCGAAATACAATAAACAAGGCAATTTTTAGTGAAAAGAGTTCCCAATGGATTCACCAGCGAGATAATGGTTAGAAATTGCTAAATCTCTGCTGATGGTTTGTTTGCTTCTTCGATAATCATCAAAATTAAACGGTTGTTAAATAATTATCTATAAAGTATTGATCTAGAAGGAAGGTCCGAAACTCCCACACACAGGGGCAGTGACTGGACTTGAAACCTCTCTTGTGAGGGTTGGAGACGTGTGAATATTTAAATCTCAACTTGTTGTAGATACAACTAGAGCAACATCTTGCTAGTTGAATGTATCACTAATAACTTGGAGTAGTGTACTAATAAGTGAATAGTTTGATACAAGTCATACATCTTGCATGAAATGTATGTAAGAAATTTATTTGGGAATGTCATTTACTTTCAATATAAATACCCCTACTTACATTGCAACTTTAAGAAATAGTATGTTGGAATAACGGTTCCAATGAGTATGGAGTTTAAATTTTTGAAAATCCTTTGGGAGTATTAGAAAGATTTGAGAACAATTCCTATTATTCATTGAAAATAAATAATTTAGATATTTTAAACCTATGCGTATTGTTGAACTATGCAAATTCCGAGATTGTTGTGAACAATCAAGAGACCCTTTAAGTTCAGAAAATTTGTTGCTGCATCATGTTAGTATTGGAAAAAAGACTAACACACATTTTAAAGAGACATAGTAACAATTTGCCTTAGAACATTAACAAATATATGAATGAACAAGCTAAAAACAATTTTCTACATAATAGAGATTTATCTGGCTCTTCACATTCCCGTACATACATAAGTAAGTTGTAAGAACTAAGTTATGAGGTTCTAAGTTCTAAACCCTGGCTTGAGAAGGTGATTGATTGAACCCTGACATGAACCAGGGTGCATATGTATTACAGTCATATTACATTCAATGCTTCATGCAAATATTTGCACAACAGAACTCCTACGGATTTAGCCTCTCCATATTTACATAGCGTTACAACATGCTTCACATAGCGAGTAAGATTACTTTGAGTGATAGTAAATCCAGTTGGCCCCTCTCCTTCTTCAATGCTTTGAACTGAGTTATGTACTTAACCAGTTCTCAAGTCCGGGGCGAAATTGACCTCAAGAGGAAAAAAAAGGTCTTGTCAAACTTATGAGTTCACGCACGCGCGGTAGGAAGTTATGGCTAGTGCGTGGCCATGACACCCCACGGCGCAATTATTGTGTTCTGTTACCCAGTGGAGCTATCGATTTTGTTTTCCCTAGCGTTCGATTGGAAAACAACTATACACGGAATCGCAGAGGGTGGCAACTCACGGGTTGTGGGTGCTGAAAACGGAAGTTTTTGTTTTACTGTACCTCTTCAAGCATCAATGCTGAATTATTGTCCGTCTTAGCATCACGTATGTGTGCTCATAGCGCTTGGGCCTCGCGTCATACGAAGTCGAACTACACGTGCTGTTAGAGAACAACTGAGGCAGTTCCAGCTTCTTGTGAACCACATCTGACTCAAGAGTAGGTTGCTATTAATAGGATACCTTGAGGGGGGTGGGACGTTTGTCGTAGCCATTCCATTGTAGATTCGACTTGCCACTCACCAAACCTTCAATTCGGTCTTACACCAATTGGTATGAGCGCGTCGTTCGGAATTTGCTGCTTCATTTCCTAAGACATCTGGAGGCCTTAACAATCTTCACAGAAAGTTTAAAGCTCGACACAGTCTATTTCAATTGGGGACCACTCTGAGAACTTACACATTGCTAGGACGTTTCAATTATAGCATTTTAGACGTGTCGGCTATACGGTCAGAGGTTTGTGTGCTGACGCAACCTCATAGCAGGACCACCTCAATGAAAGTAAGGCCACCGCTGCCTTTCATAAAAGCCCTTCTAGAATAGTTGATGCTGACTAGGTGAATGGTATAGAAAAGCTATGCCAAGCAAAGAATTTAATCATCACTAAGTACGAACAGAAGCTTGACTACATCTGCATGGAAGATAAGAATGCTTAGGATGTCTAACATCTAGTGATGTATGCCCATATCCAAAGTTCCGCATACAGCGGCAAGTTGAGACAAGTGTAGAGAGAAGGAGACGGAAGTGAGGAAATATCATGGCTCTCCTCTACCGACATTGGACATACTACAGTACAGTAAGGACCCACAAGACAGTCACATCAGTACGGGCTTTTTCGGGTACAGTATACCATATTATTGGTACTCAAGGTCAAGGGTGATTTGCAAGTCACTCACCTTGGATTGCAATCTCTTGCGGAGTGACATTTCATTTGCATAGTAATCTCTGTATTGTCCACAGTTACCATCTTTGAATCTCTAGTTTCACTCTAGTAATTTTGCATGCCAGTCCTATGAAACTCTGTACACGAAATGGTGACCTCTCCTCTGATTCTTCATAACTCCAGACTCTTCTCCTAAGAAGAATCCTAAAAATTCCAAATCCAAACTACCCGTTCCGCCTTCTGATGAGGGATCTGCAACCAGTCCAACATCTCCAGGACTAAATGATGATCAGGGTTGATCCAGGTGACCAAATCAAAGCAACTGTGGCTTCTCTCCTATACCAAGGGATAGTAACTGCATACAGCCCTGGGCCAGTGGAACATAATTCGGGCAGGGTGATGTACACTAAATTCTAAAAACTGCTCTTAAACTTCTACATCCTGTAAACACAATTCAAGTTCTCCAGATTTGCGATTTGAGATTTGTGGCGTCTGACATTGATCTCGAGGTAACTTCCCATAATCACCCAAAGCTCATCTGGAAATCGAGACCAGGACGACGTTCTCCGCAGTGCGAGAGATCAGGCCATCTTGCCGAAAGTTACAAGACTGGTTCAATACAGCCTCCCGCTCCCACCATCTCAGGAATTTGTTCTTCGAAAGGCTGATCAGTTTCCAACGCAATGCACTTTAGATGCTGTTTACGATAACCTACCTTTTTAATAGTATATTAGCAGGAATGCTTTATTGCACCATAAGTCAAAGGATCTGCGAGCGCTTTCTGTACAACAGGTCATTGAACATGACAGCAGCTTGGATCTCCTTTAACTTTATAAGCAGTAGGCGAAGTCGAGTACTCCACCGGTAGAATACGGATTGATACACAGTCATGAATCCGGTCTCAACCATCCGAAATTTGGATTGTGATTGCCTAACCTGAACCATGATGATTGTGAGAGAACCGCCAAAGATGAGAACGTTCCGTGGGGCATGCTGCTTGCAATTCCTGGTTTATATTCTCCAGTCTAGGTATGATATCCACAAAGAGGGGCCGCCTATAAGGATCTCCTCGCCAGCATTCCTCTATCAATCTGCACATGACCACAGTTCACGTCACAGGTAGAAATGCTGGGGCGTTGATGTACAGGATCCTTGCAATGACTTCTACATGATTAAAAATAAAGCTGAAGACTTCTCTAGACCTTCATGAACTCATGCAATTGTGGCTTTGCGAACAACTTCAAAGGCCGTATTTGTATTTCACTTGGTCACCACACGGACATCACAAAGTGGTCGGCTATCAAACCGCTTATCTTGGCAACTCACTCTTTCATTCCTGCGGGGTATTGTTTAGTGAAAGGTGGGCGTTTGTCAACCCTGGCGACTTGACGAGCTGCTTCATACGCATCCATATGGGCGAATGGAGGAGATCCTTCAAACATCTGCACGTATAGAGATTAAGCTCGTTAGGGAGCCGACTTATCGATCTCATCACTTCATATCACTCAATAACGGGGCAAAAGGAAGCTGTGTGATGATAACAGAAGAGGACTGCTCATGTTCTGCTTCCGATCATATTTCCACGTCTTTAACAAAGATAAATTTGAGCAAATAACTCAAACTCTCTAATATTTGGTCTAGTTCTATCCAAATTTCAGCAGGTGACTTCTAAAAAATAAATTTCTGGTTCTGAAGTTAAGGTCCACATCTTTGTGACGGCACTGAATGGCTACTGTCTGTAATGTAAAAATTGCCAAAAGGGTGGTGACAGAAATATAGAACTGCAAGCGGCCTACAACCTTGGTTCCCAAACTCAAATACTATTCAAACATAATATTGCCAAATGTTTGTAAGGTGATAAGCTGAAGAATAAAATTAAGCCATGATGCAACATGAAATAGAAGCAAAGTTCTTTCTTTAAATGAAAGAAAAGTATGCATGGCTAAGGTACAAATTAGTTTGTTGAACAACAAAATAACAACTGAAAGGAGATTAGAATACCTCAAATAAGATGACTGCGAACGAAAATACATCTACACTTTTGTCATAAGAACGATGCTCGAAGACCTCGGGAGCCATATATCGATCTGTAAATCGTCACAACAAAGTTACAACCAGGTCGATTATATAACTTTCATTAAATTTCAAGCATGCACGATAGACGTCCAAGACTGAATCCCGAAATTTCCTTTTAAAAAGTCGAGCTTACACCATACATCCCGTCTGAGAAGCTTGGATAACATGGTCCATGAAGTAAGAACTCAAGACTTCTTGAAACTGTACACAAAGTCCATCCATTGATATACTATGAAATGCTTTAGCTTTAAAAGCTTAAAAGCTTTGAGCGTGCAAACGTTTACTTACAGCTGCCAGTTTCTCCGGTCATTTTGTATATATCATGAAGATTTGTCATCTTCATCAATTTGCTTAGTCCGAAGTCTCCGACCTTCAACTGGTTGGATTCGCCAAGAAGAACATTTCTGCACAGTACCAGACAAATAGAAAAACACTTGTACATGAGCAAAAATAGAAGAACAAATGGTTCATTTGTCCGGGGAGATGCAGATTTTTCCATTTTCAGAATTTCTTGGGCAGAATTTCTTGGGCAAGTAGTCTACACGTAAGTCCAATTCCTTGTTACTGGCTACAGGAGGGTGACCTTCGAGAGAACAACGCTTACCGAGGTTTCAAATCTCGGTGAATAATTGTGTTGGGCCCATTGTGCAAGTACGTAACACCTCTGCACCACTCGAATCCAATGAAATCAGCCAAGTTCACATAGACCCACATGTACAAGTTTTGCGCGTTATTTTCATCGATCGTGAAAGCGACAGCAGGCAATCTGATGTAGACGTCAAAACAATAGACGCCACTCTTCTCTTCAGATACATAACACCGAAACAGGAAAATATATACCTTGCAATATCAAGAGCAAACTTCACGATTATATGCGGGGCCAATGGTCCTTTCTCTTTCAGCACGACATGCAAGTCACCCTGCAGCACAAAACTCCTGCGATCAGCCTTGTTCTTCCTTTCCTCTATATAAGTCAGCCCGTTAGTCAATGCTGAACTCGTTTAAAAACTTCACTTTACCTCCCAGCACAAAGTACATTAGAACTAAGAACTTGAAGACTAAAGTTACAACCAACTGAAGTCCGTAATTGGGCATAATAGTTGACAATTGTAATAAATTATAACTCAATGAGCATCTCTGAGGTGTAAACTTTTAAACGTTCAACGTCGATGACAGTGAGTCCAAAGAAAACACAAGACCAGAGTGGATTCAACGAGGTGTGTGTAAGTCACAAACCCCTGGTAGATACTCCGTTATCAACATAAGTGGAGGCTTCTTCGTTACAGCGCCCAGGAACTGAACAATATTTGGATGGCGCACCTTCACAAGTAACTCAACCTCGTGTCTGAAGTCTTGCCTGCGTGTTATCAAAACGTATGGTATTTTAGGATGCATTCCAGCACCAGGAGCCAACCACACGATCCCACATACCTATCGTACATCTGTCAGATTCATTGAATGATCTAGTAGAATCTTGAAAGTTAAAAATTAAAATCAAATCTTAGAAACATTGAGCCTCTGCATGTTGTGCTTACACGACCAACTTGTCATCTGAGAGTGCTGGTAAGATGGTTTTCACCGCAACAGGTGTCCCTCGCCATTGTAGTTTTCTGATTTCACCAAATGAACCCTATAAAGCAAGCGACCGTTGAAAACGAATCAGATCTAAAGGAACATCCATTCAGTTTTGAACTCAGTGTAAGCCTTCAACTGAAAGATGCAAACGGCCAAACTGAGAAAGAGAAACTATGACTTTAGTGCATATACCTTGCCAATCTTGACGCTGCAGGAAAGGTCGATCTCTGACGGATCAATTTCCCAATCAGACTTGGCTATGGTTGGAGGTGCTACACATTTCATTTCCTGGCCATGACTTCCCTGTGTACACGAAGGACGAAATGTGTAGCTTCAGCATCTTGATTACTGAAGACGGTTAAAAAATACAAAAGATCAAATGAGCCAATAAAAGTGGTCGAAACATGTAGAATGACGCACTTTACCGGCATATTCCCAGTCACATAGAACTCCAAGATTCATCTAGTAACATTCACGCTTATTTGAGATTAAGGGGAGTCTTTTGATGTCAATGATTTAAGTATGTCAGATAGAAGTGAGCACTTGAAACTAATATCTTACATGTATCTCGCCTCCAGCTTCAGTAAGCAATTTTATCAAATCCGTATGGCGAGAATTTGTGGCATCTGCCAGAGGCTGCGAACACCCACACATGATCAAGTACATGCAGGTCAGAGATTAGAAAAGTCTTTACGCATTGTATTGAAACTTGGAAGAGATTAGACCGAACAAGACCCCTCAGGACAAGCATTAAAGTAATAATGATATCTGCTCTTAGGTGCGACATTGTATTGCAATGAGAGCTGCAAAGTTCTGAACGGAGCAGGTATTTCCTGAGAAAAAATGTCATTATAACCGCTAAAAACATTGTCAGTTGCGTTTCCTCACATACAATCCTGAAATCTCCCGGATAAACTGAGAATGAACTGATACTTCCTGCAGAGGACACAGATATAATAAAGATTGATAGACTGATGACACAGTACATTCGTAAACTTGATCAATTAAACTGATTCTGTTGACCGCCTTAAATTCCTTGTACCCCAGAAATCTTAGTTCCTCATCCATGAAGTGAAGCAGCCAGTTCAGCCAGTAAACTTCGCCAAGTTATACTAGCACACTGTGCGACCAGAATCCAGCTCTAAGCGAACAGGCGTACGACGAAATGTGCACCGGCAGCTCCCAAAACCGGCTCATGGAGCGATCCATCCCCATCGTTGCTCCAAATGAACGCATGAAGAGAACGAAGTCAGCAGTAATTTCGTCAAGGTTGCCCGTCTACTGAAGCAAGGCAGCTAGCGTTTCCGGAATATCACGTCGTCATTTCGTTGCGCTGACCGAACGACTGACATCAGTTATGACTAAGAGGGCCGACGCTAAAACAAGAGTAGGAGGCAGAGTATTACCGAAGTTTGCCAGCGATCCAGCGCATTTACTTCCGCTTTGTTTTGAAGCAGCACTCTGGCGGCCTTCGTGCATCCGTAAGTGGCGGCCACATGAAGGGCAGTGCGAAGGTCATAATCCTTGCTGTTGGCGAGACTCGGGTCATCCTTCAGGAGCTTCTGAAGAGCATCTACATTGTCATTTCGGGAATGGAAAAACAGGAGTGTCAGGGGCTTGAGAGTCGCTAGCTCGGAATTAGGAGAGATCTGCGAGCCCTTAGACGAGCCACTGTTATCTTGCGATCTCGGAGACTCCCTCCCCGGTGAGTCACTCCGCCTACTTCTACCAAGTTTCTTCAGGGCGCTCTTCGCCGCATGCATAGTATTCGCTGCAAATCCCTGTGGCTCTCCCGTCGACCCCGACGCGTCTCCTTGCGAATCCAGGACTACAATCTGATCGAACGCCCGTCTTGCACTTCCTCGTCCGACACTTGCAGCATCTACCCTCCAATCGAATCGCCAACTCTCCCCTGCTCTGCTCGGTTCCAATTCGCGCACTGCGCTTCCGCCCTCTTCTTGCCCGCCTCGCTTAAAACACCATCCCGCTCCCTACAAGAAAAAATCCACGCGCCGCCGCAGATCTTCAAATCAAACCTCGTTCTAAAATTCACCAAACCTCCTGCTTCATGAATATTCTCCTCGCTATCTTGCTACTGTCCGTCGCGCCTTCGCTCTCCGCTCGTGCACGTGCTCCCGCGCTAGCATCCCTCGATCCTTCCTTCGTCCGCTCCTCGTCCTCGACCTCGTCGCCTCCCTCGCTTCGTCTCTGCACAGCCGCAGGCGGACTTCCGACTGCTCGGGCAGCCCGACTCGCTCGCTCACTCTCTCGCTCACTCAAGCCGTCCACTTGACGTCACGCCCAGATAGTCCTGCGTGGCAGAAGCTTTACCCTTCTGAACGCTGGAGCTTGGTTTTATACCCCGGGTTGAACACGTGGGTAGGCTCTACTGGCTGTGCTCGCAGGGCCCCGTCCACGTGGAGAGGATGAACAGCCGCAACAGCGCGAGGGCTCGGTTCCGGGGCAGGAGTCGCTGGTCGGCGCTCCCAAGTTCCTGGGTGACCGACGAATTTATGACATGTCGCATTCGGGAATTTCGAGCTCTGCTGCCGGAGACACTGACGCTTCACGATCCGGTACGAAAACTCCCGCGACACAAGGCGAACCGCGTTACCGTGGTGGGCTGGCGGGCGGCTCACCGCCTCCGCTCTGACGCGCCCCGCGCTTTCCCGGTGGATGGCACTGCGGCCCACCGGGACCCGCTCGATACAGTGAGAGCAAACGTGTGACGATGTGTCGACTTACCGATACCAATCCCTTGGGTTCGAGGATCATGTCGACCACGCAATCTTTGACCGAGAATCTCCGGCGCTCCGATTCTTCGAATCCGATGCGTGCGCCGTCCGATGTCCATCCCGCGGCTGGCAGAGACAAACCTTCGCTAACCTCATATTCGTCAATTTTTCGTATTTAAGGGCGAAATCCCGAAGCGAATCGCCGGTCGACGTCAGGAATCGTGCGACCGGGAAGCCCCGTCGGTCTCCGGGTATCTCATGAAGGTTTCGGCTATAATTCAACCGTGAATTCGATTCTATCAAAACAAAATTAACAATATTCCAGCATTAGTTTGTGCAGATTTTGATTATTCTTGGGTGGAATCTAATTTTATGTGAAATCCTCACAATAACACCAAAATCATCAAAGACCTGAATCGATGCTTTGAAATTTGGCACGCAAGCACTGCGACGCACATCTCACTGTGCCCCTGTCAGTGTACGTCGCACGGAGTGGAGGACGCCAAAGAATATTATAAGACGGGAAGAGACGATCAAGTCGGACATGGATGAATCCAAAAGGGGAAGATGTGGCTCGACGAGTAGGAGTCGCGGATGGCGCAAGCCGAAGTGTTGTCGAGCGGTCAACATCCGTAATCCCTCGACAGCGAGGGCTGTCAAATTCAACGATTCTTTGTCTTCATCGCGAGGATTGCATTTGCGAGAAGAAGCCCGGAAAGATCTCCCTCGGTGACCCGGTCCTCCAAAAGCAGGCATCTCGAAAACTACCGGACAAGACTCTGCTGTCATATGTTGAGGTCCGTCGTCCATTTCTTCACTGTACGATCTTGTTTTCTGAGCCTGGTAAGCGCTATGACCCCAGGTCGTAAGCTCCTGGTAGTCTGGGAGACATGCTCACCTTTCATTCGATATATTCTCTCATTGTTTCTCACTCAAATGTAATGTTGGTGGTCCAATTGCAACGAAGCAGTTGATAAGTACAAACGGTGTAGAAGATTTTGTTGCGTTTTCCAACAACCATCAACTAACCAAGAACGTGAGATGGTGAGGAGATTAGTTCGTGTTCCCAATTCTGTGGTCCCGTCCTCTTTTCTTAGGAGGATGCGCTTTGTCTGTGATCACGACTCACGAGTTTTACAGATGGGGATATATGTCACGATATTTCTTTTGTACACAAACCATATAGAGGTTATGTCTTGTATTAGTTATTTAAAAAAGAGGGTGGTCCTTATAAACCTCAAGACTATTGTAACATAGTATGCTGTAGCACTGATTTCCGTCGCAATATATCATGTCAAAAGTTTAGTTATAGACTTCAGTTGAGTGTATGTATGGAAACGCTTGCCCATACTCGTTAACGGCGAGAAAACAACTCCAGAAAAGTTTCTTCCCACAACTGCGATAACAGTACTGTACAAGTAGATTCCGGTAGTCGCCAGTGATCTGACTAATCTGAGATTCTCGACCTGACAATTTGTGCATCATGATTCCACCGGCAAAAACGAATACCGTAAATTGCAATATCTCAATTATGGCAAGTACGCATCTTCAACCGGACGAAAATGCTTACAGGATAATTATGAAATTATGAAGAACTCCAGTTACCAGCTCTTCAGAATTAGATCACTGATGTGTGGCATAACGTCGAAAAGTAATACACATAAATCGGAGAATCTCATAACCGTGTTTTTCTTGCTTAGCCCGACTGAGAAAGTGGATCGTTGACGCATGATTTTTGTCAATGATACAACAAGGACAGCATGTGTTCGGCAGATCATTTGGGGCTGCACACATCAAGAGCCTGGCTCATGATGTAAGGAGACACCTTGGAACCGATTGATTCAAGTCCCTAAGCATCTTCTAAACACTACTAAATTTGTCACACTTGATATGGTTCAGGCACAGTTGGTGGAAACGGCACATCCTGTGTTGAAACAAGGCAGACAAGAAAGAGGATTATGAATCACCTGGTGAGAAATCCAAGGGAATGCCTATCTAAAACCAGGAGCTCAACTTCCATAAACGCAGAAGGAACGAAGCCCTTGTCCACGTCAGGAAAGAGTACAAAAGAAACAGCTCTAGATTGATGACCCAGAAGCGGTTTGAAGCAGAGGACTAAAGACCGGGAGTGTGCAGGGGAATGCAAAGGTCCACATGTTGTATAATAATATTCGTGACGGTAAGCAGTAGAGAGAATTTAATAAGGACCGAAACAAAAGATCTGATGATATAGAACTTCCTCTAAAAGATACGGAATTGGATGGTGTTTGTCGATTTCTCGTGTGCTGTTATGTAAAGAGGATCAATCTTATAACCCTGGCAAACTCTTAGCGCTTACACAAGAAGATTGTTAGAGATCTTCTGTGTCATTAGCAACTTGCATGCATGAAGTAGTGCGCTGCTTATGTGGGAGGAGATGGCAAATGCAAAACAGCTAGCTGGTTTTAGTAGACAACACTCATCACAAGCGGTCTAAAAGACAAACGATTACACCGATGCCATTCTAAGAAAAGTGTACGTAGAATAAGTCACATGAGAACAGCGAGAGTGTGAATCACATTGAAATTTTATCCGTTCAATAAACAAGATTTCAAAGGAATGTGAAATCAAACTTCATGTCAGATGTATCATTAAATCTAAACATTAAATAGAACTAACAGAGACTCTAGGTTTTCTAGATAAACTGCCCAAGAATAGTTGAACACAAGACGAACTCGAAGAACTTTATGTTGAACATTATCGTCGAAAAAACGCTTGAAATACTGATCTAAGCCTTCCAGACAGCTTTTCTCATTCTACTGTGCACGAATGAGAATTCCCATCCGAATTGATTACTGGAAACAAATCAGAGAAACGTGAACTAAACATGACTCATATCCTTCTGGGCATCGCAGACTTGTGTGAAACAGCTCACTGCATGAAAACCATGCATGGGGAAAGACAAGTGGGAATGAAACAGTGTAACCAGCTGCTCCGATCAAATCTGGTATTGCAGCGTCGTATGCTTGCAAATGTAGACAAAAGCCTCGAAAGTCACACTCTTTCCACAGTGACACGAGAGTGGCCCACAATGTGATGATTCTGGCTTTGCTTTCCTAGTGTCGTGTGGTGGGCCTGTGTGACTTCTGTAAGTTTTTGGTTTTATATTATAAACAAGTCGCGCTTCGGGAGCAGAAAGCGATATCAGAAGATAAAGTAAATTCGAATGACGTCTTATCGGTCCCATGCGTTGACCAAACTTAACGCAGGGCGCAAAAGCGCATGCCACTCGAGAAAAATTAATTTTAGGCCGCTTGATGTGTTAAAAGTTACAATGAGCTCTCTTGTCCCCAGATGAACAAGATCGAATTCACGGCAGTACGTTATTCCATCATCTTTCCGATACTAAGGTATCAAAAGATCACTCGCCTCGAATAATTCTAGGCTTGCAAAGTGCACCATATCAAACTTCAACGCTTGACACATCAATGTAGCAATATTAAGCTCGTCGCAGTCTAAAACTGCGTTTAAATTGTGGATAACTCATCGGCCAAGAAGGTTGTGTACGTCTGTGACCGGGGTAGTAAGAGTTCAATCTCACAATTCTCTCTGTCATTTTCGTCCAATGGAATTCGGCCTGCGCCTTTCCTGATCAGCAAGTTTCGATTCCTCACCATGTGATCCCTCAAAGCTCTACTTTGATTCTGTCCCCGTTTCGAGATTTTATGGAAAAGTCGAACAGACGAAGGCCGACCATCGCTGTCCAGGAATCTCGGCTCACGCATGACACGACCCGGGTCATGCCCGTTCAACGTCTGGGCTCCGTCAAATCGTATGTTCCGACATGTCGCCGTCGTAGAAATACGCTCTCAAAACCTCGCGTTCGAATGTTTCAAGAGCGTCTTCGGCACGCTCCTCGCTACCGTTACTACCGTTACGCGGTTTAGCAGCTAAGGTGGCAGCTCGTCCGATTCCAAGAACCGACGATGCTCTCGAAGAATCTGTTCCATGCGAATGGCACCTCGTCTGGCCTTTCTAAAGGTGTCTTCGGTTGAAGACATCCAGACCTCCATGAGCAGAGACCCCGTGGGGATGTGGTCCAGTTCAATATCAAACCCTCGAGGACCGCAGTTTACTTTGTTACAGGGTCGTGTATGCATGTGCAGATGACGTGAAATCGAAGCATTTTGGGCAGCTCCGGCGCTCTGCGATCGTCCTTTACTGGTTTTATGCACCTCCGTTAAAGTTAGCATCGCGAAACTGGGTGAGCATCTGTTCTTGACGTTTTAAATTGTCAAAAGAAGGACTTCGTCTTGTATCAGAAGATGGTGTTTATGGTGGACAACTGGGATGGACAGAACGAACTTGAGGTAAACGTTTTGAAAATGGTGGTGTGGTGAGTCAAAGTCTTGGAATGATTGAATAAGAACGGTCTTTTAGGGAAGTGTTTTAATATTGCCTCACGCGTTAGCGTGTACCATCGACTTGAAACATGTGCCCGGCCGGAGCTTCAGTGGTACACTATCCAGCCATAGGTGTTAAATCGATGTATGTTAAATAACTTCCAGCTTCGGTTTAAAAGAGGTCTGTTTAATTGTTCTTGCACCTAATGAAAACGAGTTTAGAAACTTCCATCGAGTCAAATACAATGTTAAACTTGCTGAAGCTTTGTCCGTAAGGCCGTTCGACATCTTGATCTTGCACCACGGTCTACGCGTGATAGTCTGTACTTGCTAGAACACGATGGCTCATTTGTGTTCCCATCGTCATCAAATCTTTACCCCATGACTTGACCTTAAAACACTCGGGATTCCTCATAATCACCGTCCCTCGTCAAATCTGCGTGCGTGAGCTATTGATCTCGTGACCTTATCAAAAACCAGAGGTGAGCATCAGATTATCTTTCATCTACCTCAAGGCAAGTGGACAGTTACTTCATCTCAGTAATCTCTCAGACTGAAGTACTCCTTGAGTTTTGAACCCAAGCTCAAGGACAATTTGAAGGTCCAAGCTGTCCGTTCACTAAATATATATCCGAACCTACTGAACCTTTGTTGATTTGTTTGGCTCTTTCGGAAAATCGTCTGGGACAGATTTGTGACGCACTTTATCTTCAACTTTGGAAACGTAAATTGCGTTACAATTTCAGAATTCAGAAAGAAAGAACCCGTCCAAACTTCGAGGGGTTTTGAATCATGGATGACTTATAGCAAAACTAGGGCGAATAGACACTGGTTTCTATGTCTCAATTCCGGTAGTGTAAACTTTATTAAAATCTTTTTCTTCCATGTAAAAGGATTTCACTCAAATTATACACGCTACTTGGGTTTTTTGGGTTATTTCTTTTATACAATGGGTCCAGTTAAGAAATGAAGTTAGAAAATTACGGGTATCTTTAGAGTTTTGATAGTTATCATCACACATGTGATTGGTGGGATCTCAGATATAAAGATAAGATCTTTTGGTGGGAACAGATACCCAGTAGAGTATAAACTACGACCAATCAGTTATCACCTGTTTATCATTAACTTTACGGTAGCTACCAGTTCACGTCTCTCATGAGATTATATGAAATAAAATATGATACACCATGTTCTGGCAGATAATTACCTGCCAGAACATAATATTTCCCATGTAACAAAGGCTGAAAATGTTTTTGCCATTTAACAATTTTTTAAGGAAAAGCGTAGCTTAATTATTTTGTCGGTGATTCCTCATTCAACTCGCCTCCCTCTCTTATAACCTACATTTTTGTTTTCCTCTTGTGAGCGAATAGATAAAAAAACAAAAAAGAAAGTTCACCTTTTCTTTCCAATAGCAAATTGTGATTGTTGAGGTTAACTCTGGATTAACTTCATGTCCTAGCTATAAATAGTTAAGAAGTTACGGGTGCTAACGTATTTATACTCCAGGGTTTGTATATTATTTGATATATTTTCAATGTACCTCTCACGCGTAACCTTCCGTTGTGATGTAGTCCCTTTGAACCACGTTACATCTTGTGGGTGCACTAATAGTGACCACTTCACCTGTCACCACGTCTATGTAAATCATCATCGTACTGTCACCTGCTCTTGTCATCGTCGCGTCTTTATTAATCATCAACGTTTTTGTCACTACTGCAGGTTTTACTCACAAAGGAAGCAGGCTGAGTTCACTATTTCTCAACAAGCCTACTCTTTATCAAAATGATCTAATTCTTCAGTGGTGAGGTAGGATTGTTGCCAAAGTTTTGAAAAATTGAGTTTCCTCTAAATTGAAATATTTTTCCTCTAAAAGTTCACATACGTATTGTTGAATAGTGATACTATCACTTAAAATGACAACATGAACCATCTTAGAATATAATTTATGTGATAAATCAATCTTAGTTTGAAATAGGTATGAAAAATTTGGTGATTCAATGGTTTGAGAATACCTTTGACTGACTCAAAATTCTGAAATCAGAAGAGTCAAAGCATGGTCGTATTGACAATGGCCTCACTCTAAAACTTTGCATTACTGTAAAAACGTCATAGCACCTCGTTGTAGAGAGTAGTGGAAGATGTCTTGAATGAATTATTATCCTCCCATCTTACTAATTGGTTGTTTCATATGGGTGAAAATCCAATATGCAAAGCTTAAAGCTTACAATAGTTAAATCATCAACTATTTTATTTTCAGTAAAAGTTGAACAATCAACTTTTATTGTGAAGCCACAAACAATTGCGCAATTGCTTTATAATTCCTTCATGTTAATATTACACAAATGCAATAAATAGATTGCATAGATCTATCTCCTGTCATTGAATGTTTCTTTTTAAATATACTTCAAGCATGTAAGACCTCAATCAAAACTCCATAAGAACTTTGCTAAGTGGTTGACATTAAATCAAATTAATTTATTAAAGAGAAAAGTTCAACTCCGATTTCTCGTGAATTCAAAATAACATCAACTTCATTTGTAATATAATATTTTTAGCCTAATATAATGAAAATAGCTAGAACAGCATAGCATCAATGTTTGAAAAAAAGATATAATCCAAATAATGAAAGTGACTAATAAAAACTTAACAAGAAAAATTTTAAATATATGATGATACAAAAACTGCAAAGAAAATATTTATGAAAGTTTTCCTGGAATTTATTCTAGATGTCTTATATTGACACAATTCATTGAGAAAAGACTATCTACGATTTTCAGAAAAACTCCCACATTAATATTCCTTTTGATTTATTTTTAAAAAATTTACAAGTTTTCAAAATTTGAAAGAACCAGCTATAGAAGAATTCCAAAAAATTTAATGAGTTTTTTGAAAATCTATTATGATTTTTTCAGATTTGATATTAAAATTAAGATCTATTAAAATTTTCTTAAATGATTCTTAGATGATTATATGTATGTTATGAAAATATATAAAATGAAAAAGTTAATCTATAAAACGTTTGAAATTCAACAATATTTTCAAATTAAGATTTTTAATCAATCAAAATAGTTCAAATGTCAAATTGTAACAAGAATTGATGTATCAAATCAAAGTTATCATAAAATTTAATACAATAAATCTAGAAAATCTGCAAACATGTTCTTCATTTGAAATTTTTTGGATATAACTTTTACTATGAAAGCATAGTTATATAAATTTTAAATTAAAAAATTTAAATAAATGTTGTTTATCTCATTTCAACAATCTTGGCATATGATGTTACAATAAATCCTTGTCAGAGCGTTGTCAATTTTAGGGTTTTGGTTGGACCAAACTGTCGTAGGAATAGTCACGTAGCTCGTTAATTTTTGGCTAGTTAGCTAGTGTCTAAAATTTTGTCGGCTAGCTGCAAAATTAGCAGATTTTTGAACGTGCTGAGATTGCATAATCAGTTGTCACGTGCCACCGTGATCTAGCTGCTAGTTGGAGCGGATCTTGTATGATCCTTGAATGTTTCAATACAAGTTTTTTCTTCACAATTTCTTGAAGTTCAATTCTTAAACTTTTGTGAGAAAATTGGGAAGAGAGATTGAACGTATGTGAGAGAGATTGGCAATGAAGCACGAACTTTTGTGAGAGAAGTGGTGGGAGAGATCGACAATAAAGCACAAACTTTTGTGAGATAAGTGGAAAGAGAGATCGAATTTATGTGAAAGAAGTGATGGGAGAGGTTGATAGTGAAGCACAAACTTCAGTGACAGAAGTGGAAAGAGAGATCAAACTCATGTGAGAGAAGTGGAAAGAGAGATCAACAATGAAGCACAATATATATCTGTTTTGTGGTTTGCGATCAGATGAGGAAGTAGTGGGAGTAATTTATTTTGTTGCTTTGGATGTGTGTTGGCGAGATGCGCACAAGACAAGAGAGCAAACGAGATCTTACATGAATGACATCGAGGTTATGAGAATTTTACAGTCTGTGTAGTACAAACCTTGCTTACAAAAAATCCCACATGACAGTGAGATGGTAGATCAAGTCGTGTCTTTCTTAATATTGACGTTGTCGTATGAAGATTATGACATCATTTGATCCTCATCATCAGTAGTTGTATCATGCACGGATCAACGGGCGATGAGGCGAAAGTGGATTTCTTGGGTTCGTTGTGATAATCAACAAGTATGAGAATGGAGTATCATGATAAAGATTCGTTCCCACAGAGACATATGCAACACCAAGAGTCACAATTTGTTACTAATTAACATTCTATTGAAGAGTTTTACTTCTCATGCACATGTCACTCTCAGAAGACACTGCTCGATTACGGCCGAAAGTTCGAAGAGCATAGTAGAATCGTCCACACAACCTAAAACTTATTCAATCGACACCTGCGGGAATCGCCTTCGATAGCACACTCAAATTTCAGGGGAAATTTCCCAGAATTGCACATTCTCAGCTTACTAATCCGAATGTCCAAACTCAAATTTGCTCAAATCTCGAATAGCCCCAAGCTAACTCAAAATTGACACTCGCAGCTCCAAATGCAGTAACTTCAATAAATCAAAGCGCATCATGCACGGTGACTAAACACACAAGCTCACAAATGTGCATAGTAGATGCAGATTGAAAGCCAAAACAAGTCAATTGACAAAAAAACCCCCCTCAAGGAAAAAAGCCTTGGGTCTCTTTATTCATTCTGAACTCCTAAATATCTCAACCGCTCGAGGCGAACGGTGCCATCCGACGCAACGGTTACACCGTACTCTAAGCTTCCGTCGGCTCCTAACCAACGCAACACGCTTAGAATCTCTATCTCTAAATTCTCTTGTGACTCTTCCAATCAGGAAGAGAAAGAATTGGCTAACTTAACAAACTGCTTGTGCCCTGCGGCTCCGCTAGTCTTCATGTCCATCAATCGCCGCTTCAACAAATCCAATTTCAATCACTTTAGCGTTTGAACTTCCTAAATCACAAACCCGCGCAGACACTTATCTACACGCAAACGCAAACTGTCGGTTGACTCGTCTCTCAGCTGTTGATATGTCGCCTCTGCCTTTTCCGCTTTCGCACGCGACTCCTTCAACTGCTCATGCAAGCGTCCGCAATCCGCTTCAAATCTCACTCTACATTCGACCTCTGAAGACTTTGCCGACTCGCAATCCGCCAATATCTTAGCCCAATCAGCTACTTCGGCTGCATGTTTCTGAAACTGCTCCGCCAAACTTGCCGTAAGCTTATTCGCGCGTTGCAACTCCCTGCTATGAGCGTCGGTGCATTCTCCATTCCTGCTGCTTAGCTCCATACGCTCTTTCTTCAGCGCGTCAATGTGCCTCTGAAGATCTTCGGCCTTCTGTTTCTCTTCAGCTCTACACTCCTTCTTCTTTACCAACTCTGCTGCATGCAACTGATCGCGCTTCGCCAGATCCGCAGTCTTCTCATCCACGCGACGCAATTCCACAATGTAGGCCACCTTAGATGCCTCCAATCTATCCCGAAGATCTACGGTTGATTTCAGCACAATCTCAATGTCAATCTAAAGACTCACGCAATCTCGTTCGGTCGACTCATGAAGATCCTTCTCCTTAACCAAGTTCAATCGAAGGACTTCGCATTTCATTTCCTTCGCCCAAAGATGGTCCTCCCGCTCCTGCAACGACACTTTCACGGTTGCGCACTCGGAAGACAAGCTCGCAACTCTTTACTTTGCCATTGCAGTTGCAGACGTTCATTCCCTCTTCACTGCCACTGCTCTCTTAATCTGAGTCATATTCCTCACTAACTCTACATAGAATCCTACCTCCTTGGTGACATCGTACTTATCTCTCTTCCTATCCAAATACTTCAGTAAAGGTACTACATTGTCATGTAGTAAGTCGGTGAAGGAAACAACTAACTCCTTCGGTTCCTCCTCCAAGGCCTTCTTTTCCACTTCGGATCTTATCTCTTCCTCGGATGATGGGGGCGATGGAATCTAAGGAGCATCTACCACCGTCCCTCCAACCTGTGCAACTACATGCTCGAGTATCTTTTCACTCAATGTGAGCTCCTTCGCTAGCTCTTCACTTGTCTTTGGCTGAGGCACTTCCTCACTCTCCATTGGCTGCATCCGCTCCGAAGATGGTAGACTTGGACTTACCATCGCCGTCTATTCCTCCGAAGGTTCTACAGCTACTTCCATTGGGACTTCAGCCTGTACTCCCGAAGGTACTCCCTCTTATGCTCGAAGGGTCGGCTCCTCCCGCATCTCTTCATCCGTCGTAGAAGAAGCTGCCTCCAACTTCGTCACGCTACTCTCCGAAGAGTCGTACACAACTCTCCTGCATTTCACTTTCCTCTTCGGCCTAACCTAGATCTTTGACATCTTGATCTATGTCACCTATGTCTCGGCCATCCGCGACTCCGGTCTTTGGACTTCTCCCTTATCGTCAACTACCTTCCATCTCTTCGCCAATCTCCTCTCGGACTGCTTCTCGGTCGAGACAATGTCCACCTGAATTGACTCTCTTGTTGTACTTCGAGGTGGCTCTTCGGATTGGGCATTGTCTTCCTGCTCCGTGTCTTCGCCTGACTCAACTGTCAACACCTTCCGCTCCTTGGGGAATCGTTTCTCCTCACTTTTCGTCAATAACTCCATCCCTCGATAGAAATTCACTAAGTATGGTGTTATGTGGTTAATCAAACCTCCTTTCCATCTGATGCTGACATTGACCCAAATTAGGTCGTGAAAGATCTTCGCCCAATGGACTGGTTCTCCTTTCATTGCGCGCTCAAAGAAGCCGACGTGCTATGCGGTAACATAGGTCGTGCGTTACGGTCGCAGAATGTGCATCACCCCTAATGCAATTGCCTCTTCGGGTCCTCGTAATCCGCCGTCTTCCACCCATTCGTACTCGACCGCGCGGTCTTGAAGAGTGAAGCAAAAGTGAATTCTTCTGCGCATAATCTTGACACTCTCCTTCTCGAACATGAAATCTCCATCCTTCCCTGGCCATGGTCCTAGAACCCTTGTCCACCGGTCGAGCGTCCACAGCATTGGATTGTCCGGGAGATTCTCCCCCTCGTTCTGGTTGTTATCCATCATCTCCTTACATATGATACCCGACACACAATTACTCCAATGAAATAGTAGGTTGTCAATCTTCACTATGAGAGCAAAAGTGCATTTCATTTTTTTAAAATCAAATGATAAACAACATAGTGAAACATTTCAACATTACGTATCACTTTATCATACATGCAGTTTTTTGTAAAATAATGACTTTTCCATGGAGGTAGCCTATAGGACGCATCACATAAATTGTTTGTGTTTCTCTTATGTCAATTTTATTCTTGTGGAAGATAGCCGTAAAAATAAAATATCATAAATTCTATAATTCAAAAATATAATTAAAAAATGAAAATATTAGAATTATTAATTATATAAAAGTAACAATTGGTAATAAATTTTGACAAGCTTGTATGTTCTAAGTTTAGAATGTGAGAAATATAATGTGAAAAATGTGCAACAATCTAAAAAAATTAATCTCAATGTGAGTATCAAAATAATACCAAAAGAATAAAATACATAAGTAATCTAATCAAAGTATTATAAAACAATCGTAATGTATGCATTGATGAAACAAATCATTTTTGATAAACATCATAAAAACCAAATATAATTAAACTCATTGTCATAAACAAGATTTAATTAATAAGAAATTTATATCGCACAACATCATAATATCAAAATCATCTAGATCACACAATGAACAAATATATTAAATATCAAATGCTACATCTTTCAACGGAATCATGAATATTTTTTTATCTCAAATCAAGTTAACTAAAAAAATTTGAAACATACTGAAAAAAAATTGCTTAATGATATTTCAATTAAAATATAACAAATTTTTGTCCAATTTCAATATACTGTTTACTTTATATGATCCATAATCGAGCAAAAAATTTAAATTTATTTTTTCCTAGAGTGGTTGTAAATCCAATCACGAGATATTTTGATTTTGAAAAGAATATATCAATTTTTTGTATGTATATTTTTTGCTTCATATATTTGAATTTCACAAAATCTCACACATGCATGTAAATATGTATTTCTTCTCAAGATTAAATTCTTGTTTAATACATTATGCTTTGATTTGAACTTTTTTGTCATATCTATACATCACTATGTTACTCAATGACATTTAAAAGATTTTATATCAAAAGTAATTAAATTTGTAAGATATTGCATGTATTTTAAGCATAAAATATTGTGAAACATTTTTTTAAGTGCTATCATAATGATGAAAATAAAATCACAAAATAGTTAATTTTTTGTTTTGAAATCAATAATATAATGAACTAAGACTAAATTTTATCATTAATATTATAAACTTAAATAGATGAACATATTTAGAAAAGGTTAAGGTAATCGAATAGCTTAAGAATAGCTTCATATTATTGACAAAATTTTAGAACTAAAATAATTTTATCCTAAAATTAACCTGAAATTAAAAGCTAAATCACAAAAAAATATATAATTTATAAAATATGATGTAAACTTCAAAGTGTTAATTTTATCTAATCATATATATATATATATAATAAAATCTGAAATTTTGAAAAAAAACATTAATTGTAAAAAAATATTTTTTAATTTATATTTAAAATTATGCAATGAAAGATGACACAGATTACGTGATTCATCTTTGATAAAATTAAGTCCACGCAAACACAAAATTTTTAGTTTTAACTCCTAAGTTTGTATCGTAAAATACTGCAACGAACTTCTTTGTAAAATGATAAAGCTATACTTATCTTTTAACCATAATAGAAACACCTGAATTAAAAATATATAATTTTTTTCTAACAAAGAGAGCTACATTCTACGGATTTATAATTTATTTATTTTTTATTATGATATAAAGTATAATTAATAATATTTAAAAAATAAAATTCTAGAGTATCACAACATATGAATAGACAAAAATAGCAAAAGATCAACTCAATAATTTATTAACTAAATATAATAGATGAAAATTACTTTTCCCACTAATGATATTAATGTTCATTGCACATAATCAACAGATTCTGATTTAGTGTTTATTTATTACTGAAGATTTATGTGGCTAGAAAATATAATTGTATATGGCCACCTACCTAACAAATAAACATTCGTTAAGAGATGTATTTTTTACATTCAGTTGTATTGTTTACAGAATATAATCAATTCTTTTCTTTATAATCTCAAATATTGTCTCGTTGAAATTCTGTAACACTAATCACTCACTTGACAAAAGAGAGACATTGTGGATAACATGTCTACTTCTAATTAAAAATTATTAAATATATCCGAAAAAATTAATATTTCAATATTTCATATCTTGCTTTTTTCTCGAAAATTAAATATAATGAATATTCCTTTTTCTCAGTATTTTAATTATCTTATATTATTTTACAAAATGGAAAAAGTTAGAATTATGGTGTTGAGCACAAAATTTAAAACCTAATAGAATTCAAAAACTTTTGTGTTCGTTGAATTTTTGAAAAAAACAAAAGTTTGAGCAAGGTAAACCGAATTATGAGACATGTATTTTTAAGATTGCTTCTTGATATGGATACAAAATAAGTACTTTAATTATTTAGTTTTTTATTATTTACATTCATACTATTTTTAGAAATTAGATTAGTATTGTATAAACATTTTCTACAACGTAGAAGAAATTTTGAATTACATTCATTTCAATGAATTCTCATAAGGTAGTTAGAAAAATATTTTTACAGTTCATGAAAATAACTGAATTGAAATAACATCAAAAGTTTTTTCGAAGAAATTTTGTCAAATGATGAACAAAGAACTTTACAATATAAAAATATTCACGAGAATGTTACAACAAAATCATCTTGAATCATAGTGAATTTTTATATTATCCTATTCATCAAAATTGTTTCATGGACATCTTAAATTACAAGAAATTTAAAATAATCTTTTGCAAACTATAATTTATCGGATCATTCAAAATTTATAATATTGATACATTAGAAATATTTTAAGTACATATCTTTTAAAAAATATTAGTAAATAAGCCTAAATATTATTTATAAGTGAAAAGAAATTTGACTCAAACATATTTCATACATAAAATAAACTTTTGTTCAATAAAATTTGCATTCACAATAAGAAATAAACATCTGAAGTACGAAATTTTGTAACAAGTTTGTCATCATACTTTTGTTCATAGTTATTTTTTTTTTTGGAAAAAAAATCATCCATATAAAAAAATTTAAATTTCTTATATATACACATAATTTTCTTCATAGTATAATTTTTTTAGGTAAATACATGATTTTAGGCTTTTGCATTAATCTACAATATTTAAGATATAATTTAAAATGATAAATTTTACTGACCTAGCAGCATGTATTGTTCTCTCCAGCATAGCTCGTAATAATCATTGAACTATCGCACCCTTTCATACAATCCTAGTAATCTTCCAACAGGATTTGTGTACTATTTCTCCTCTACCTCTACTGTAGGTACTCTTCTTTTTCTAACTTTGTTTAGTTCAAATTGAGAGAGATACTGAAACTTAATTTTACTGTCGCATCTGAAATTAAGTTGATCTCTTCAACTTTGCCGCTTGACTACTCGAATATGCTTCTCTCTGTAGAAGAACTAGGCCATGGTCATGGAGAGATGGTAAGAGGTAGGCAAGTCTAGCAGCCAGTCAGTCGGGAAACGAGATATTGACGAGGAGGTGGAGAAACTTATGCTGGCGGCCTACTTGTCAACTTGGACCTTGTAGCGAGTGTGCGAGTCAAATCGAAGGCTGCCTACTTTACTGCACAGGTGGCAGCGATGGGTGGCCGGGGCCCAACGATGGCACCTTGGTTGATGAAGAGCACGATCTCGTCTATCAGCCAACAGCAACACGTGAAATTGGAAATTGACGTTGCCATGAGACTGCCCCGAGCTAGATGAATTTCATGCTGGAATGGCGGACCTGTCATGACTGGTTTGAGTCGTGAGGTGGGAGTAGGCAATACGCTGTAAAGGATAGTTGAAACTTGAAGAACTGCTGTACCAGCTCCCATTCTTGCACGCATTTCCTTAGGATCTAAAGCCCTTCAAGCGCCTTTGCTGTGCATTGTGACTGCTGGTCTCTTCTCCACCTCGTTCTCTCTTCCTCCTTCCCTTCCTCCTCTTCTCTCTGGATCTGCTCATCTCTGGATCGACCATGCTCAGACTCGTAATGTGCATTCTTTGTGGATGCTGATTCTTCGTAACTGCATGCACCGTGTTGTTATTTGCACATGCAGCTTCTGCAGCAGCACCGGAAGCCAGCTACGGTTAAATCATGAATTGAGTGATCGCGTGGCTCGATTCTCTTACTACAAGGGGACCACGTCATTGGAACCGAGCAGCATTTACCGAAGCTGGAAATTTAACATGACAACGCAACGGCGTGGTGTGTTTTTATCGGTTCTTCTGTACGTGGTCAGTCTCAATATTGTAGAAGGTAAGTTGAACGCCTGCTGATCATATCAGGAGCTTATTAAAGTAGCGAACAGATGGAGAGAAACTGCCCTTCTTGTATCTACTTGTGGTAGTTTCTGGGCATTCAGCTGCAATTTTCGAGGTCAAACAGTTTCAAACACGACGTACAAATATGACTGCTCATCATGAGTATCTTACCTTGTTCAGGGATCAGTTTCATTCGATTCGACTGTGAACTTCTACCGAAGGAGGAGTGCGCATTTGCTATAGGGCAACGGGGTTTCAGGTGCTTGCTGGAAACGTCCATCGGCTTGGACGGATTAATAATTCACCACTGTCAGGTACAAGAAGTCATGTGAAACATATACTTCTGTTTATGCCATGTTTCTTTTCTAGATCATATCAGATGCAAAGTACGTGGCATACAACCAACGAATCTGCTGGGTCTGCTGCTGCTGTATTCAACTCTATCGAGCAAACGGGAAAAGGATGGGATACTGACCTTGAACGATGGAGCTCGTCCTGCAGACTTCGGACATAGAGTGGACAACTGATGCAGACGATCTAAGACGAGAGCTGAGATCCATCCGGTCCGGTGGGCATATAGAGTCCGACGAATGTCTAGAAGCATGCGGTCTCGACAGATTGACCGTGGGGATCTCAACCGATGGCCTGCAGACTGGTGCTTTCAAAGAGAAAATTTGTTCAGAAGATTGCAGACACAATTGCCCTCAAGTTATCAGCCTGTACAATATTATCTATGCGGAGGAAGGTACAGTTGACATCTATGTGACCTAGGACTGCCAAGTGCAGTAGAAAGTGTTGGATTGAACTTATTTGGAATGGAATATACAAGTTGAATGAATCACAGAGCTTTTGACTGAACACTTCATCACCAGAAATTACCTCATACCGTAGATGTGTTCTACTCATGTTGGCTGACACCATCGTTCTGTGATCGAATGTCATCATACTGCTGCGGATCAATGCAGGTGAAGAGCTGGGCCAGGTCTGTGAGGAGCTGTATCAGTGGAAGCACAGCGAAAGACTACGCGCCAGAAAGTTAGTTCGCAGTTTTGCCCCATCGATTGAAAAGGTTGCGGCTCCAGCTCCTGCTCCGAGCGGAGCAGAATCGTAAATCAGACGCCCCGTCAACCTCTTAATGCTAGGATTAACGAAATATTTTATTCTGCACCACGATTATAAGGCTTTCAAGCTCGATGACTTTGTTTAGTATTCAAGCTGCCTCCGAATAGTATGGATTGAACACGCCTGTTGATTGCTTTAGATATAGGAATGTCAAAATACGTCTCGAGTTGATAGGATTTGAGAGCCCCGATCCCTGGGTTTGAGAATAATTTGAAGGACTGCTCTCGTCAATGTCCAATTAGTAAATTTATGTACACTACGGGGATGTCCCTTGGCTTTCTCAATAAATTGCAGGAGAAGGTGCAAGCCTGTTTCCAGGCTTGTTATTGTCTACACTGAAAATTCCAGTTGTGATTGATAGTGATCGAAAAAATTTGCTGTATCGCATTAATTTCCGGATCAGATACATGTTACATCAAAGCAATCCAAGAAGCAACGTAGATTCGTATTGGTAGAGAATCTAGAAGCGTCTTGTATGATGATAATCCAGCGCTGGGAACGAACTGCAGCTGGAGGAAAGACTTTAACATATGACTTACTTTGATGTCTATGAGAACCACTACGGTAATGAACATGGATTTCAAACAGAGTACGTGTTACCATGAAAAGCGACAGCTCGGGACACGAGTCTCAAACGCGGATGAATTTCACAACACTGAAGCTCTATTTATTTACTGTATCACTGGCTTCTAGGCTGGACAATGAGGTGAATAAACTAGAAGAAAGATAGAATAACTTGGTCCTTTCGCTTTGAAACTAGCTACCTCAACTATCATATACTTTTACAGCAGTCAAAATTTTGGAGAGCTTCTGTACTGGCAAACTCTAGGTCTACTTTCTGGATGACTTCATGCTTTGGATGGTTCTATACTGTCTTAGTAAAAACTTACATTCACAGTCGTCGCGGCTCCAAGATATGAGATGTACACAAAGCTCATCAGCTATCGATTTTGAAAGTTAAGAAACTTAATAGAAGAAGCAAATATAACCCAGAATAACATCATGAAGATAAACAAGACAAGAACACATATTCCCAACATACTATGTTTGTATCCAAAGTAAACCGTCAAAAAGTCCTTCACGGGTACACTACCATATCCAGGGGCCTCCATTATAAACTCCACATCCCCGAGCTGGGACGTTATGAGTCCATATAATGTCCAGGCTACAGGACTTATCCAGTAGAACCAGACCCACCACCCGGGAATCCTCTGCAGAACAGATGTGATCAAGATCGTCAGTTTGTTAATTTCTCGATGTCCATTAGGACTAGAGTTGAGTACGTGTAGTATGTGTACACCAAAAGTTGGCGAAATCGTAGAAATGAAGAAAGACTGACGGTTGACAAGATTCTTACAGGTCTCGGGATTAAAAACCCTGAGAAGAGATTCCACAGTGAATAAAAAGCTGAAGAGACCACAGCCGCCACCGGTTGGGACGGCGTCAGCCCAACGGCCATCATCCCGTAAAATGTAAAGTACGTAAATGTCATGAACATGAACAGTAAATACCAGAAAAACTTCGCTGCACATACCGAGCCACAATCAAAGGTTGCGTTGTACTTCAACTGATATTTCAAAATTGATGATTCAATTGAAGCGTGAATGTCTTCTCCATGAAAGAAGACTTCAGATACGATAATGAGGTAGAGAATACAGTTTTAGCCACAGTCATCATTACAAAAATAGCCATTTAGGAGTTTGAATCGCATATAGACCGACTTGCTTGTCTCTTAGACTTGTCATTGAATTTCAAAGATTCATTACCTGCCGTCCATTCAAACTTAATCATAGCATATGTGATGATGCCATAGATCAGAGTTTGTACGAATATGTACGGGATTTCAATGCCAGCCTGCATACACATAAGACATCTATAAAGTACAAGATGACCATCCTTGAATAAAAGAACAATCTTGAAATATAAAATCATCCTAACATAGTGATAGATTTCAAAGACTCTTCACGCCCAAAAGTTGTCAGTAGCATCCTCGACTGTGTATCCTAACTGCCTAAATAAAACTATATCCTACGGCTACGAAAATATTATTTTGAACGGTGCCCTGGTAGACTGCAGAGGCAAGTGCGTGTTAAGTTCAAGTTCTCCAGAAATCAAACTGAAAGTTCTCAAGTTTACTGGTTGTGAGGCCATTAGTGCTGAAAAACAAGTATGACATGCTTATAGCGAGCTGAAATGAAATCACTAATTGTACTTATATTTGCAAATAATGCATCACTCATTTCATTACAGGGGATCGAGGGGTTAATCATGTTGCAGTAAGCAGCTTGATGGAGTGTACCTGTGCTAGAGCATATGGAAGGGGCCCGTACATGCCTGCAGCCCTCTCTCGATAAAATACTGTTCTTTCAACTGAAACAATAGGCTGCACACTTGCGGCATTATTTACGCCCATAAACAACACAGCCGCATATAATGCACCCATAACATTGAAAATGGCTGTTTGGGAAGTCCTGGAGGATTCCAGTTGCAGCACAGTTGGTTATGAACTATCAGCCCAATGCTCAAGTGCACAGCATTTATGTTGAGTTCCTGTATATATTCTTGATAAGTCACTATTACGATCTGTAGTCACAAGTGGAATTTGAAGTTGCTTAATCTCGAAGTCCCTACAATATTCGAGAAGCATTTTACCTAGAAAAAAGTCTAATGGAATCAAGATTTCCTATTGTTTTCATGGAACTGTCGTCTTTAACCCTATAAAGACTCGATGTTCACTAACATCGCCCAAAATGTTCGAAGAACGAAAATACCTTTCAAGTAGTGACTTCCTGGTTCAAGATTTTTAACACAATCAGAGGCGATCATCTCACCTCTTGGCTCCAATCCCGTAAAAGATTGAGCCGAATATGAGGGCAACCGTGATGGTGAAGAAAAACCGCACTGCATTGTAGTAAGGACTGCGCCAATATGTGAGATGTTGCTTCCACAGGCAGGCTTTCACCTGAGTGAAAACATCCCGCGAATATTGCGTAGGGAATTCGAGGTCCTTTGCATCACTTGGGCGAATATTGCACTCCAGAATGACAGCATCATTACTTCTGCAAGATGCGTAAAGATATCTGAAGTTATGTACAACGAAACTAAGCTCTTGTTCGACTGCTTCATGGCAAATCATGACGATTGATCTAAATAAACCATCTGATTTGCACGCATATTATCGACGAGGATCATTCTTACCGATACCGTTCAGACTCTGCATAGATCTTAGCGAAGTCCTTTCCAATGCGCAATTCATTTGCCGGAGAGGTAATCTCAAGCATCCATGTCGCTGGGTTGTACCCATCGTTTATTGGAGTTACTCCATCAACAGCCTTCATCATAATAACCATCCCGGAAAAGGTGAACTTGTGCAGTTGCCGTTTTAAATCTCAGATTTAGATAGTTATAAGCAGATGAAAGAATTCGCTACTTATATACTTGAAGGCATTCACAACCTTAGAATCGATATTAGTATGCTAGCTCGTGAATTTAAAATCACGAGGGTCGGAAGCTCCTTGACAGCTGTGTGAAGGTTAACAAAAATCTGACCTAATGTGGGTCTACACACTATGATAGTCACACATGTATGCATGGTGAGAAATCAGACTTTTCCTGGTTTAGTATCATATCCATCAAGATCACCTGAAAATATTTGATAAGTAATTCCGAATTTGTCCCTAAAGGTCCGGAATATATAACTTGCCCACCACGTTTCATAAGCAAGAGCTGCAGGACAGATAGCAGTTTCCAAATGTATGAATACCTACAGTTTTAAATTTGATGGTTCTGGACTCGTTATCAAGGGGACTCGTTGAAATCATGTCTATAGTACTGCAAATATTGGAAACATCAGAGCAAAATCGAATAGGTGAATGTGTTTGTACGTACCTCATCAAAGGCTTCAAATATGTCAATGCTCGGTTGATGAATGGTGCACACTACCGTTCTTCCCGTGTCTACGGTATTCCTTACTGTTCTCATGACAATTGCGGCAGCTCTAGCATCAAGGCCGGAGGTTGGTTCGTCCATAAAGATAATAGATGGATTCGCAACAAGTTCAACTGCAATTGTGAGACGTTTTCTCTGCTCAGTGGACAGCCCAGTGCTGCCTGGTAAACCAACCAGCGCCCCCTTTAATGATGCTAGCTCCACCAGATCCATAACCTCTTGCACAAACTCCTGCGCATCATATATGTCAAAGCAATCCCTGAGATTCATTGAGTCCAGTGAATAAAAATTCTACAAGCCAAAGTAATCCTCGATGTTATGGAGATGAATTCAAACTCGTAATTTCTTTATCCACATGGAGCACTCATACCAAGCGGGTAGATTCTTGCACTGAATCTGGAAGGCGAAGCCATGATGAGTAGATCAATGATTCGTAAACCGTAACCTGCGGAGAATGAATGTCATTTTGCTCCACGTATCCAGATATACGAGCAAAAGTATCTTGACGCTTTGTGAAACCTGAAACTCTGATATCTCCATCTATGTATCCACCAGTCTTTCTGCCTGCCAGCACATCCATCAGTGTGGTCTTTCCAGCACCACTTACTCCAACGAGCGCCGTGAGAACCCCTGGTCTGAATCCACCGCTAACCTTTTTCAGTAGATGCAACCGTAATTCGCCTGTACCTCCTTCCTTTAAGTGCTGCTTCAAAACAGTTCATGGAATTTAGAAAATAGCTTTCAGGAGGTTTAGATGAGAGGCGTGAGAGGTTCAAATGCAGCTGGAAGCATGAAAACTACTGGTCATCATTTGAGCACAACAAGGCTACTTTTGATGCAGTTGATGATCCAGTGAACGAAACCATGCCACGAGAACGGTGTTTTGCACTTACAGGAGGCATGTCAACGTAATAGTTGACGTTGCGGAAAGTAAGAGACAGAGGCTTGAATGGAATAATCATCCCTTTCTGAGCTCTAGGAGTCTGCTCTGAGGATGGTCCCCCCTCGAGGTCCACTTCCGAACGTACACTTGTTCCAAAAACCCTTTCTAAGTACATCTTGGTTCCTGGTGTAATTTCTACAGCCCCTACAGAGCAAGTCAAAATGAATCAATACGCCTGTTCTGGTTTTGTGACCCTGCCGTATCGAAAACCTCTATGACCATTTAGAGGCATGAGAGAATGAGGACTTGACCTCGTGCGCTAGTTTCAATCACAGAGGAAATTACTAGAGACTTGCTAACAGCTAAATTCTTGGATTTAATTACCCCCTGAATGCACGAAGCTACTGAGATTCGCTTCCACACTTTGAAGGTCTTCTCTGTCAGTGTCTGCAGTGACATCTGGTATACGTCAGCAAAACTGCTCTTCGTGTTCTTTCCTATCAGAAGATTGTACTGCTTGCTATCTAGTGAAGGTTAAGGTGTATCTGTTAACAAAGAAAATTGTCCCGTTGGATGCATAGACACTGAGGTAGCTACGGATGTCCCAGCCTACTGATTTATATAAACACATGTTTACATGATAATATAATATGCAGAATGGTCGTCTGCGAAGTACAGTTAACCGGTACCGGATATATCAAGATTTGAGTCACCTTCTGCGCTTCTTGCGGGTACATCTGACTCTGAGTGAGAACCTTCATCAGTATTTGGGACCCGTTCTGCAATTATAGCTGTTGTCGCAGACTCAGACTGAGAACCCTCTCCAACTTGCTTATCGATTGAACCTTTTACTGCAGATTCCGGCATGCTTGCCTGCTTTTGACCAAGAGCTGGAACAACGAGTAAATTCTGATCAGATCTCACTTTCAACGAAGCGATGAATGAGCAGAGAATGAGATATAAATGTGAAAGTAATGTGAACACAAAAGACACCTTGAAGATAATGTATCCGCTACGGATTCGGTACTTCTGACCTGACTCTAGTAGTTCACGTTTTCTCCTTCTCTTCCATGCAGCTTAACTTTGTGTAGATTAGGATCCACCACTCAGACTAGAAGGTTTAAAGATTGATGTCATTACGATCGAGGTACTTCAGTGCATATGTAACCATAAAGTTGAACAGGATGGTATATGCTATGAGAACTCCAACTCCGATCCAATACCAAAAGCTTTTCGTTTTAAGCCCCCGTGAAAGAAGCACGTTCAAGGAAAGTGAGTTGTTGTTCACTGAGCTGATCTGCACATGTACGACATAGTACTTAGAATGAAGACCCTGGACCTCGTTCGGTCTACAGTCCATGTGCATTCGAAGCAGAGGAATTCTTTCGATCAGATTTGGCACAAATGAACCTTTGGCTGGACAGCACATAAAATTGATCTGTTATTTCCATGTAGAAATATAACTTCAATCAATCCCAAATTGCTGTCCTTAGTACGTAAAATAACTGTCTACTTGAGAAGATTGAGATTAATCTGGTACCGCTTGTTGACTGCTGGTGGGTAGTATACCCTCTACTGTCGCAGTAAGCGGCATGTATAGCCAAAAGCTTCCTTTCTGGTAAGAAATTCTCGAAGTAAAGTTCACTGTAAGCATGCACTAGTTAAAGAAGGAACAAACACTTCTTACAGTACCTTATTCCACCGATTATCGAGAAACTCGTTCACTGCGATCGCATTCTGTGCGTATGAGAGAGGTGAGACCCAATACCCCCATTCCCAATAATTGTGTATGCTATCTGTATCAAAGCAGTTTTCAAAATGTGGATTGAGATAAAGCATGCAATATGGAGCCTCTACAAAAATAAATTGAGGAGATCATTATCTTTGTATTCCTGTCTACAGGATAATCTATTAATGTGGGATAGTGTCACACGTAAGATCGTCGGACGGGGATTCACCTTTCGAGAGTATGAAACCACCTAACAAGAACACAACAATGAGAGCAAACGTGCCGAAAGTATTTGCTATAACCATAGTTCTTCCGAGCGCACCAATGAGCCTGAAGAGGCCTAATGCCATCTGATGCATAAGTAGTAGTAAAAACATGTAGCGAAAGAACCTGCATGTCCAAACCCGGCCTATTCAATATTGTCAATGTAAATCAACAAGTTATGTGCATACACTTGGGCTAGTCCTAGAGGAAATTTGAGGGTTTATAATGCTCATTCTGATCAACATGAGGTCCCTAGTAAAAGCAAGCTCGCTTACTTTCTACCGTTGGATTGGGTAGAGCGATTTTGCATGCGATGCACCCTTGTGACTACTGAACTCTGACAATGCCCAAATGAAACTATTGTCGATGTGACTAGCTCACCTTGTAGCTGAAGGAGCCAGTCCGATTACATAGTACACCATGCACGACCAAATGATGGCCTCGGCAATTGAGTATGGTACCCGTAATAACCAGCAAGGAAAGGTGAAAGTCCAAGTTGGAAAGAAATAATTATCACGCTGCTTGTAGAGTACAGGAAGTCGTAGGACTGTCATGGCCATTTCTGAGAATCCATTGAACATCATGTGAATCAATGCAAAAAACAGAGATCCCAGATAAAGGTTCCCAAATTGCTCATCGGTCGGGTGAATCCTAGCTCGAATGAATAAAGTAGACGTCACAAAGCCCACAAAGCCCACCTGCACGCTACTGTTTGTCATTACAAAATTCACCAAAGTAGCATTTTGTTTCTGCGTCATAATGCAAGTGGTGAGAACCTAGTATGCACATGTGCTTCTTGAAACTTCTTGAATCTTAAAACATGAAATTGATAATTTGCAACCAAAATCTCTCGAGGATTCAGATTCACTAGCACAAAAATAAATATACCACGTGATGCTTGGCAAATTCCATCAAAACTTGAGGTTTAAAGGTCAAACAAAAAATACACTTGCCTGACATGTACGAAAGATGTAGAGGAAGGCATTTCGCTTAATGAGTGTCATTTCTCGCTCCGTGCAAGCCTTAACAAGTTGCCATCCCGTGAGAGCATATTTATTCCGTACAAGTGCAGCAGGGTGGCTTTTCCGTCTCTCAAAAGGAGTTTCCATGTAAGAGGCAAGCTCCTGGCCTGTAGGATAGGCTTTGAAGGCAGCCGCCATTTCTTCCACGGATATGTAGATGTAAGGCTTGTCTTTATCTGCCCAATACTGCTTCTGGTCTTTCTTGGAGGTTACCTGGAGTCACAAAAAGAATTTGTGTCACGTGATACATTTCCAAATCAACGAATTACCCAGAACACTTTTTTGGGGAATGAGAAATTCATTAAATCGTCCGAATCAGCATGTGCAATTATGTCACCTCTTGAAGGAAGTCCGCGATTCCTTTCCTTGGGGGAAGCTTGAAACCCAGCGTTTCGAAGAACTCAAGCGTCCCATCACGTGGTCCCAAGTATACAACAAGGCCCTCGGACATAAGTAGTACCTCATCAAACAGCTCATACGTTTCAGGTGCTGGTTGGAGAAGCGCAATCATAACGGTTGCTTCCATCGTGTGCGTGATATTTCGCAGGCATTTAACAACTTGAAAGGTTGTAGAACTGTCTAAGCCCGTGGAAATTTCATCCATAAACATAACACGCTTCGGGCCAACAATCATCTCTCCTGGAGCACAAGAAATCGTTCGAAAGTCTTGGAGAAGAGTCATGGGAAACAAATTTATTAACGACTGTAGGTCAAAAAGGTCATTTCATCTGCATAAGCCATAATGTAGAGGTTGTTCAGACTTGCCAACCACGTAATCCGATATCAAACAATTTGGAGCCTTGGGATGACTGCTCTCTGATGGGAAAGCCTAGTGGGCCTTTGAAAAACTACAGAATGGAATGCATTCTTTGAATTTTATCAGCAAAGTTACGTGACGATAACTTCATCAAATTTGCAGCAGTGGACTGAAGCAAAACGAACCAGTGGTGACACGTTTCTTTTGACCTCCTGAAATTCCTCGCAGCATCTCATTGCCCACCAAGGTATCGGCGCATATGTCAAGACCAAGAAGTTTGAGAATGTAATCTGTTGATAGACTACTTGGTGCACCCTCAATAGCGATGCCCTGCGCGGTGTTTGGGTTAATCTTTCAGGAGAGGTGGCCCCATAATCTTGTAAGAAATTCTGTCGAACTAACCAGAGATTGCAGTGTGGACTTTGGTAGACAATTTCTAGAACATGATGACTTCGCATACATATGAAGACATCCTTTGCCGGAACTAACCTTCATAAAGGCGTCAATTTCTGGATCAGGATGCACACCGTCTTCCATCTCCTTTGCAATCAATTCTTTCAACAAATCTGCCGATAATTTCCCCCAAATTAAAATATGTTTGTCAGAAGGACTCGAATGGTACAAGATTAGCTCAGAACCGTTGGAATACTCGATAAGAAATAATCACGAGCAAACAAACAAACTTTACCTAGGTTGTAGCCAACTCCCATACAACGTGCTGCAAAGTCCAGAGTCTCTCTTACTGTTAGTTCACCGATATGATTGTCATTCTGGCTTACGTAGGCGGATGTACGCTCAGCTATGAACTCAGTCATATCGTGACCATTGTAGGTAATACTACCAAGTTTCTGCACGGCGAGCCTCTTGTTACTGCAGACAGCAGTCGTACTCACAGTATTGTGAGTGTACAATCACAGATTTGGTTCTTAATATTTGATAGGTCCTCTTTCGTCCGTTACGACTAGGCTGCAGCAATGAAAAGACGTCGTGAACTTGCCCCTAGGTGATTGTTAGACTTCCTTTCTTGTGGCTCTCAATACAACACATTCGCGCCTGTTTGTACTTGTATGCATCCCTGGTGACACGGAGACAACACCGTACAATATTGTGATATTGTCACGCAGGGTGTTCACTTACTTGATGCTGTGGGCCACTTTTAAAAAGGCTTTCCCATCTCGATAGTCCTGCGCCGTGAACCTTCAAGCGACAACAATTTGATGTTTATATCTCTCCTTACCTGGTTTCTAAAACGCAGGGAGGCATAAATAGGAAGGGTCTGAAAACCACGAGAAAATTTTACGAGGTACCGAGCCGAAAGGTGGGGAAGTCGGCAGATCTAAGTTACGGAATGTGGGAACTCTTAAGATATATAGTACGAAAAACCGCGTAAAACTGATCGCAGAGAAAGATACTGAAGGCGTACAAAAAACGGCTGCGGGAGATGGAGATGCTACCGTGAGCACCCTGTGCACTTGATTCAGCTGCAGTCCTAAAGCTGTCAGTAATATAACATTTCTGACGTTGAGCATTGTGGCTACAAGGGTAAACAAGATGTGAACCTTAAGACCCTTGTCGTGCTTCCCAGCTAAAGCCTTCAACAAAGTCGACTTTCCGCAGCCTGGTGGTCCGAGAGCCAGAAGCATCCTGCTCTTCAATTTCAACTATACGCTGTCAGTTCACAAATGGCTCTAAGGGAAACTATTCGCTCCTCTGCAGAAATACACTTCGTTCTAGCTTGCATTGTATATAACAAAGCATGTACTTAGGGATTTTTATGTTGAAATCGACACGAGTATTGAAGCTTGTCTGACAGCTCCGCACAACAAATATTAGAGCTATCGACTGATCCAGATCGAAGTCGTTAAGATTTTCTCGAAATTGTTACAAGACCACGAGCTTTGTGTAAGTGGCTTCGACTCGTGAGCTAAACTTGCCTTCCAGGCTTTACAACGCCGCTCACGCCATTCAGAATAATGAAATCTTGTTTGTTGGAGGGTATTAACCTACATGCCTCCAAAAATCCCTGCGCAAAGGTGGTCGTCTTGTGAATTGGTTGGTGAAACCAGTGTTGAAATATCTCCTGTGGGCAAATTTAAAAATGTTTATTCTCAGCAACCTGTTCAGACAGGGTTTCTGATTAATTCACCTCCCACATGTTCCGAACAAAATTGGGCAACGTTGGCAAAGCGCGGTTTCCAACGTAAACTTCGGCACTGATCGTTAAACCTTCGAACCGCACCTCCACCGTCGGCAGCGACACCCGAGCTCTATACACCGCTTCTTCCTCAGTCAAAAAGTGTTATAAGTTACTGCAAGAAACGTGCTTTCCATTGTCCAAATCTGATGCAGAGTTTTAAAAGTTCTTTTTTAATCACGACAAATTACGACAAAAATTACAAAGCCACGTAACATAGTAATAAGTCGACGGAAGGCACGTGGCAATGGCGAGTGATCCTCAGTATGCGTCATCAAGCAGACATGATTGTGGCTACTCCAGTAGCTTGGCGTTCAATTCTCTACCAGCTTCAGCAAGTCATACACACTTGTGAACCTCCGATCGAGTTCAGGGCTTTCTACGCTCTAGAAGACAGTTTTGAAACACATGACAGTCGACGTCTCGACTTTCAACATGCATAAACGCCGCAAGTAGAAGAGTTAATGTATCACCGGTCTATGCGCTGTTTGCAGTGCAATAGAAGGCGTTCATTGTCTTGATCGCTGGTCTGAAACGTCTTCTCCACGAGCTTTTGTCGCTGAGACTTTTCTAAGGTCCGCATATCTGTAACTTGTAACTTCGGCCGAGTTAGGAAACATTGCACTTGTCCAGGAATCTCAAGAAGGCCAGTGTAAAGTCGCTGCTCAGGTGGCATGTTATCAATATCTTTCCACTCTGTTTCCAATTCATCCTCGTTAATGTCCGTAAACAGGGGATTAAGAATTCTGGACAAAGTTGTCGGCAGATTCATTTCAGATGTCTACGAGCCCAATGGGACCAACTCCGAAAAATCTCATGTGCCCTCTCCTCCGAGACGTCAAGACTTCAGTTCGTTCACCGAACACTCAAACGCGTGAAATCGGCATTCCCGTAACCTATCGCAGCGTCCAGACTCACTGATCATAGAAATGCTAGTAGTCAAATGCAATCCGAGATCCCATGCGAAGCCAAAAGCTACAATTCTACGGCTCAAATGTGTGGGTCAATTTCAGACGTCTCCGGTTTCTCCGGCCTGATGTTCCGTGCATCGGCATCTGCAACACATTCTGCGAGTGCGAGGTCAACCAAGAAAGCAAGAAAAGCAGCGCGGGCCGATCAAGCGAGCGAGAGGGGACGAGACATGCGTGTCAAGATATTCTTGTGTTTGAAATGCCTTCGTTCATGGGTTGGCACACACCGAAGCAGTTGCTTCGACAGGACCTCACAGTGGTTACCTCCACTTAACCACGGTCAAGTAAGCTCGTAAATCGGCTAGTAATTTCATCTGTTTCTTTCTTCTTTCGATCTGACTTGTTAGTTTTCCTCTAGCAATTACCTTGTCTTGATCCAGGATTTTCCATATCTTGTCAAATGTTTTTGATCTTTTAAACTTTTTTATCTTAAAAAGTTTTAAAATCTGAAGAATATTTTCATCACATTTTTTCATATTCATTCATTGATTTGCCCCAATTTATGATCTACCATATACAAAGTATATAAATATCAATTCTACCTCCTTTGAATTTAACACATAGCACCAAGATGTTCAGTTGAAGATTATATATTGATCTATTAGTTGCTGTTTTAGTAACATTCTAGTGAAAAAACTATGAACGATCGATAAAACAATTGTTGATTCCAATTTTCAAAAGTTATTTTCCCTACAGTAGGTCATGAACCTTTACCTTAATATAGATATCAAGATATAACCAAGTCCAATTTTGAATCAGTAATAAGATACGATACTTACATATTTTTTGCTCAAATGATGATGGATGAAACTCTATGAAAAATTATTTATAAATAATTCGGTTTAAGGATTATTCATTTTCAGGGTATTCTGATCTTGAATAATCACAATTTGTACAGATTGATAGCTGATTCAAAGCCAACAAAAGTTATTACATGATATGTTCATTTTCATATTAGAGTAAGAAAATTGTAAAGGTGTGCAATTTTCACCTCTTGATAAATTTATATGATGCATTAATGTCCTGCAATACGTATGAACTTGCAGATCTCATTGTACCGTGAACGTTGTATCATTTAGGCTTTTTTTGTTAAGTACATCAATACATATTATCATATAATCATTCCAATAAAATTATAGTTTGTAATTTATAAAAAATAAGAAATCAAATAAATTGAATTGATGATAATTGAATTGATATGAAACCTACTTCTGATATTTGTAAATGTATTCATTTGATACTATGCCCGTACAAATTTGGAAACAGTGGAGTATTTCTTCATATATAATGGAGTCATAGGTCTAATCAATAATATAATAAATGTATATGTGAAATATTTTTGTAATTCATAACTACAAGAAAATCGTATTTTCTATATTTTAACTATATAAATGATGAAATAAACATTAGATCTGATATATTTCTATATTTTCACATTAACTATTTAGAGGTAAAAATATACAAACTTAAGATCAAAAAATAACATTCACAGTTTCATGCCAAAAAAGACATTAGTAATCCTTTATATTCACATAAAATCATGAATGACGGTTGGATATACTTTCATTTGATTAATATAAGAACACTAATTGCTAAAATAATAATAATTTCATTGATAATATATTTGGGAATTAATAAAACAAATAATTCATAATCATCACTTTTAAAATCAAATATATTCAAAAAACAAACAGAAAATTATTAAATTATTAAAATAAAAAAACGTTGATACATATTGATTAAGCTTGTCTAATGGTATACAAACACTTTTTGTCTAATTTTTATCATTATTTTCAAGAATAATTCAAATATTTTTACTTCGAATTTAATATCTATTTAAATATTGATTATGAATTAAATAATTTAAATTATAATTAATTATAATTTCATAATCATAATCAATTAAAATTCTGGTAGATTATATTTGCATGAAAGAATTTTTCTTCTATAATGTTAATAATTTATATGAAATATATAGCCCAAAATCTGAGTGAAATAATTGTATTATGATGTTTTATTAAAAAAACATAAACATTTTTCACAAACTTGTTGTGCTTTAGAGATTTGATATTTTAGTTTTATATAATTGACATGATATTTTTAAATATATAAATTTTCCACATTCAATTCATGCACATGTAAATCTCAATGTTGAATCTCAAGGTAGAATTGAAATTTTCTTATCAATTTAAACGTAAAAGAGTATCTTTTTTTATGATATATTAGCATTCATATCTTGTTCATTTACAAATATATGCATGTTTTTCATGCCATTCATAACTTGCATACTTGATGATAAGCAACAGATTTTATATTCTAGTTATCATGGCATGCAAATTTTTTTTATGACAAAACACTCGAAAGCTGAAAAGGTGATGTATGAAGAAAATAATTGTTAAAGACTAATTCAAATTTCGGTAAACTTTGACTTGCTTAATCATATTTTCTTGATTTAATCAAATGTTCATTGTATAAGAAAGTTTATCTTCATTGTAAGTGTCGTAAGTGGAGATGTCTGCAGAGCAAAATTATGTTTTCAAAAACATAACCACAACAAGATGAATCACGTATTGTATTTTAGCTATATGTGTTACGTTTGGGTTATGACTAGGATGAACGAATAGTTGCATTGAACATCAACCATTGATAAAAGAATGTGACTTTCTAGATTTTAGTAGCCTTTATGTTTCACCAAACAGATAATATACTAAAAAATAATATTCAAACTAACATTGATAACTATACCGTTGATCACATATCACAGATAACTTATTTGTGTTTGTAAATCAATTTATTGATTGAATACAAATAACGATTTGTTCATGCATGTGCTTGTGATTGTGTTCTGTTTCATTTTCGATCAAATGGCAAAATATATACGAAATGCCATCTTCAGTTGATTTGCAAGATTTTCGACCAAATAAATATTCGTATATATTTTTCTTTTTTTAGGTAAGACTATTATATAACAAATATATATATCAAATTCAGTGAATATATTATTGAAAGATTTGAAATGGACTTTCATATATCTCAAGTTTATGTTAGATATTGATCTTGTGTCTCCTATGAATTTGTTAAATGTTTGATCATTGACTGGTTATGTAAATGTTGACCATGAACAAGATATAAATGAAAAAATTTCATGATTAAAAGTCTGATTACATTTTAAAATAAATGCATGAGTTAGAAATCTGCAATGCATAATTTATAATTCAATTCACTTTAAAATCTAAGTATTTAACGAGTAGAAGTAACAAATGGGTCAATTTGGTTGGATAAACTTCTCATTGACATGAAATAAACAAATGATTTTGTGAATGTTAATGTTTACATATAGTTTTGAATTATGTGATATATATTACAACTTAAAACATATTTTTATGTATCATATTATCAAACGCATATAATGATAAATGATTAAACTAATCAAGATTGACATTATAGTCAATCATGATGATAACTACATTACACCAAATTACTTAGAGAGTTTTCACAACATCAAACTATATTGCAAACTTTGCATATTGATAGGAATACATTAAACTGAATTATTAGAATTACTTAATCATATAATTTACAATCTGAATTATCTGATAAAATAAACTTATAGATTATGAAGGTTAGTTTCTCAAGACATGAATCAAGGTGAAAAGTTAGGTCTAAGTTAATTCTAGCTAGCTTAATCATGGCTAATCATACATTGAACTTGCCACTCTATAAGAAAAATAATTATAATTCAAAGAATTTTAGTAAAATGATTTTTTTCCCATGGACATAGCATCACCGAGATGAACTACATATCTTATCTCTTAGCTATGCGCTCTCTCATTAAATCATACTTAAGATGTGTGTGAAACACCAATACATGTGATAAAGATATTTACTAACTTTGATTAAGTATTAAAAATGACTATGACTTCATAATAATTGGAAATGTATGTGTGTTTTTAAAAAAAATTATGTGATAAATCAATTTTTTTATTGTGTGAGATATCAAACATTTTATTATTTTTCTGGAGATAGAGTCTGTTATTTTCAAACTTAAGATAAATAGTCATTTAATATTCAAGAATACTTTTGAAAATTCATTGTTTCAAATTTTTAATTTTCATTTTATATACATCTTTTACAGTTCAAATTAATCCACAATATCAATATACATATATGTATTGTAAATATGCTTTTAAAACTTCATTTATTCAAAATGTAATAACAATAAGGTATCAATTATCTCACTTAATCAAATTTCAAATACGTATAATTATAAAAACTATATATATATATATATATATAATGATGATAACAATACATCTTGAATTGAATATTACTAGTTAATGCACATGTTAATTTTGAGTTTATTTTGATGCTCAAGTACCCCAAAGGTCTTGGTGACCCTTCTTAGCTATATTTGACTAGGACCAAGGTTATTCATTAACACGAGTTAACCTTAACATTTTTATGGAAATTAAAACATTTTCTTTTGATTTTATTATGTCAATATCTTTATTAATCTAAGATTTGAACTTTCTACATGATACTTTTATTTGCAATTGTAAAAACGGCATAAGAATTGTGTTATTGTAATGAAAAAATCATATATTTATTCAACATATATATATATATATATATATATATATGTTGAGAAATGTGTTATTGAGTTTAAAATGTTATGTTAACAAAATACATTCTCGGACAACCAAAGAATCGAATGATTAAATCAAATGACTATGATCCAAACGAGGATCATTGTCACTTACGTGGGAACCATATCGGAATCCTTATCTAAAATGAGGTACTATGAGGCTGGCTGATTGCAATACTTGTCAAGGTTTCAATAGGGCAGATAAGGGGTTTCAAACCATCCACCTGAAAGATAGGTAAAGGTGATGTGAACATTCTAAGTTTTTGGAAGATTTTATTTATTTATAGTGGCTTGACTGGAGAGATCGAGTCATCTCTCCAAAGAAGTAAACGTCAAGATGTATGCTTTTTCGAGTCCCAAAGGAACAATGTTGGGCTTTGTTCAATTAAATTAGAATTATTATATGTTGAAAGTTATCACAATCTAAAATGGAAAATCATGCAAAAATTCATATATTGGATGGATTTAGTACAGCATAGAACTTGAAAGTAACAAATCGATGCCCATCGAGGTTACATGATGGTTATAATGTTTATAACCTAGAATCTGCAATAGCAATCGATATATTTTTCCAATATTGACTACGTACATATCAACGAAAGAAATTCGTACGAAACTCTGTAACTTCATACGAAATTCCTGCCGAGACCAAAGGACTGAATTTCATTATTCCTGTTGTTCAAGTAAGATACTTACATCAGAAATCTTTTCTTATACCAGGTGCTAGGCGTACGGGGAAGCAAGAAAACGTATGATAGGGCACTGTCCACCTAACAAACCATATGCATAAGTTTCTAAATGTAGAGATGTTATATAAACCACTAAATCTTCTTCATGCCCAAGTAAAAGCTTAGCTGTGAACATTACTTAAAGTATCGACTAATGGGACAAAATTACTGGTTTTTTTTGGATGTCTAGTATTTCATCCCCTACCGTGCACTGCAATCTTTCTTTTTGAGGTCTCAACATTAGAACCTGCCAGTTTCGAGTACAAACAAGTCAAAAACCCATAACTAGAAGAACCATGGGACAAGTATAAGTCTTTCTTCTCAGCATTTGCAATTGTATTTCGAGCTGACAAATTTTTCTAGATCAGCAATGTTCTCATTTTTGCCTTTGTAATTTCCACCCTCTCATTTTATTCCCCCCCCTATATGTTGATTTATTTGCAATGTATGGTTTCACATTCTCCTGTTTTTCTCCCGTCCTGGGCACACAAAGGCACAAGCGGGGTCCAAGTAGATACCAGAAAAGGATGGGCAGACCCCATCAAAACTTACAAGGAAAATGTGTAAACTAGGGCTATGCGCTAAGAGTATCACAATGGGAAATATTGTCAAAATGATCACTGGAAGTTGGTCCTCCATTTTTTTTGTCTTTATTCGTTAAGTGTTCACTTGTTGGCGTGTTCGCTCGGAGGCCGCATCGCCTGATGAGTCAACAAATGGTGTATAAATCGAGACTGCCGCATACTCGAAGCAGGCGTCGGTACGCCGTCTAGTCGAGAGGGACCTTCACAGCTTTCCCGTTGCCTGGAAAAATGCAGTACGCCCGGGAGGCAACGGAAAGAGGCGACGCACACAACCTTACAAATACAGTAATAGTCCTTAGGAAACATCCCTTGAAACGAAAACGCCGGAGACAGACAAGTTGCGAGCAGGAGCAGCAGCGACGACGACGACGACGACGACGGAGGGCAGGGCAGGGCTGGGCAGGGCTGGGCAGCCCTAATGGCCTGCAGCGCAGAGAGCGATGGAGCGGAGCGCGTCGCGAGAGAGTGACGTGTTCACGAGGCAGGGCAGGGGAAAAATCGAGCGAGAGAGAGCTTGAGGTTTCGCTGCAGGAGGACGGTGTGTCGATGTCGACGATGGGCAGATAGTTCCTTCTGACACCAGAGCCGTCCAGAAGGGAAGAGACGAGGGAGAGAGAGAGACAGAAGGAGAGGAGGAGGGGAGGTCGACGGATTCGGTCGGAGGAAGGGCAGGATTGATTCGTGGCAGGTTGGTTCGTGCAGACCGATTGCGCCAGCCGGGAAAGGCAGGAGGATTCGTGAGCAGCGATTGGCAAGATTCTTCGTCGTTTGCATGTTTGGTTGGGTTTCGAGGTGGAGCTTTGTGCTGCGGAGGTCGGGTTGGGCGAGTCGGAGCGCGAGGTTGTGGCTCGTAGAAGGTTGCCGATTGTGTGAGATTGCCAAAAATCCCTGGAGAAGGTCCTGACGTTTGCTGGGGAGAGTAGTGCTCCCAAGAGGAAGGTCTTAAACGCGTCGCTGTACGTAGGGTTGCATCTGGTGGATTGGATTACTTGTGTTTTCCGGAGGTATGAAAATTTTGAGTGATTAGAGTTGGACGATTTTTGAAGCTGCGGAGGACTCAAGAGTTCCAACATGGCGTGGCGCCAGCTGGTGGAACAGGTAGCGCTTGCCTGTCATTAACTTCACTGGTCAATACCTTCCAGAGAGATCAGTCTATTATTTGACGTTGAGAGTTGGTTTATCGTTCGACTTTTTGTATTACAACAGCATTGCGTGTATCTTCATGTGGCGGAGTGATCGGCCTCTGCCATCTCCACAGGGAGCGAGTGCAATTACGTTGATTGTGGGGCAACTTTCAATCATGACGATATCGATTAGAGATGCTGTTATTTATCCCGAAAATATCATAGATCTCACAGTACATTCGTGTAGGAAAACCTATTTCATGTGAAGTGCGGCGAGCTTTGTAGAGGTTTTTTATTACAATCAAGGGGAATGAACGCACCGCATCAAATGAATACGAGATAGCTAACGTCGATGGGTCGTGTCAACCTAAATTATTCTTGTCGAGATGATGTGCTGCGTAATTTCCTTCACTTTCTAGGCGCATATTGCCAAATGAATGTTTTATCTGTTTTGCTGAGTGTTTGAGTTAACTTACATCCGGCGAATTGTTTACCCGATCCTGCGTGACGTACATGATCATTTATTGGATACTAGTCGATCCTAGCGCAGCTTGTGTCGTAGTGGTTTATAGCTGATAATGAAGCTGTGGGGTAACTTTTTTTGTCCACATCTTTCTAGACTAATTTATTTTTCTGGGCCCTGCTGACTTTCACCATGTTTCTTCCCTGAAATGACCCGCGCGTCACAAGGTTTTATTGTAAGAATTTATCTCGTGTAAATGCTTCAAGATCCCACTGCTGATTATTCTGCTTCTTCAATGATTGAGGTTAGGTCTCTCAGGCACTTCTCACATTTGTTCAACCAGAGTTGGTGTACTGATACACCGATACATCACGTTGCACGCAGCAGGGAACAGCCCGATATTTTTCTTCTTTCTTTGATAATTACTTGTTCTGTCGAAGATAGGCTAGTAGCTCCCTTTCAGTAGAGGAAGTCTAGAATCACACCAGATCAATAGTTACCCACCCCAGGGCTTCGTTTGATGCCCTTTAAACAGTTACGATAAAGATGCCCGGAGATTCTACGAACAAACTTATAATTTGCATTTAAGATAATCTAGGTTTGTTGAGATTGAGGTAATAAACAGCAGGTTTCTGCTTTATGAGTTGTTTCTCGTCTGAAATTCAGGGATTTTATGCTTGGTCGAGTTCTACTTTCATTTTCCTTTTCATTATCCAGCTACCTATACCGTGTGCACAAAAGTATGGTGAAAAGCATGAAAGAGAAAAGGAGTGAACCACTTGACAACTTTTTAACAACTTTTACAGTATGGTCTGAACATCCATCGTCTTTGGACGAGCAGTGAGACCCTACCATGCCCTATGTTTTGTTTCGTCGCTCTCATTATCTTCGCACAGTTTCATCATTTATATCCTCCTACGTTCGTTGACATTAAGAGGTGTAATTTTACTTGTCTGAACGACTGAATCGCTCTGTGCAGGGTGGATCTGCTGTGAAGCAGGTCGCTGCATCTTCTGTATGGGCTGGAGTTAGAAATGACTTCCGGACGTCCCTGTTCAATCTTGGTTCGCATGTGCACAATCTCACAGATGGAGGTGAGTACACTTTTGTAATATGAGAGCATACTTAGGCCTGAAGGTTTATTGTCCACTTGGGAAAAATCATAACTTATCAGTTGAAGGCATGTTTTCTTCTAGGTCTTCGTCCGTTGGCTTTGTGTCCAGGATCTGTGCATTGTGGTATCCAATATTAGGTTTACAGTGTAGTTGACCAGGCCGGGGTGGTCATATTTATACTTCACGAACTGCTACTAAACGAAGTTATTCTAAGAAGTATGCATTTGTTTTCGTACTGAACCTACCTACCTGTCTTTCCGCTGTTGCAGGTTTAACTTTCCAAAAGACTCAAAAGCGCTTCATGTCGGGTTATATGAGTGGGTTTTCCCGGAGGTTGGAGCAACTTGAAAGGGAATCCAGCAAATATGGCACAGATGATAAGCATGCAGCTGTATTGAGGGAGTTAAATAAGGTTGACCCAGAAGGGGTGATCAGATGGTTTGAGACTCAATCTGCCGCTCACCGTAGTCCAGCGGCTCTTGCAGAATACGTAAAGGCTCTGGTCAAAGTGGACAGGTTGGATCAGAGCGCTCTTTTCAAGACCTTGCAGCGAGGTAATACCCGAACTGAAGCCGTTCGGGCCGGATTTAACTTCTTATTTTATTCCAAATTGACATGGGAAATTTCTTTAGAAGAATTCCAGGCGGGTTCAAGATACATATGTACAGTTTGTTCTAAAATTTTTGAAGTATTTCTGAGTTCACTACATTGGGTAACAGATATCATTCTTTCAATCATCGGTATCTTTTATCACAACCTGTGTTTTGACAGCCGCTGCGCAAAGTGGACTGGTGGCTCACTACGGTACGATTGTTTTTGAACTTCGGTTTGGCAGGTGCATCTGCTTTAGGTAACGACATCCGGGGAGACTCAATGCCAATTATGGCAGGAGCATCTTCACCTCTTGCTAATGTAGGAATGGTCACGAAGGATGGAGTTTTGGGAACCCCGAATGCTCCCATCCATATGATTACGGCTGAAGGGGGCCTAAAAGTACAGGCGTGGCGGACATTGCGAACTTTAGCTTTAGGTTTTCTTCTCCTCTCAGGTGTTGGTGCGCTCATTGAAGATCGGGGCATTGGCAAGGGTAAGTTCTCTACCTTCCTCCATTATCTATAACTCGACGGTGTATTCTGAACGGGGACCCTACCTTCGCATCACTCTTGGCAAGCCAAGCAGAAGTATCCTTTTTTTCCCCAACACCTGACTGTCAATCTACCATTGATTGGTAGCCGTCAGTGATGTGGGACGTTTGAAATGAAGTCCCTGAGAGCACTGTCTGAATAGTGGCAATGCTCTCTGTGGGTGAAGATCATGAACCATCATTGTGCGTGCAAGCTTCGAATTGAAGCTAGTAAAAGTGCTAGAAAGGAATCTGTAGTTGTAGGTGAGCTCTATGCCCACTTAAACGTGAGGACCTTGTCATGACAGTCTGTCAACTTTCAACAGCGAACTACCCTTAGTGATTTCTTGTCACTGCTTTATGTCTAGGCTTTGCTGAGTTGCCATGAAGACTGGAGGTGCGATTGATAGATTATCAAGTCGAAGCTTAATCGACGGGTCCGCACCAAGTCACTCATGCCGCTGGTGAAAATGGCAGGGCTGGGCTTGAACGAGGAGGTGCAGCCAAGCATAGAATCGAATACGAAATTCAGCGATGTGAAAGGCGTGGACGAGGCCAAGGCTGAGCTTGAAGAGATCGTGCACTATCTACGAGACCCAAAGGTTAATATTACATTATGTCTTCACTTATTTAGTTCGACAGCTAATAGCTGTAGTGCATCATTAGCAACATTCTTCCGATCCGAAAATGAGGAAACTGAGGCTTGGAATTTGCAAAAGCCTGTATAGATGCTGTCACAAACGTTTCACATGCGGTTGCAGTTTAACTTTGTGTGGTATGTGCATTGATCATTAAGTTCATAAATTTGCTGTTAGACTACCATATTTCATTATCATTAAGAACATGGTAATGAATATTTTGTTCTTCGTTTAAGCTGTTTGTCATGCATGTAGTATCTATGTTATAGCCCTCCTTCACGGTCGTAGTGAGACCGTTCGGTGTCATGCTTGTTGGTTACCGAGGAAACTTGCTTACTATGCTTCTTTCAGCTATGACAGGCCAATCCCAGTGAATACAGCAGAGTTTGTACTAGTCGACTTGCGTCTGCTAAATGCCGCTTAACAATGTCAACTTGGTGGCTGTGCAGCGATTTACAAGGCTTGGGGGAAAATTACCGAAGGGTGTTCTCCTGGTCGGACCTCCAGGGACTGGCAAGACAATGTTGGCCCGGGCTATTGCCGGTGAAGCTGGAGTTCCCTTTTTTTACTGCAGTGGCAGTGAGTTTGAGGAGATGTTTGTCGGTGTTGGAGCTCGAAGGGTTCGTGACTTGTTTTCTGCAGCAAAGAAAAGGTCACCCTGTATTATTTTTATGGATGAGATAGATGCCATAGGAGGAAGCCGAAACCCCAAAGATCAACAATACATGAAGATGACTTTAAATCAGCTCTTGGTCGAATTGGATGGATTCAAGCAAAACGAGGGTATCATTGTTATTGCCGCAACCAATTTCCCGGAATCCTTGGACAAAGCCTTAGTTCGTCCCGGTCGTTTTGATCGACATGTGGTGGTTCCTAACCCTGACGTCGAAGGACGACGGCAGATATTGGAGGCGCACATGTCTAAGGTTCGTTATTTGGTAACTCTGGAATTTGTGGACACTATGCAGACATTTAGTGGTTCCCCGTCCGAAGGTGCAAAATGTTTCTGATTGGATGGGAATTGCAGCTGTAAATACCATCACTGCCGCCACGATGATGGCGGGGGATTACTCGCCTGTTTAAAGTTCTACAGGAGTTTGATTTGTTTCTGGTCGCTGATCCGAAGTGCTTTTGTTCAGGTTCCGAAAGCAGAAGATGTGGATTTGTCAATTATCGCCAGAGGAACTCCAGGCTTCTCTGGAGCAGATCTAGCAAACCTAGTCAACGTATCAGCGTTAAAAGCCGCCATGGATGGACAGAAGTCTGTGAGCATGACAGACCTGGAGTTTGCCAAAGACAAGATAATGATGGGGAGCGAGCGAAAGTCAGCTGTTATCTCAGATGAGTCACGAAAGCTTACAGCGTACCACGAAGGAGGGCATGCTCTCGTGGCTCTGTACACGGATGGTATGATTTCTCTATAAATCAGGCAACTATTCTGGAATAAGAAAATGCGTTAATTTGAAACTCCTCTCTGAAATTCTGTTTTTTAAAATGAGGGATGAGTACAACTGTGTTAAGATGCAAATGCGAGGATGGTTAGGTTCCCGCAGGCGGTCTGAGCCCAACTGAAGCACGACGCCTAGTGATAACAGTGTCAACCTTGACGTCTACGTATAGGAGTCACGCTGTTATTTTTCATGGACTTTCAAAATCAGGAGGAAGCGGCGAAGACATCGTAGAAGAAGTTGAAATGACGTTATCGTCCATTTTAGTTCTGGATGGATCTTAAAACATGTCAGAAAAGTTTAGCGGCCTATACGTGCTCTGCGGAGCGCTCGTGGAGAGTGAGCGTTCTTCTGACTGACGACTTTTGTTGCTTTTCTAAATTCAGGTGCTCTTCCAGTGCACAAGGCGACGATTGTGCCCAGAGGCATGGCTTTGGGAATGGTCTCACAACTGCCAGAGAAGGACGAGACAAGTTTCTCTCGCAAGCAAATGTTGGCCCGGCTTGATGTATGCATGGGTGGTCGGGTTGCCGAAGAGCTTATTTTTGGTGAAGGAGAGGTTACATCTGGCGCCTCATCAGATATCGTTTCTGCAACTCGTCTTGCTCGAGAAATGGTGACAAAGTACGGTATGAGCAAGGCAGTTGGGGTGGTGGCACATAATTATGAAGATGACGGCAAGAGTATGAGCACAGAGACCCGTTTGCTCGTGGAACAGGAGGTAAGGGACCTCCTACAAAAGGCCTACGAGAACGCTAAAACCATTCTGACGACTCATCAGAAGGAGTTGCATGCCCTTGCAAATTCTTTGCTGGAAAATGAGACATTGACAGGAAACCAAATAAAGGCTTTGTTAGTTAGTGTAAGCTCTCCTTCCAAACCCGCCTCGGCACCCACGTCAATACCAGCACTCCCGTCCCCCTCCTCGGCTGCAGCATCAGCAGCCGCCGCCGCAGCCGCCGCTGCGGCTGCCGTAGCTAAACCGAACTCTGTAGCACAACCGGCTGGAACGTAGACGTTGATGGTTGGCGTGTTGAGATCTTTCGTTACAACATTTGACATCGAATGTGGCCTGCCTGCCTCTACCTCTTTGACTGATGTTGGATGTAGTCTGATGCAAATAGATACACTGAAAGCAGACAATGATACAGAAGTGGCATAGAGCCCCATCGTCATTTTCAGGTTGTAATTGGAGTGTCGCATGGATCTTCCCTGTCCGTAATGGTACGGGCTCTGCAACTGTATATTTCAAAGTAGAGAGAATGGGAGGAACACTCATGCGGCCACCCGCCCAGACCACGAAGTGAATGTTCGGACTGGCTGAAGTCTCTCAAAGGGCCAATCTGGGTTCAAGAATATACCTCCCCGACGATGTATTCGGCCGTCATTTAGGCTTGTTCACCATATTTTTAGTTGAGCCTCAGTTAGAATGTGAACGTATATTTAGACGATGGTATGCTGTCGCCATTCTCGAACAATATTGAATCGAGACTGTAGTGAGAGTCTCAACGGTGAAGGTGAATTCTTTCCTTCACTAAACAGTAAATGGAAGTGGGTCAGGTACAACTCGAATCAAGTTTCCGGTCAGCCTTCGTCCGATTACCTACTACTGTGTGTCCAATGAATGACACAATGTAAAATGATAATTTGTTGTCTCCTTTTTCGAGCTAAATTGTTGCAAAAATTGGTTGACACGAAAGATCTGAATAGCATTGCTTGCCGTCCACATTCGCCATTTCAGTCAATTCCTTCCGACTATAAACCGTGCGTCTTTTGCTTCGCCGCATAAATTGCCGGCGTGCGCGATTCTCACGTGTTGTTGGGCGGACGAATACACGAGTATGCCCAATTCGTCCTGCCACGTGACTCGCGTTCGGAGGAGAATACGTCACCCCGCGAACGTGAAACGTGCACAGGGCTCTCGGCCCAGTATCTTGAAACTGACGGACAGTGACCGCGAAGGTCAAATCGTGGGTGTGAACACGAACCAGGTCAAGATATGCATTTACGTGGTAAGGCACGAACCGGGTACGTGAGGGTTTGGTCCTGTGCGACGGCTGCCTCAGCGTCCGTCGTGCGGGGGCAAGAGCCGTGAGCATTCCCTCACGGAGGCAGGAAGTCAGCAGCCAGCATCGAAGCATCCGACGAGGACCCGGCATCCATCCGCTCGCCCGAGTCCCGTCCGCAGATTCCGCACCCGGGCAAGCATAGACCCGCTCGCCGCCTCATCCGTCCAGGAATCCGAGCATTTAGTATGCTGAAGCTGCGAAAGTACAGCCTGTAAGTGGGCGGGCTTAGATGGACGGGTTGCGTTCAGATCGGAGCTCAGATGGACTTTCAGCTGTGGCTTTTAGAAACTCGGAATGGCTCGGTGGGAGACGACGACGATTGTCCTTCGTTCGTGGGTCAAAGCGTGGACGAGGGAGTGGAGCAGAAGGTGCAGGTCCTGGCCGCTTCGTCGTCGGCCCTTCCACGAGTTGCAGAAGAACATGTCGAAGCGAAGAAGTACGCCGAGTGAAGGGCAGGCAAGCGTAGCTATGAGACAGTCTGGCCTGTACATCCCACCGAGCATACATACCTTTTCAGGTTGGAATCCTAAAGCTTCTTCTTCTTCGTGCATGCTCCGTGGACAGTACACAGTACCACTTACACATTGACCTATTCTTGACTCGGCCAGCTTTCAAATTCGGCTCCGGCTTCAACCAGATCAAGCTCCGAGGACGAGCCTCATTAGAACGCAGAGTGTCAAGGAAGGCTTTTAGTCAACAGGTTGATCGCATTGCAATATTCCGCTCGCTCGCGGAGTCCCCGTGCTGTTGGTTCCGAAGACTCCAAGCCCTCGCCCAGAATTGTATTCTTGTCCCACCAGACGAGACAGCCATTTTATTGGTGAAACTGCACTGAGTTGTGCATGCGGACTAGCGACAAGACCAGACCAGATCAGACCAGGTTGGAGTGGCTCCTGGGGTACTACTACTGGTAGAGTACAGCCATTTCGGTGGGACTTGGGTCTTGGGTCTTGCGTGCTGGCTTCCATTCGAGGGCACGTAAACTCGCACACATCCATGACCAACAAACATTCAAAGTTCGACTGTGCGTCCGTCCAAGACGAGCGAGTGTGCCTGCTGCTCCAGCGTACACGAAAGAATTCTCCGGTGTCATCTCGTGCGCCGGATAGGGGATCCCACCGGTGGGGCATGTTATCACTCCAATGTCCTTACTCCGGAAAAGTCTTACGTTGTTTAAGAAACTAATATGTGGGTCAAATGTGCCGCATGTGCGAGACACAAGTTTGATTAAAGAAGTGCGATTAATACCGCCCCTCAACTTTCTTTGTTTCTCCCTCCCTCTCTCCCTCTTCATCCCTCTTCTGGTGCCAGGGAACAAAACAAACCTACAACGCGAGATGTGTTGCCCCCTGTCTTCACTGATTTATCTGTATTTGAGACACTCCTCCTCGGGGCGCGATGCCAGCAAGCCAGCCCGCCAGCCGCACAGGAATTCCCAGCAGAGAATAGTCAAACGTGCATTCTAGAATGTGGAATGTGGTTGCAAGAGAGAGGAATGTAGAATCGCGTGGAATAAATAATCGCAGCCAAATCGTTAGGGCGTCACGTTAACACAAGAGGCGCTGGCCGAATGCAAAGCGAAGCTAGACAGACAGACAGACCGACAGACGGACAGGCAGGCGGGCGAAGATTATCCGAACGAGCGAGATGGAGCGAAGTGCACGAAGGAGCCGTTCCTCGCCCTCTCGCTCTCGTCCTATTGCTCGCTCGAGACGAAACCCTTGTTCGCTGGGATACCGGAATTTGGCTTTGGGAAGTCATGTAGGCGCAAGACGCCAATCCCGATTCTGCAAGACGGGCAGCAACATTACAGGGCGCAGCAAAAATAGATGGATTCGAGATCCGAGTGACTCGAGTCCACTCACGTTGGCACTTGTCAGCTTACTATCTCCTTCGACTCCATGAACGTGAGCGCTCTTGAAATCGGTGCGGAATTCGGAGACTTAGCAAGCGAGAAATGCTCTTCCAGGATGCCATCGTACCTTCCTGCGCAGTCATTCGCCTTCTCGCTTTAGGAGGCCAGCTCAACGATTGACGAGAGTTTGTTTGTATCACATTTTCGGTGATTCATGCCCGATTTAAAAGATCCGGTTTCTTCCATGCAATAGAACCCAGAATACAAGATCGAAAAGTCAATGATAAGTCTCACCGAAGACATTTTTGCCTAAAATATTAGTACGAAATTTTTGCCTAAACTACAAAACCGGAGGACAGACGGGTATGGGTAAGATGCGCTACCAGAATTTTCATTGCAGATCATGAGTATCCTGTCATAAATAAATTTAGTTGCATTCCAAATATAAAAGCATGTTGAATTTATATAGACTCATATGAATATAGAATTGCGAAACAATCACTTTGAGAAAATAATATTAAAGTAATACAAATATTTAGAAAAAAAATCAAACTAATCATCGTAAATCATATAAATCTTGGTGATTTATATATGATGATAATCACATTTTTTCCTAAAAATATTTGTTTTCATAAGTCTATTTAATTTTTCTTTTAATTTTTTTATCCTATTTACTAAAATATATTTAAATAATATATGAGAGATCTCATGTCAAATTTTGAAAGGGAATTCAGTGATATTTGAGATACATTTTGGTATTTATAATCAATTGAAAAGCTTATGATAGTTTAACTTTTATAAATTTATTGTTCTTGAGAAAAAATGTAAATCTATCTTCAGATAATATATCTTCAATATTATACAATTATATAAATATTTTAGTTTCTAAAAAATTAATTTAAATACAAGATTGGTTTTTTGTAATTTTTTAACTTTTCTTTCCAAAGGAAATCATTTATATTATTAAGTAATATTTTTTGCAAATAATACTTTTTTCAGATATTTGGAATTTTTGAAAAGTATACGAAATATATTTTATAACAATATTTTCAGTAATTTAACTGTGGTCATTTACAATAAATAAAGATAATATTTAAAGAAAAAAAATCTCACTTTAAGTCTTTGTGTACAGTTTTTTTTAAAAACTCAATATTTAACTTATATATTTTAACTGGATTGATTTACAAAAAATATTTTTATATTTTTAGGATTTAAATTTATTTTTTTGAAGAAAATATTTTGTAATATTTTTACCCAAAAAAATCTTAATTTACGCTAATTATAAATTAATTGAGTTTTGAATTCAATTATTATTTATTTTTTTTTTAATTTTTTTGATGTATTTAGAGTTTTTTAATGCTAATTTACTGCTAATTATTTTTATAGATTAGAAATTTCACTGATGATGATATTAAAAAAATTTAAGCAAATTAAAATAAGTTTAGTAACCAAATGATTATATTTATTAAAATAAAATATACTTTGAAAAATACATCTGTTACAGTTTATATAAATTTGAGTTTGGCTAGAGGTGAAATGGAGATTGTAATCTACTTGCATGAGGCTAAATCTCATAGATTTTGTAAAATTTTCTTACATAGAAAAATAAAAAATCCAAGAAATGCAATATTAAGCAAAGAAGTACCTATACATACGAATGACAACACACAATGGATGTGATTCATCAAAAGGGTTAAGTTCACGGTTCAAAAGTTTTAAGTTTGCTCATTCAAAGAGAATATGTCTCGCGCTTTCGCATATATATAGCGCTGAGTTAACATGAACTCAACGTCAACAAACAACTGATCTAAATTAGGACAAAACATAAGTTAAACATAATATTGTTGAAGCTAATACAATCAATTTACGTATAATTTATTCTAAAATTTAAATTCTTCTATGAAATTTCATATGATAATTAAATTATGTAAATATAAAATGCACAAATGTTAAATAAAAAATTAAAAAATTATTTAGAATAATTTTTATTAATAAATCATTTGATATTAAAACATGAATATATTTATAATTTTTTTGATGGTTTATATTGGAATTATTTTTATAATTTAAGTAAAATTTGGTTTCGATTAATTTAATTCATGTGATGTTATATCAAATCAAGGAGCATAAAAAAATTGAACAACATAGTTTTATTTTTACATCTAAACTTGATACCATTTATGTTTTGACATTGTATGCGAGAACATGTTGTGTCGTGATCAAAACATTAATATTGTATTGTAGCGGTGATCGCGAATCTCAAAAAATGGAATAAAACATGATTGAATAAAATATTCAATTTGTGATAACATATGCTATCGTGGGGCGTGGATTGTTGTTTTTTTGTGAATTTTATAATTTGAAATATTGCATGTGAACACCTAGAGTATTTTTGACATTGTCACGATAGTATAGATTCTTAGAAAGTTCGTGGTAACGTGCACATTTTGTTGTTTTGATAAAATCAAAAAATGTTGATGAATCTAATTTTTTGGAATAGTTTAACATTGATGTTTGAATGATTCTTTCAAAAAGTCAAATGTTTGAATTTGATGCAAAGTTTAAAATCATGAATTCTCTTCATCTTATCTCAATTAATTTGGAATCGATATTTGACATTTATACAAATACAATCTACATATCAATAAAATTGTTTGAAATTCAAAATAATATTATTGTGATAATCAGGGGTGATGTTATTTGATTTTACTATTGTAATCAGATTATTGTTTTGGGAGATTGAGGTTTTTCATATGAATTTGAAATTCGATAACTACTACATTTATTATGCGGAGAGAGTAATGATGATTTAATGGATGAGTTTGTATGCAAGTGTGTCACGCGTTTACATCATGCAGAATAATTCTTTCGAGCATTGTGCGAAGAGAGAGAGAGGGTGGGAGGAGAAATTCGTTGGCGCCTGAGGGCGAAACGGCAAAACGTGGTCCCATCGTGTTGCGAATTCGGGGGAGAAGGGTGAGATCTCGCAGAGTCGAGATGACAAGAAGGGCACAACGAAAACGATACAAGAGATGACATATGGGCGACGGGGCGCGCATAAGTCAAGAGCGTCGTCGCTCGGCTGGTGAAGGGATGGCGATTCTCGTCGCCTTTATGGGCGGCCCTGTCGCGGATGATGCGTCCCAACATCAGCACATCTATAATCGGGAAGTTTCTTTGTAAAGGTCAAAGGGTGAGCCGAGAAGAAGCAGGAGCGAGGGGTTATGGGCGGATTTGAAAATCAGAGGGAGCTAATAAGTGCAAAAGCGTTATTGGCGTAATATCTTGTGTGCGGACAGGAACATGTGTGCTGCTCAGTCACTCATGCAGGCAACAAAATGCTTGAATGTTGGCCCCCTGCCGCACAAAGGGCGCATCGGAAAGTGGGCTCATGGGCGAGGTCGGACCATTCAAACAACGCGATTAGGCTAATCCTCTGTGTGCGGGTTCCCTAAAACCTGCATGATTGGAGTGCACAATTAAGAGCCCCAAATATTGCATCAAAAGGTGTCGCGGTACGCACCTCGCTCGGGTCCAAACAAATGCCGCTGCCGCTGTAGTGGTGTGTGCTCGCTCAGGTGGGACGAGCAAAATCCGCTTGAATGTGGGCACCTGCAAGCTGCACAAATTGCTTCGGAGAATGCGCTGCTGGCCCCGTCGCCCCGTCGGGCGAGAAGAAGAAAATCAGGTTGACCGCTTTATTTATGATTATTATTAATTACGTAATTTCTAAATAACAGGACAAGTACGCGGATAACATAAATATTAGACCTAGAGAAAGTTCCTTATCTGCAATTAACAGAGATGCGGCATCGGACGGTGCATGCGCGGCCCCGGCCGGTACTGTGAGCGAGCCGAGAGTCACACTGGATGTGTGAGGACTGATGAGGAGCCTGACAAAGAGAAGAGGAAAGGGAAAGTGAAGAGGGTCACGGTTCCAGAGGAAGGATAGACAGCAGATGATTGGATAAGTCGCGACGAGGACCTCTCGAGGTTCAAACTTCGAATCCTGTCTAAAATATTGCATGCGAGGGAAGATCGAAGCGTTATCAGCTGCGCCATGGCCCTTAATTAGAACGCGGACAGTGCCAGAGAGCTCAGCCCGGTCGCAGCAGCGCCAGAAGGAGGGTGGGGAGCGGCAGCGGCAAGGGCAAGAGACCGAGCCCCCGAGCGAGCGGCCCCGGAGCACGCGCGCGGGAGACCCGCAGCTTCGGTCCGCCGGCCCTGCCAGGCTCGGCCTCGCTCTCGCGCGCCAGAGATTCTCAGAATCTAACGGTACCTTCATGATGGGGCTGCGGCTCCATCGACTTCCATGGACCGGGACGCGCCGTCGCGGACTCCGGGGGCGAGACGGGGTTCGCGAGGGCCGGTCGGAGGAGCGGCGCGGGGGAGGAGCGCCGGGGGTTGGCGGGGGCAGCGGGACGCGGAGGGGAGGCCGAGCGGGGCGCGACGACGCGGGCGAGGGGAACATGGAACCTGACGAAATGGGGCATGGGGACTAATAATGGGCAGGGGCTGGGGAGAAAAAGCCTGAAAGGGTGCATGGGAACGCGTACGCGTACACTGACAACGATCGGTAAGTAAGTAGATCCGCGGCGCAGGCACTTACGCGCGCGTGCACGGATTCCGCCTGCACACGTGAATTACGCTCGACTTCCAACAATTTCCAGCATCTTTGTGAGCCGATTCTACGAAAGATTTTAATGCATGCAAGTTCCAAGATATTGCCCTTGACCAGAAGAGCCTGCGGGGACTGCGGTGCGGCAAGCAGGTCCCGCATGCACAGGTGGATATGAAGGCTTACCTAGTCTCCCACGTGCCTACGCTTTGGTCGAATATGAGACTGTGATCTCATGCCTCCTCTCTTCTTCTTCTTCTACGACAACATAACTCTAACGCATATCTCCATCTCTGTCTCTCCTCCCTTCCCTCGCTTGGTCTCTTGATTCTGCCGCATCTTCTTCCAGTTTGCATCCGAATCTTCTCCCACAAGGCCAGCGACGGGGAACCATGGAGGCAAGGGATGAAGGCACAGGCAGGAGGGCAGGAAGAGGGGCGAGGGGCTGGAAAGTCCTCCCCCACACACACCTCTCCTTCCTTCTGAGGCATCGCCTCGCATTAATCGGGAATCTTTGCTCGCTCCCTGGAAGGCAGCGGAAGGGTTTAGGGTTCTAGGAGCTGGGAAAGGGCGAGGGGCGAACAAAAGCACGTGAACGGGCCGAACTACATGCCTCACAGTATCGCTAGTTCTGAGGATTGACTAGGAGCGTAGATTCTTCTTTAATGTGGGAACGGGGTAGGGGGGGGGGGGGGGGGGGAGGGTCTCGGTTTTCTCCCTGGCCGGGATTATTTCGAGTATTGTATGCGAGCGCAGCAAAGGGGGTGGCGAAATGGATCCATGGCCGGTCCGGTCCCCGTCCGGTACGAGATGGGTGCACACAGAGGCAGCCCCATAAACAAAGGTTGTTGTGGCTGCATTGAAGCATTCCTTAGTTCCAGAATCATGGTCCTTGGTTTGACCGGAATTTCTGACGGAGATTTTTGAGGTCATGATTAGTCACCTCCGAGTTCATGAGCTACGTTGCGCCGTATCCGAAATCTCCCCTTTCGCAATTTAATATTCGCCATGCCTGTTTATAAGCTCGGAAACCCGATGTGGTCCACCCTATTGGCGCTCAGTCGAAGAATGTGCCCCCATGAGATGTAGCGTCGACACCATTATGCGCCGTGCACTGTTTGTGTGGGAATCCTCCTCGGAACCCCGACCGCAATTCAACTCTCCCCCCCCCTCTCTCTCTCTCTATCACTCGAGCCCCTCTCGCCAACCAAGCTCGGAGTCCCGCCGCGGCCTACAGGACTCCGGAACTGGAGTGCTCGCTTCCTCGTTCCCCAACCACTCTCTCATAACACGGCAGATGTGAACGAGCACGACATCGCCGGACTCATCACTCGCTCCGCTTCGATGTTGCCCCGAGGACCCGTTCGCCCGGTCGTACTTCGCCTCTCGCTCGGGCCCCGCCCGTCGGAACCCTTCAAGAGTCCAATGCCCTCGAGCCGCCCCCGGTCGACTCGCCGCCGGCGGGCGATCATAACTTGCCGGTTACTTCACGAGCGGCAGTGAGCGAGCCGCGGACGTATGTGTATGTTGGGGCCAGCATGAGACCTCGTGGAAGGACCGGGAGACGGAGAATCGGTCGCTCGCAGCCTCGGAGCAGTCCCAGCAGGGAGCACCATCACGCATGCGTTGCTGGAGGCGGGGGAGACCGTACACAGTGTATCCCGATTCCCGGCAGAGTGGATGACGTGGCAGTGCGGGCAGGGGAGCGAGCGAGGAGGCCCCTGGCAGGGAGGGCAGGGGAGGGGACCCGAGCCGAAGCTGTCCGAACCGGAAGGAGCGTCGGGATGGGGAAGGGAGGGGGAGTTTCGTGATGACGAGGAGGAGGGGGGAAAGGAGGAGGAGGAGGATGATGATGATGGGGGCCTAACATAGGATAAGGAAAAAGGGAGGGGGCGATGGGGTAGGACGGGGGGCGGGGGGGAGGGGGAGGGAAGGGGATGGATGGGCGGAGGAGGCAATTGATTTTGGACTGTGTGGGGGTCGCTACAGCGGAACTATTCTCTCGCCAACCTGGATCCCAATGGTTACGGAGGAGCAGAAAGCAACAAAAAGAAGTGAAGATGGATCCACGCAATCTCCGCTCCTCTATGAACAGGCCTCGTGGCGTGGCGAAACCCAACACCGCCCATCCATGGCCGGCAAGCCAGGACACTCCACCGCACTGCACTGTCTCTTCCATTAACGCTGTCCACTACGCTTCCAATGACTCAGCTCCCCTGGCATTCGCACTGGCCACCATTCTCGTGCCAGCAGCGCCCTACAACATTTCTCCCCTCGGCCCCCCGTCCCGACTCGGGCTTCCTGGGCCTTGATGGCTTCGGGGCTCTTACTCTCTCTCTCTCCCTCTCTCTCTGTGCCTTGCCGGGGCTCGCCTTGACTCGCAGGCCTGACCTCTGATGATTATCAGTGCCCGCTCGCGAAATCTAAACACCGTCGACAGCAGAAGATACAGAGGGCTAGGCGTGAGGGAGGAGGAGGGGCAGGCAGGCGGGCAGGCAGGCGGGGCAGGAGTAGCTACGGTATGCTATTACAATATGGCGTTGATGAGATCTTACACAAGGCTCTAAGGCACTCCAGGCTCCAGCTTCCAATAATAACTGCAATAATGAGTAGAATGGAATTTACAAGCGTGAAATCTATGAGCCGCTTGCATGATTAGCAATTTAGCACCGATTCACCGAATGCCCTGTGCCCGCTCGGGCCTGGGCCAACGGCAAGGAGAGTGATGAAGGTGGTCAGGTAGTGTGAACGTGAAGCGTTGTGACAAGTTTGGTGCCTAATAATAACCTGAAATACTCGTTTAGTGTCGAACGTGGTGGCGTTTAGTTGTTAGCGCGTTGCCTAACCAAATGCGCCCACTAATCAGCGCATTTCGCATTTGCCCTCGCACGTCCGTCGGTAATTCGGCCGGACCGTCGTTGGCGAGCGATTCACTCTTTCACGGCCAATCTTTCTCCCCTCGTACGGACTCTGTCCTGGTGCGAGATCACGACCTACTATTGTACAGTGCGTGCTGAGGGCACACAAACCTGAACCAGCCTCACATCCCGCAGGACAGGATGGCAGCGCACGTCTGGACGTACCCCCCCGGGCTCCGACGTCTCTACTCTTTTTGCTTCTGCTGCTGCTGTTGCTGCTCCTGCCCCCGCCCCTGCCGCTCCTGCTGCCCCCCCATCCCTCCCCTCCCCTCCGCCTGCAGCAGCTCAGCTCAGCTCAGCTGCGCTCTTGGGTTTGCCACCTCTTCCTCGGCCGCGCCGTGTTACCGCGACGTTTCTCCCGAGGGCAGCGCTACGCAATCGACGGGCTCCGATTTGGCGCCAGGTGAATTTGGCTCCGGCGCCTGCGAAAGAAGATCTCTATCCGGGCCCCGGACTCGGTCCGGGGGCTCGGGCTTGGGGTTGGGCTTGGGCGGGCTCGTCGGAACCCATGATCCGAGGTTGGAGAGGAGTTTGGGGTTGGGGGGAAGGGGGGCGGGGGAAGATTACGGACGGACACACGATGTGCTCAGGGCGAGGCCAGGCCGCGTCAATAAAATTCCCCACGGTAACCAACTTTAATGCTAATCAGAGAAAGACATCATAAATGAAAATCGGGCCGTCAGTTTCAATTGTGTGACCTATGATGGGGAGGTAGAAATTTTACGCGCAATTTTAAGAGACATGACACAGCCTTGTGTTGCATCTCATAATGGACGAGATCCGAGAACTTTAATATACACTTCCGAGACAGGGTTTAGGCACATGACATGATAAATATTCCTATGTTCGACCTACAACAAATCTCATTATTATGGTCGAGAATCTTTGTATAGACAAAACCCCTCTCCTACGTGTATAGACCAGAACGGACAAAAGTTTACGCGTAGCATACATACACCACGCGCATATGGATACTGGCCAACCTCCACATGCTTCGACGCTGTCGAGGTCGCATGCGGTCCAGTCCAGCCCAGTTCGGACCTCCGGTTACGCAGCGGAGTCGCCCGCCCGGCAACCCGAGTCCCGCTGCGGTCACGCCAGCCTCGGTCAACCGCGACTGCGCCACAGTGCCCCATCCTTGCCTCACGATGCAGCGAAATTCTCCGCCCCTCTCCCTCCTCCACCTCGATTGCCCTCTCTCGAAGAAATTCGCCATGTCAAGGGAGGAAGATTCTCAGGGCAGCCGCCGGCTTCCGGAGCCAGCCATCCAGCCATCCAGCCATCCATCCCGCACCGGCAGCAGCAGCATCCTGCACTTTACGCCCACCGGGCTTACAGCAGCAGGATGCGGCCGCCGGCTATCGCCAATGGGGTCCTGTAGTCGTCCTCCTCTCGTGGACGAAGCAGCAGCAGAAGAAGCTCCAGCATCAGCCGCAGCTCCTGCAGCAGCAGCAGCAGGTAGAAGAAGAAGTAGAAGTAGAAGGAGAAGGAGCAGTAGTGGAAGTGGTGTGGTTGTAGTACACTATACTCTCGCTGCCACAACAACTGCGATCAGCTGAGGGACAAGTGATCGGTCCCGCAGCTCAATCTTCGGGTGGGAAAGAAACCGGGGAAAAATGTGAAAAGGGGAAGCGGAAGGGAGGGGCATGATTCTGATACGGGGGACTGGATAACGATAAAAGGGGGCATACTATAAATTGGCCTCTTGCGGAGTAGGATGGAGTGGAGTGGAGTGGATTGGGTTGGGTCCGGGTTACGCTACTTAAGCGGGGCCATGTCCGAACGCAGCGAGAAAGAGATAGATAGAAAGGGGGCCTCGAAAAAGATAAATACAGTTGTGGCTGACCGGTATAGCTACCTACTCCTGCTGCATCTCGCCAATCTGAGCGAGTCTGGAAAAGCAGATCGATCACTGCAGCCGCGCTGTGCTGTGCTGTAGTGGTGGGATCAATGAATATGTTTTCCATCAGAATCTCTCTCATCCTCACCTCAGCAGCTTCCTTCGTCGGCCCGTCCCGTCCCCCCTCCTCTCCTCTCCTCTCCCGTCCTCTGCCCCGGCCTGCCTCCCTGGAGCTAGGGAGACTCGGGAGAGTACAAACGCCAGCCCCCTCTCTCTCTCTCTTGAAGAAGGGTCCGCTCTAGATTTTGTATGTCAGTTGTATGCACAAGTAGCCGAAACTCCTTTCCGACGTTTCACGAATCCCTCGTCGATACCCTCGGAATCTCCCACCTACTACCAGAATCCCGAAAATTCGGCTTCGAAAAGTCAAACCTACCCAGGCAGTGCGCTGCAGTCTGGTCCAGCGGGCTACTACTACTACTACTACTACTCTTACTACTTCCTGACTAGCGCCCCTCTGCCAAGCCCGCCCGCCCGCCCGCCCTTCTGCCTGCCCGCCCGCTTGCATTCCTGCCCTCGCTCCGGATGGGGAGACTTTTCCACCTGTGAACAGCCGGTCTTCGCATCGCATTCCCGGCTGACTGGGAGCAGACAGTTGCCGTTCGCCCTCCTGGGTCGCAGATGTTCCCCGCATCAGAGAGCGTCGCTGCGTCGGAGGCGAGAGCCTGCAGAAACGACAAGGGATCGGCAGGTTGGTCCGGAGAGGGACCACCCGTGGAGACCGGCCGGCGGGGCTAGCTCGGCCGGGGCAGGGATCGAGGGCGAGGGGAAGGGGGAGGAGGTGGACGGGAGGGAAGGGAGGTGGGGGCCTATGAAGTCCCCCTTCCCTCCATAGGCCCCCCTTCTCCTCTCTCTCTCTCTCTCTCACTCCTTCTCTCTCTCTGGAAGTCTAGGCTCTTTTCCTACTACGACACTGGACACTTTACTTTCACCGGAATGAAAGTATTGATGTCCCCGGGCTTTAGTCGGCTCGATCACCATGTCCTGTACAGGTGAAGGAAAGATAGAAAGACCACGTGACATAACTGGAAAACAAAATTAAAATATATTTTATGGATCCGAGATTCTCAAATGCCCCTTTTGGGACAAACATTCAATTGGCGAGGGCTTTCTGCCATGTGATCTTTTCATTCCTAATGTAGATCGTAGACATGGTATTTTTTTAAATGCCGAATCAAAATTCTACGAAATTGACATTGATATAATGGCATTCTCAGACAATTCCCAGTGGTTGGAAGCTTTTACTCCGCAAATTGCATCATTACACGTCTCCGCCAGGTTGCCTTTACCCGTCGTGAAAATTCAGCCGTTTTCAACAAGAATATTATACAACTCTCTGAAGCATGACATTCAGTTACTTTTAGTTTACTTTGAACTTTTCCATTTGAAAATGGATGCGTTGCGAGAAGTGATGACCACATTGACATAGATGCTGACTCAGTACCACTAGGAGCATGAAAGTCACTTCAATAAATTTCTAAAGCATTCGATCACCTCTACCAAGCAGATTCCATCGTAGTTCGGGGGGCTACAGTCTCCTCCCTCCTCAGAAGCTTCTTCTTCTCGTCTCCTGGGCCTAGACAGGTAAAGTTCGGTAGCTCGCTTTTGTCCAATCTTTCCCTTCCGAAGAAAACAGTGGCATGTCATGCCTGTGACTCCTACGCCAGGGGTAATGGACCACGTCCCATAACTTCGCTCTTCTACCCTTTGATTCGACGGATTATTTTCAAATCCGGGTCTAAGATTCCCTTACTCTTGAAAGCAGACGAGAAACATTCCTAACTAACCATGTGGACCATTTTCTGGAGTGAGCCCTGACTCTAGATGAGGCCAACCGGATCTGATTCCACATCAAACCACTAACAACACGCTTCCGAGACCCACATTTCACTCTTCCGCATGTGTGACACTGCATTCTACACTTTAATAATAGTCGCTCTCACGGTGAACCTCGCTCACGGACATGGGGCTGAACTCTCCCAACCTTAACCCCGGTCGAAACTTAACTCTACGAAGGACTCCAGCGATTCTCTGCGGCCGTGTCTAGTAGCTAGATCCCGCTGTGTGCGTACAGCTCGATCTCCTCCAAAGCCCTCAGGAGAGTAGCTGCTATGGCGTAGGCTAGCTTCACGTAGGTAGGAGGTGTGCCCGGTGGGGCGGAGTAGACGTAGCTACGTACGCAAATGCAGTTAGTAGAAAAATGGACAATCTGAGTAGAATATCGGAGCCTGTGGGGGAAGAAAAAAAAGAAAGAGAGAGAGAGAGAGAGAATCATCCATTATTGACCATTACTGTGATTGACAGGTTAAACACCATGTAGCGCAAGAATTTCCATGTTCTGTTCAATAAAGTCCTGCATGGACATAAGACGAGAATTTTCAGTTGAGCTAACGGACATCTGAAGTTGGGCAAAGGAAAGTGGAGCTCCGTAGGACGAGCATTTTGAATCCAACTGGTGTTGCTGCTAAGTCTAGGAACCGAGTCTAAAGCCCTGCTCTTCAAGGACACAATTACGTAGTACTCACTCATTGTCGTGTAATACTACCATGATCTTATGATGATGAAGTATTCGGACAAAATATTGTTTATCAAGTACAGGATGGTACTTCTCAAAGAAGACATTAACTGCTCATCCTGTCTCACATGGTCATTACCATATCACATCATCTCCATCGGTCGCATATTAGCCACAGTCGTTCACACAGAAAGTGAGAATGAATTTCGGTGCCACACACATTTATCAGCAGAGTGGTTCAGAAAACTGGGGAATTTCTAGAAATTCACACCGGTGTTGTATATTTTCCTGCTCCTAATATTCTCGATGCGACCTGCTGTTTCTTCAACAGTCAGAGAGAAAAATAATTTGGAGTGATTCCCTATCATTCTGGGCGTCATGTTGCAGCCAAATATGAGGTACGAGGCTATTCGCATGAAGCATAGATCCCAACCTCACTGTCCTTGTCATGCAACTCTCGGGGAGAACGGGGACTGCAGCTGGGAGGAGAAGCATGGGCAGCCGTATTTTATCCACATGCAGCAGCAAGAGGGAAAAAAAAAGGAAGGCAAAAGATTATACCCAGCCCGGCAAGACGAGCGGACAAAGGTCATCTTAATCGGGAAACGATATAAAAATGGCCAGAAGATCATCCGCAACAAGAAGAAAAGAAAAGGCCAAAAACTCGAAATGGGGGGAGAGAGAAAATACTCTACGGAGGTAGGCCTTCAGTAGGTAGCATTAGTACCTTCGCTCTATTTGAGTTCACATCAGTAATCAGACTCTTGGTGGAGTCCACCGCCGGGACGGGAGAGACGGCCAATTGGTGCGGCTGGGGGGCGGGGTTCACTCCAAAGTAAAAGGGAACCGGCGAATCTCGCAGGATTCCTTCCTTGCGTCCTTCTTCCCCGCTCGCTCTCTCTCTTTCTCTCTCTCCAGAGAAAGAGAAGATTGAAAACATGTCCAGACTCCAGACTACGGTAGGGTACAGCAGTAGTGTAGTGTACTGTACCACCTGGGACCGCCTGACCTGCTGCTGCTGCTGCTGCCGCCTGCCGCCTGCCGCCTAAGTCTTTCTCTCTCTCTCTCGCTACATGTAGCTCTAGCTCGCTTGTCTCGTTGCCGCAGCTTTCTTGCACAGCAAGGAGGACGACGTAGCGAAAGGAAAGCGAAGGGAAGGAAATGAAATGAAAGGAAAGGAAGAGCAGGAGAGGGATTGAGAACGGGGCAGGGTGGGGGGGTTGTCGTGGAGCGAGGCGAAGTAATAATGATTTGGAGGGGGAGGTGGACGCAGCAGCTACAACAGAGGGACGAGACACACAGACGCATACACAGACAGAGATAGAGGGGAGGGGTACATGGGGAGTTGCGAGAACCGAAGTAAGATGCCGGATGAGGCAGGGAGGGGAAGATTGCACAACTGGGTTAGAGTGCAGATTTAGCACTTAGTGAGCGAGAGATTGTGGGAATCCGCGGATTCGCTACCGGCTTTGACTTGGATCCTACGAAGCGGTGAGCCGTGGCCGAGTGAGGGATCGACGTAGAGGAGGAGGAAGGGGAGGAAGAGGAGCAGGCCAAAGCTTCTGCTCTGGCACACGCTTTCTCCTCAGACTCCTCCTCTCTCACCGCGCGGGCGAGTGACGACGCCTAGACAGGAACCAGGAACCAAGCCACCGAGACTGCGGTGCGTGTGTCCGGTCGTCCATAGTTTCTTCCTTCCTCTCCCTTCCTCCTCCTCTAGCTGGAGCTTGCTTCATCGCTCGCTCGCTCGCTCTTTCGGGTCGCTTTTTTTCCCTCGGAGCTAACGGGACCCGGTCCGTGCCGCCACATGTAGGCCTTAGCTGCACTGCGCTACAAGGCAGGCAGGCCAGAGGGGGAGGGCTTGCAGGCTGGGCTGGGCGGGCCGGGGGGTGGGAAGGGGGCGAGGGGGCCGGGGGCTGGCTGTAATTTATCCGGTCTCGCTCTCTTTTCTTGGCTCGACTGTACCTGGTACACCTGCTGCGTCCTTCCTAGGCCTTCTTGTTCAGTGCTCCGCTCTCCGGAGCCATTCCCATCGATGTTCATATTGCAACGCGTACGTTAGCTACGAGTGGAGTGGAGTGCAGTGGAGTGGAGTGGAGTGCAGTGCAGTGCAGTGAAGTGCAGCGCAGTGCGCCGGGCTGGGCCTCTCTCACTGTCTCTCTCTCTCTCTCTCGCCGCTTCTGTGTGTGCGCCGAACATTGTGAATTTGCTCTCGTTGCGTTTATGTTTGCTGCTATGCTACCTCTCACTTCATTCCTGTTTTTCGAATTCCGCTATCGCCTCCCGTAGCCAGCAGCAGCAGCAGCACAGGCAGCAGCAGGAGGAGGAAGAGGCAGCAGGCCAGCAGGCAGGCAGACAGCAGGCAGGCCAGCAGCAGCAGCTGCTGCTGCAAATTTCTCTTATATAAAGGAAGCAGCCCTAGGGGCCGGGAGTTCATTCACTATTTAGGAACTCGGTCTCGACCTCAAACCTCGGTATGATCCGCATCCCACCGCACCATGAAGCACTCGCTCGTCGCGTGGGCTGCGGGACCTTGTGCTGCTGGAGGAGGTCGATGCCGCTGAGGTCGGGACGCACTCATGCCATTCACGTAGCCCCATCCCAGAGCTTGTGATCTCGCGCTGCAGCAGCCGGTTTGAACATGGCAGGGTCTTAAGGTCATGAGCGTATATGATCCCCGAGGACTTGCGGAATTTTCCAGGAAGAAGGGGCCTGGATGTGAAACGAAGGCCCGGCGATCTGCAGATAAGGGAAGCGCAGCAATTTGCTGAGTATGGGTGAGGGACAGTCGTTAGTCACAGAAGCGGGCGAAGAAGCTAGAGGCACCGGACTCATTCCCACAGACAAAGCCATCAGGGTAGGGGTTCAGCTCAAGTACGAACAAGGCCACGGATCCTCCGCCTCCCTAGACATCTCCATCTGCAAATTATAGGATGCGCCCGAGCTCTCGAGCATTTCGTCCACAGGTTTAGAGACTCTCGTCGATCCCAGGCGACGGGTTTATTTTTCTAGCTCAGACGAAGACGTCGACGAGGGGTTTAGAACTCGGAGGATTTTTGCTTGCCTCCCACCACCGCGTCCGCTCGGGGTCCCGGACAATCACCGTCTCGCGCAGTCGAGTCGAGTCAAGTCCAGTGGCTTCGATTTGTTTTGGGAACCATCAGAAGTAGCAGTTAGCTCGTATCGAAGCATATCAGAGAGCAGTCGACGAAATTTGGGCAGCGGCAGCGCGTCTCGGCGCACCGTGCACGCGTACTTGCTTGCGTGCGTGCGTGCATCCATCCAAGGGATTTCACGTCCCACGCGCAGTGTCGGTGCTCGGGGACTCGAGAAGGCGCAGCTCGCGAGCGGAGTCCGGAGTCGGCGAAGGCGGCGAGGGGGTAGAATTCCAGATTTCTCGAGCGCCGTCGGGGGCAGCGTAGCGCTAGCCATCCAGGGGGAGGAGCATTGGGGGGGTGAGAATTCAGGTCGCGGGCAGCGGGGCGAGGGCGAGGCGCGCCGAATTGGGACATGAGGGGGCGATCAGGGGCGGAGCGGGGGCTCAGAGACAGCTAGAGGGCCGCAGTCTGCCGGCGCGCCTCATACCCATGAGATGTGTCCCCCTTGGAGACTGAAGGAGGGTAGTAAAATATGCACTCTCTGTCCCTGCTGCAAACAACCCTCAATCGCCACCACAACCCGTTCGTGTGCTCGCCGTTCCTCCTCCATGAAATGCTCAGTTCAGTCGATGCAAAACTCTCGGCAGCATTGGAGCCAGCGTCAGCGTCAGCAGCACGCGGAAGAGATTCGCGCGCCCTGGACGGCAGCCCGCTGCGCGAGCTGATCTTCGAGTGCGCGCAGGCGGTGGCGCGCCACGACCTGGACCGGTCGCTGGGAATCCTGCGCTACCTGGCCAGCAAAGTGCCCGAGGCCGGCGACGCGGGCGAGCGCGTCGGGGCCTACTTCACGCGCGCGCTGGCCTGCCGGGTGGCGAAGCGCCTGGAGGCCGCGGGCGGCAACGGGCCGGAGGGCGATCACTCGGAGCTGCTGGCCTCGCTGCGGATCCCCGACGCGCCGTCGCAGGAGGAGATTCACGCCGCCTACTTGGCGCTCAATCGCGTCACGCCGTTCCTGCGCTTCGCCCACCTGACGGCCAATCAGGCCATCGTGGAGGAGATGGAGGGCGAGGACATAGTTCATTTAGTGGATTTCGAGATTATGCAGGGCGTGCAATGGCCGCCCCTCATGCAGGCGCTGGCCGAGCGGCCCGGCGGGCCGCCGCACCTGCGCCTGACAGGAATTGGCTCGTCTCCGGACATCCTTCGGCAGACGGGCAACCGGCTGGCGGATTTCGCCCGCACCCTCAACCTGCCGTTCGAGTTCCTGCCGCTGGTGGCCGGCGGCATCGAGCAGGTGAGCGTGGACATGTTCAGCAAGCGCGAGGGCGAGGTGGTGGCGGTGAACTGCGTGCTGCAGCTGAACCGCTTCCTCGAGAAGGGCCCGGACTCGCTCAAGGCGTTCCTGGAGATGATCCAGACGCTGCGGCCCAAGGTGGTGACGCTGGCCGAGCGCGAGGCCAACCACAATCAGCCGCAGTTCCTCGACAGATTCGGCGAGGCCTACCGCCACTACGCCATCATTTTCGACTCGCTGGAGGCTACTCTTCCCCCGAGAAGTCCCGACCGCGTGACAGTCGAGGAAGTGTGGTTCGGCCGGGAGATCGCCAACATCGTCTCGTGCGATGGCGCGGACTGGGTCGAGCGGCACGAGACGTTCGAGCAGTGGCGGGAGATCATGGAAAGCGCAGGATTCCACTCGTTGCCCCCCAGCACCTTCGCCCTCGCCCAGGCCAAACTCTTACTTAGATATTATCCCTCCGAGGGCTACCGGCTCTTTGAGAACGACGACTGTCTTTTGCTTGGCTGGCAGGACCACCCATTATTTACAGTCTCTTCATGGCACTGAACGACGATTACGACGACGACGACGACGACATCGACAGTGGGGGCATTGGCATCCACTACCCCCCCTCTCTCTCTCTCCCGTCTCGGGGATCAATATCCGAAGACGCATTTCGCCGGAGCCTTCGAGTATTGCTCTCCGAGCTGAGGAGCCCCTCAATGTGCCGGTCTACACCTAAACCAGTCAGGTTGGCTTTTTTGCGATTCATGAGAGGCTATCACAAGAGCCCAAGGAAACGCCATGCACTCAATATGGCGAAATTCTTCTTCATTTCAGATACATGTGGGATCTTGATAATCAGGCGGTACCCAACTAGCTCATCAGATTAAGGAAAAAGGTGGGTGTGCATACGCTGTGGTTTTCAACACTCCCATCTCATACAGTAACAAGATTACATTGTTTTTCTCCTGGATTGCAGGATGCATACATAAAAGAGAGTTACTTTCTCTTTGTCGTCCTCTTCTCGCACCTCGCACTTGCCACTTGCCCGATTCGGCTTTTTGCCCCCGGAATTATTCCTCGTCTGAATTCGTGCCGCTGTCTCTCTTACCATCACATGCTTGCCCCTCGCACAGGCCACGGTGCCCGCAGGCCCTGCCATGATATATACGTATGCTTTCCTGCTCCTGCTCCTACTGCTGGCTGCTCCTAGTCTCGGATCTACGAAATGAGTGCGTCCTCGTAGAGTTTTGGCTCCTTCTCAGGGTTTCAGAAAGCAACCCCTCGACGACGGGTGCCAGTAGCGCCTAGTTACAGCGCTGCTGGCATTGCCCCTCCTCGTTGGGCCGAGTCAGTGTTTCTCTCACTCTCTCCCCTTTCCCCTCTCCCGTCCAGTCCACTTCCGTCCTGGCGCCCTGTGTGGAAAGTCATGCCGACTCCTGCGTCATCTGAGACTCGGACGCTCAGGAATCGTAGCTAGGATGAATAGCGTTGACGTCTGGGTTCCGAGAGTGAAGGTGGGGGTAACCCACCAGCGCGAAATCAACCAATTTGGAAGGGATCTGTTGTGGATCTGGATTCCAGTCAATCTTTACTTTCGCACAGACGAAGGTACGGTCAAACAATCATTCAACCCACGCTTCTTATCTTTCCAGGGCCGAAAGCGGTACCCTTCCCCGTTAAGAAAGTCGCGGATCGCCTATCAATCGCCCACCTACAACTATGCATGGCCTAGCGCCTTTGACCGCGCTGAGCGGAGGGTTAAGAGACGCCAAAATCGCCCGGGACTGATTGATGGACGCATGACCAATTGGGGCGGATCGACGAGCTGTTGACATATACTTCGCCTGGCCCGGGTCGATTCCAGACGTTCGCTCCGCTCGCTGCGCTGCGCTGTGCGCTCGCTCAATCATCCGCGAATACAAATCGCCCACGGGAAGACGCGGGACGCAGCAGCGGAGGTTATCGTTAATTCGGGGGCCTGATCGCCTGGGTTTTACATGTGTCAATGTCCACACCCGCACATGTACATGATTGCGCCACCACTACTTTCCATCACCACAGGCGCTCTGACTGATTAATAGCATGCCCAATTTTCTGTACTTGGAAACGAACGGTTTAATCATGACCGATTCGAATGCCAATGACAACGCAATCTCTCCATCTAACGTTCAAATCATACTTTTCAACTTCCAGCTCCGATCGATGATAAACCTGTCAGCCACAAAAGTCAATAGATGCCATGGCCGCTCCCTTATTCCTTCAGCCGTTATCTTGTGTATCAATGAAGCTTTCTTATATTTTCTGGTCAGCTTAGATTCACTTGCGTGGCGAGCTCCAGCATGGATGGGGGGAAGGGACTTGGTCCATAATGCGTGAATGATGAGATTAATTTTCTAGTTGAGCTTGACCGTTCTGAGTTACTCTCACCTGTTGCTCGATCATTGTGTAGTTGACTATTACACTGTTTCAGGTGGATGCCGCCCCTCCGTCTGTCTCACCGGCCCTCGGCCCGCGCCTGATGAAACAAAATAATTGAAGCCGCATTACTTTAAGCTTCCGAGATCCACATGTTAATTTAAAGTTCCCATTAAGAGACGGGAAAGTTCACCTCGCAGTGTCAGATATTCTGGGGCAACTTTTACAATCCATAAGAACAAAAGTCAAGTCGGGTCTAGTCCAGCCAGGCGATGACCGAGCCCTTGCAAGTCCGCGAGGAGAATGTCAGGCCATTACTTCATGGGGCATTACAACTTTCTCGCAAGTAGCAGCAGCAGCAGCAGCAGCAGCGGGAGAAGATCAAGGAATCCAAGAGCCGTTTTCGTATGTACATGAAAGAAAGCGCTCGAGGATGGATAAAGCCTAACAGGATGAACGTCACATCGATCTTTTATGTGGACCCAAAGTCGACTTCTATGTGTTTGGCCACTTGAGCACCTGGATATCTTCGGCAGACAGGTGTCTTACAGATCTCCTCCACGAAGGTGCTCACCAGATTTTGACGTATCGAGTTCAGATCTTGTTGGAAAGTCCCATGGGAATTCTCCATCCACAGCTGCACATTGAAGGGAGGATCTGAGTAGACGTGCTATTTCTTGCACCAAAGTGATGAAATAATTGACGATTCATGGATAGATCGTATCACTTCATATCATGAATCCTCAAAATTGAGCCTTGCATGTTCGTCTCTTATGGCTGTTGCCGGCTTTTGCAAATCATCGACTTTTTGGCACTAAAAAATAAATGTAGAAAAAAATGGGAGCCTTGCATGCACAACGTGCATCAAGAAAAGACTATCGCAGCCATTATTTTTTGTCTCTCCGTGGTGAGATCAATGATGGTGGCCTCTTGGACACCAAAAGTAGCTTCCGGTAAACGAACCTCGCAGTGCAGCACAAGTCATGAAGAATGTCACACGTTACATTCTTCATGAAGGTGGACCATTTCTTATTCCTCGAACGAGGCATTTTGAGGAATGACCCATCTAAATTGTGACAATACTCAATGAACTTTTGAGCATAATCATATCACTGGCCAGTCATTATAGGTAAAAGAAACAATAAGTTTTAGATCGTCACAAATAGTAAACCTGATGACTCATTCGTGTGATAGAATTAAACAAAAAAACAAGTCATCAGGGAAGGAGGTAGCTTGGCCCTCTATGAATGCTGATGGAACAAAAATCCAGGCGAATGAGAATTGACCTGACTGCCGCGGTTGCACTACATGACTGCATCATGCCGTAATCCATTGACCATTTGGATGCATGAGGAACGGTGATGATGGGCATAAAGAGAAGAGCTTTCTTCATCATGTAGTAAACTGATGGAAATCTGACAGCAAACATATTAAGGACGGATGCAAATCATGAAATAGTCGACAAATTTCACACCAAACGTGCTCCAACATTGATTGGACTTCACGACCACACCATGCAGTTTACAAGAAACCCTCCACCGAAAGTTTAGAAAGCTACAAAGACCGCTTGACCCTGAAAGCTTTGCGCCGGGTAGGTGGCAGGAGAAATGAAAAAGAAAGACCTTGTGACCGCATGAACGGGTAACCTCGTATTGTCAAACTTCAAATCCAATCCCTGAACCGACCACAAGCTCATCAAATGGCGCCCACAATCCGACCAACTTGTCATCAGTACTCGAGCGACCGACCCCGTGTAAATCCCATATGAATCAGAACTTCATTCCCATATCGGTCGTCGAAATCCGAGACTCGACCGTCACGCTCGTTCATTTATTGTCTCCCTTTGGCGATGTCGCTGCTGTTGCAGAATCCACGTTCGCTGCCCGGCATATCATTCTGGCTCTCTCGCTCGGAGAGGAATCTGGCGCCTAACAGTGGACAAGAAAAGCGAGGGCGCGCCTGTTCTGCTTGGCCAATTAATAGCCGACCACTGGGGCGGGACGAGCCACCTTGCTTCGGTGACGGACTGCTGCTCGTGATTTTGGTCCGGTCCCTACCTTGCTTCCGAGCCACGATCGACAGAATCGAATCTCAGGGCGACGAAGAGAAAAGCCGGTGGCCAATGTTCATCGGAAATAGGGAGGGTTGAATATCTGGGAATGGGACTCCACTTGTTGTCGAGTGGACGGAAACTTCCTCGGGAATGCGGTAGGTTGAATGGAATAAGCTCCCAACCATTATATTTCTTTATTATACTATCAGATCAAGGCGATTTCTGGTGGCACCAAGTATGAGGGCAATGAATGTATAATACAAGCCACTGTAGAATACAGTGACATCTATCATTAGTGGTCACATTATTCGGTCAAGAGATGTCATTCTCTACTCAGTTTCGCATTCAAAGATAATTCCTACGTGCAACAACCCAATCTTTGATATGTATTTCATTGAGAGAAACTATTCACGACAGAAACTGTTTTTTACTTTCCATGTGCTACATTGGAACCTGATATGTTACAACTATCATCCACACTTAAAAACTTCCCATTTTAAGTCCATGCGGGTGCAAGGCTGATATTGTATGTAATTACTATCTTCAGAAGATGAGATACTATTCGCCATTCATTGACTTGTGATCATTCATATGTCTGAAAGTTGTGGCTATAAAAGCTACCTTCCCATTGGAGGTACTGATATAATTCTCAATTATATACAGTTGATTGTAAGTTAAAAGTCCAATATATTTTTTGATCAGATTTTATTTTATTACATAATTTGATTGATTTTTCCTTGATGATTCTATGAGATAAAAAGAACAATTCAAAGCATCATATTGTCTTTTTACTGTGCAATTGGCCTCCTTTAAGACATATTAATTTTATATCAATTTTCCCGCTCAATAATGAAATTTAGTTTTAGTTTTATTTTTTTTCCCCACACAATCATTTGTTGATGTGACTATTTAAGATTGAAATAAATATCGACTCATTTCCAATCATTATAAAATTCCTACACCAAAAGTGAACATCTCACTGGTACCAATGAATTAATATATATGTTGCAATATATCATTTTAGATTGATAGTATTTAGAACTAAAACAATCATAGTGATCATTATGAATTCTGAAACATAGTGTGTATATTTTTATTTCTCACTGAAAAAAACCGGAAAATTTTCTAAAATTTATATATCCGTGAACAAGATTTTTTTTATTTTCAATCCTTTTGATAAAGGTTTCAAAGAAATTTTATAATTGATATCAATTAAGAAAATTAAACCACTTCAAAAATAGAAGTACAAATATTTATACAGATCAGGGAATGCATGTAATATTAATGTGTAAAATTTGTGACATATAAAAAAATATCAAGAATATAAAATGTGTCAATAAGTTTTACAAATTAAAGCTTATGGTGTGGATCATTTTATTAAATGAAGGAAAGATTTTAAAATTTTACTTTAAAATAAATATTTCATAATCATACACATACATAATTGAGTTGAAATGTTTTGTATTGTATTATCTAAAAATCTGAGATAAAAACGAAAATGAGAAGTTCATGTGATTTGAAAACAAAATCATATTTTATAATTGTGATGTAAATTGAATAAGAAAAATAATTTATTTTTTATAAAAAATAAATAAGTATGAGTTGAGAATTTTTATTATGAGAATTTTTTTGACAAATGAAAATAAAGGCAAATTTTATAAAACATCTATGTTTCTATCACTTTTTTAATGTTCATGCTAAAATTTTATAAAGAATTTACAAATTTAAAAATTTCAATTTTAAAAAAATAAAAAAATATATTCATTTATAATCAGGTAGATTTTTTTGATTTGATCATACTCTATTAAGGCATAAATTTATTTCCAATTTCTTATATATATTAAAAAATTCACTAAAATTTTTAAGGTTTAGAATAATTTTTTAATTTTCAATTCTTTTTTACGTCAAAAATCTATTCAGATGTCCATTTATCTGTCAAATAAATTATAAAATAATTCAAAATTGATCAATTGAAAATTTTTGTAACATGTTATGCATGTCACAAAATTAATCATAAATTTTTTTTATCTATGAATCACATGAAACTTATTTAAGAGGAGATTCAATAGATAAACGACATGCAACTGATTACATGCAAAGTTTCGTTATGTCTTTTCTTTATTTTTTAATTCGAATCGTTTTTAAACTATTAAATATTATTTTATAATAATTTTATTATCATAAATAGTTTTATTCTAATATAAATATAATATTTATTTATGAAATAATGGTATTTGATAAAATAATTTGAACTTCAGAGACAATTTCTGAGTGACTCAGTTTTAACTTTGAATTTCAATTTAAATCACATGTAAGAATGTAAATTCTTTGTTCAATATTTTTAATATTTAATGGTCTTCAAAATTTTATAACATTCCTGTATCGCGAATTTAACTTTGATAAGGAAAGTGAAAATTTCGTAATTATCCTAATCAATAATGTCCTGAATACATAAAATTTTGTAAGATTTTTTTATTGGACAGCATAAAGTATTATTTTTTTCGATATATTCTTTGACTATTTTAATAAAATGTATTTTTAAGTGCTATTTTGTAGTTAAAAACTCTTTACGTAATATATATATATATATACATATATTGATTTGCTCAAGTGCATGATGATCTTCATGATATTGGGTACTATGAAAAATTTTCAAATGCTTTAAAAAAATGTGAATGTGACTTGAACGCGATTTAACTTGTGAGAAGTGATTTGTTTTATAGTTGTATTACTAGGAGTAAACATATGAAAATATGTAGTTCAACTTTGATATTACTGTTGATTGCATTACATACAAAAATGAGAACTGACATATATATTCACACGCAATTAAGATAAACATAAATCAACATATACGCTATGTACAATAATTTAGTTGCACGAACTAGTCTAGGACTGTAAAGTTCCTATTTACATTTATTTCATCCATTCATGGTAGTGGAAATTTCATTATAGTTTTTGTAGCAGCAATCAGATGAGCGTTTATGTCTTCATATATTGCCCTTTTGTCCACTCTGTATCAATGATTATACTCTTGTGACATGTCATGACTCTGCTATTTCAAAACTTTCTCCAAGCAGAATATCCCTCTAGTGATTTCATAAGGTTATTGTTGTCCATCATATCAATTGTGAGAACGAATATGCTACTATCTAGTTTTCATGCAAGTAAGGTTTTTGCAAGATAGAAGTTTATCCCTTGCAAGTAAGCTTTGCAGAAAAAAAATTCCATATTCAGGTAAGTTTTGCAAGAGAAATTTATATGAAAATCTTGAAACGATCATTCCACAACTCTATTGCAATTTGTTACTAAAGACGTGTTCATATAGCACCGTTAATTTATTACACCAAGAAAGAATTTCACACTAGTTTGGATTTTCCACATCACAAGGTTGTGAAGGAAAAATGTTAGAGCTTAGAATTCATTTAGATGTTATTATTATATTTAATTATTCTACAAGTAGTTTTTGAGATGACTAAGAATAATTTCTCAGTTGCATAAATCTTCGAATAGCTTAATTAAGTTATTGAACTTTTATCAAATCTCGTTTCTATTACACAATTTTCTTACATCTCACAATGTTTTATTATTATCATCATCATGGCTTTTCATATGAGGACGTCAATATTATTCAATCTGCTGCTAACCTGAACAAGAAAAAAAGTTGAGGTACCCTTATTATTTGACTTGGTTTATCACAGAGTTCTCATGTGTATCACTTCTCCATATCAAATTATGTGTTTTGTTTCTTCATCGGAAAATACACACATCGCAAGTCATGTTCAATTCATTCATTGTAGCATAATGTTTGTTCTCTTCGTAGCATTTCTCCTTACTTGCAGCTCATGTTATCTAGACGTTTTCAGTAAAGGAGAATGTATTGCTCATAGATTATCTTGCTCTACTCGGAACTCACGTGACGTTTGGTATACTCTCCTCCAACTTTGCTTATGCATCCATGTTGTTTCTTTTCTCAGTGCAATGGATAATTTTGTTTCCACTCTTGCTTATAGATAGACTTTAAAAAAAAAAAAAACCGTGTTACCATATTCAACATTTATTATTACTTTATTCGAATAGGTATTGTACGTTTTTCAAGTATTTCTGATTTTGGTTCAATATTACATTGAAACTTGATAAAAAAAACTATTCAAATTCCATTTTACTTCCACAGTGAAAATATTTCGTCCGCACTTGTTTTACTCATCGAAAATTTCTTTCAGCATGTGAGTTTCCACAAAATTCTATAAATATTCAAAAGCTTTAAAAAATTGAATGTCAATGATAGCGTTAGAAAGTGAATCCCTAAATCGTAAAGATGAATTCTGTGTGATTTCAAAAAAATCAAACTCTTGTTATGTAAATGATTATCATATACATAGCATGTGACAAAGATAAATTTATCGACATATATATCGCGTGTGACAATTTTTAGGCATTTATCTGACTGAGGTATTTAGGTTTTTTTTTAAATTTGTCCCGATGAAATCTGCTAATCATAACAATTACATCAGCGCTACACAAGAAATTAATGTAATGAGAAATTAATGTTCAATGAAGTTGAATAATTTACTTTTCTTTAATATATAAATCATTTCATCTTCATGATTCTACTTTTGCTATTCAATGTACTTCTAGAACATTCTCTTCCAAAGGCCTCGACCAGGAAAAACAATTGCATCAACATATGCAAAGTAATCGATAACTTCTGCAAACGGTGTGAACCACTTAAAACCAGCTGCAAAAGGCTTTCAAGCTGACATGTATATCATGATACGAATAACTTAATACACCTCTTGTGAAAGAGAAAGAAAAATTGCCCATATGCACCTGAATTTACGTTCAGTTGGTAAACATGAACTATTCTTTGATGAGACGGGCAATGGTCTCAAAGCCTCCAAAAATATTGATGAAAGAGCCGATAAATTACAAGCTATCAATAGACCTCACAAAAACGGATATGGTGTCAGAACACTTTACGAGCAAGAACATCTGCGTGACCTATGTAGCTGCTTGGAGTTAGAGCTCGCAAATCTGCCTTGGCTTGTTCAGGCATATCTAGTGACTCAATGAGTTCTTGCAAGCTTTCCTTTGTAACTGCCCTGCCTCTTGTAAACTCCTTCAACTTCTCGTAAGGTTTTTCTATGCCATATCGCCGCATCACCTATTTAACATCCAAGGCGTCGCATTAATAATCATTGAACAGAAGGACTCCACACTTCCCTCAAAGCCATACGAGCCGGCACCTTGTACTCTGGAAAAAAGAATTTGCGCAAAGCGAAAATGATTTGTCTACAATGTGAACACAAGAACCACAAACAAGAATGCATCTCAATGAAGGACCTCAACTTACCATCTGTATTGGCTCTGCAAGAACTTCCCAAGTGTTGTTCAGGTCTTGTTGAAGGCGGACCTCATCTACCTGTGAACACCATAAACAATTGATCTCAATCATCTTATTATGTCCCCATGTATGACAAGCAATTAGGTCGTCAGCAAGCGAATGATGCGTGCACCCTGACCACACATGTGAGTCATTGTAGCACAACATTCCCTACGTATACATTGAACTGAGACTATACAGAAGGTGACAAACCTTTAGCTTTTTCAGTCCCCTCAATGTGCTTTCATACGCGAGAAGAGAATATCCTAATCCCCCTCCGAGATTTCGAAGAACAGTTGAATCGGTCAAATCACGCTGCACATAAGGACCACCAATGGTAAGAAATGACACAAAGCGAGCTGAACAGTGGAAGCCAAGTATATCTATGCATCGTGTGTGTTTTCTAGAAAAGAATTATCGTGGGCAAGGCTGAAACCAAAGCCAAGATAGAGGTTTGGAACACTCAATTGTTTCACAATTAACTCTGCTTGTAAGCATTCTAGGCTTGAATTACAGGGAGTGAGATTCATGTCGACAAGGCATCAGAGTACCTAGGTGTACTTTCTCTAAGAAATCTATGCTCGTCATGAACATGACGAGCCATTTTCAACAGCCATAGCCACTAACCGGCAATGTCCATGTCATATTCCCAACCTTTCAAACCAAAGCAATATAACTATCATGACAAAATCCTGTGGTGACAATTTAAAACAGCCAAGAGTTAGTCCTTAACACAAAAACAAATCTTAAAAATGCGTTATTACTAGAAGGTGAATACCTGCCAACGTGATATCGGAAGTTTTACGCTCAAGTGCCCTAAAATTGCATTCGCCATCCCAAGATTTCCCTCGCTGTTCTCAAAATCAATGGGATTCACTTTATGTGGCATGGTTGAGGATCCCACTTCACCAGCAACAGTTTGCTGCAACCACGTTCAATTTATCAGGTTCTTAGACAAAGCTGCTCTAAACTGACAGAACGAGGATTCACGGTCTGAAAATTGTCATAGAGGATCAGAAAAATTATGTCTTGAACTTTGTGAAAGAGCAAGACGCACCTGACGAAAATAACCAAGTGAAATGTAACCCCAAATATCTCGGTCGAAGCCAATCAGCACCGTGTTGAACAAAGAAACTGCGTTGAATAACGTAGCAATGTAGTCATGTGGTTCAATCTGTTCAAAACCAACAGAAATATATTCAGTATTGATAACACTTTGTCTGGAGAGCACTCTCCGTACAATTGAACTAAAGTATCGAACTGATCATGAAAGGCCGGAATAAGACCGAATAAGGCCTAGATAATGAGTGATTCAAAACCTGCGTTGTGTATGGGTTGAAAGATAAGCCGAGAGATGTGACAAATTCTTCAGCAGCGCCCTCCCAATCAACGTCAGGATGTGCAATATAGTGGGCGTTGTAGTTGCCTACTGCCCCGGCGATCTTTCCCTTGGGCTGCACACTTGCAACTTGATTTCGTATGTCCCTCAATCTGTAGCAAAAATTGGCCATCTCCTTGCCTAATGTGGTTGGTGAAGCTGGCTACAATAACAAAGACAGACCATGTAAATCTCTCTGTGGAGAAACCAGCACAATAAACCGAACAATCAGAAAATAACTTTAGGCCTGAAGGAAAGCAGCTACAATGACGTAATCAGATCATGTCGTTGACACACTTTAAGCAGTATGGAATTAGCGGGCCACGTAAAGAACGGACCGGACCAACAACTCAACGTATACTGGAGTGAATGCACCAGCCGATGATATATACACAAAATATACACAAAACAATTAAGAGATGACTAAAGGTTTGCAGACCTGTCCATGTGTTCGTGATAGCATTGGCACGGCAGCGTGCTCGACGGCGAGTTTGTGAATTGCATCTATAAGGGAATCCATTAAGGGTAAAACAACCGCCTCCAGCGCTTTACGAAGCATGAGTCCATGGGCCAAATTGTTGATATCCTCTGAAGTGCATGCGAAGTGGATAAACTCCAAGACCTGATTTCATGAATTTGCAGTCACAAACTCAGTTTGCTTTTACATAGATAAAGACAACAGATGGAAACAAAACATATTAATCGAAGATTTCGTAGATGTATGTTAAAAGCTTTTTGTGGTACCTTGGAAACCTCCGGATGCTCACCCAGGTGGTCTTTGAGAAAGTACTCAATAGCTTTGACATCATGATTTGTTGTCCGTTCAATCGCCTTCACTTGCAATGCTTGATCCACACTAAAATTGCTAATTATCTTCTCCAGGTCGGCATGAGCGTCAGAGCTGAAGGCAGGAACTTCACTCACACCAGTCATTTCGGACAGTTTTTGAAGCCATCGCACCTGCCATTCCAGAAATTCTTAAAGCATGTCTTATCATGCTTCACAACTCAAGCCTAGACTTTAACGTGAGACCTACAAAATGAGGAAGGCATGCACAATGTTCAGGAAAAGCGCGTACCTCAACCAAGACACGATAACGGATGAGACCGTACTCACTGAATATCGATCTCAGTTTCTTCACAAACCTCCCATAGCGGCCGTCCAAAGGAGACACTGCTGTAAGCTCGGACAACTCAAGATCATGCTCCAATTCCACATTACCTAAATCATGTCCCAAATCCTGATAAGAAAAACAACAACATTCAAAGGGATTTAGAAAAGGAGACATGATAGTCCAGATTGTGAGATATATATAGATGGACATGTGTTTTACCACTAAGATCTAGGGTGGCATGACTCCAGGACTGTAAGACTGTATTGAAGTGTATGACAATCCTTGTCGGGCAAATTTCATGAGTAGGTTCAGCAACGAATTGTATTAAGTTTCGTAAATCAAATACTGTCACTGAAAGAATTTCAGGGACAGTATTTCATAATATTTCATAATATTAATCTTTCGATTTTTGTAGATACAAACTTTAGCGGATGTTGCTACGCATAACTCCGGGTCATGAGTATGAAAGGTAAAAATGTAAGGTCCAAGAGTTTTCACAGATTATATCAGCCAGCCGTACAAAGCATGGCATACCGTCGACAGGTAAAAGCTGTCCGAAGTAAAAGTCTAAGCACAATATGCAACGTTCTAATAACCATCAGAGAATTGAAGGGATGAGACATTTCACGAACACATAAGGTGCAGAATAACATGTACGACAGTTGATGAGTAAAAGGCAATAACCTTAAATATTTATTTTTAAAAAAAACTGAGTATCAACTACATACACGAAGTATGGACTCTGGAAGACTAGTGCTGTCCAGGAACTCAGGAACGAACAGCAAGACATATCAACTACTCAACCACCTCTCGGGCCCGCTTTCCATGCGACTTGATAGAGACCCTTCGTGTCCCATGACGAATGAGTTCAATAGAGGTTCATGGACTGGCACATTTGATGAAAGGACAATTCAACCAAGGAATTCCACTTCCAACGATTTTCAGCAATTGCTCCACGTTATAAATTTACAGAGTACAAACCTGAACAGCTGCTTCTGTGGTGGCTACGTTGATCGTAGTGGTCAATTTCCTTCCTTCTTCTCGCTTGGACGCCAGCATCGGTTGGCAATGCAGCTTAGATCCACTCAAACCTGTAATTAATTCTGATCTTAGTTAAATGAAAACTTAACATGGTGCTTGCAGCAATCAGCTGTAAAACGCATTGCAAATCCGACAACATCCACAAAAACATGGAGGAGTGTGCGAACCTGGAGAAGTGAGGCTCGTAAGCAGGGAAGAAGATCCCGTCGACTGGCGGAAAGCAGGACGAGAAGAGCAACGGTGTCTGCTGCTTGTCAAATGCAGCGACAGAGGCAAGAGCGATGACGACAGGGCCGTCATCGTCGATGTCGAATCCAACAGCACACCGTGCAAGCTGCAAGGCAAGATCGATTTCCCAGAAACAGGAGCAATTCCAGCTCTGAAATTCCAAATCACAGACGAGCGTATTGAAGAGCGTCTCCACAAGCCTCGACCACCACAGATACAAGGGTTTAACAGGACAGATGCTCTGAGTCCTTAATTCTCGACTGCCTGACCGCTTCTTCTGTCGCCTCCAGTACAGTGCTTGTGCAAGCTGCGGTGCCAGTAACTGCCATGGACTGTTCCCGGGAATAAACGGTACTGTAGTTTCTTATTTACCTTCGATTTAATGACCAAAGTCTAGACATGTGTATCTACCTAGGAAGAGTTAGATCATTTGTTCATTTGGCAGTATCAATTCAAGGTTAAGAAGGTTCTCTGAACCTTTTTAACATTGAACCTTGAAACTACTTGTACAAAATTTGACCCAGAATTCATCAATTGAGGTATCACTCTCTGTATCCTCTTTTTGGTTCATTTTGGCCAAAGACTTATTTATAATTTAATCTTGGAAACCTTGCTAGTGGAATGTACAGTGGTGAAATGGGACTTGATGATGATTCTTTATATGAAATAATTATGTCAAACATTTTGAATGTCAAACATATGTAATTCAAAATGTCAAACATTTTGCTTTACAAAGTTCACATATCCTACATGTAGTGATATATTTATTCACTTTGATACTATCTGGTCTAGCCCCCATTCTAACCTATTTTTTTCCCATATAGATTTGATTGGGACTTTTTTGCATTGTAAATCGCTCCTTCACTCGGGACAGGGCTTGCTTAGATTTGTGATAAGAGGCAAATCAAGACATTACGCCTTTTGTTTTTATAAGCTTTGCACATTAGCGTGACCTTCAACTACCGCACATGTCTCTTTCCTTTCGGCCTCTTCACGTCTTGTAGAATATCTTCCGTCCGATATTTTATATGACGTCATTTCGGTGCAGTGTTATGGGCAAGTAAATGGCCATCGGCGTGTTTGAAGATATAACTCAAAAAATCATCTCCAGATTCCCTTTAGACTTGGTGTTACGTAACGTTTTCCATGCCAAGACCAAGTAAGACTAGCATTTATCATGCAGGTCACATCAGACTCGTGTACTATGAAACCTAGTTGAACTCATGAACTAGAATATAATAGAATTGTCTAAAACAAATTAAAATCTGACTATTTAGTGACAAGGAATATATTACCGTTTGCTTTGATTTGTTTCCCCATTAGATGTAATAACATTCATCACTTTCTCATGAAGAAAATGTCGTATACCGTATGGCTCATAAAAGAGATTTTACAATGTTTCGATGAGCAGGTAAAAGTAGAAAATCATCTTCTTTGATTATCTTAAACAACAAGTGATGTTCACGCTCTCTTGTTAAGGCAAGTTATTGTTGACTTCAAGTTAACTATGATATGTTGTTCTGAACATCTTTTCACCCTGCTCTGTATATCAAAACACCTTTACTTTTACCTCAGAGCAACTTGAAGCACACCTTGTCAGAGGACTTTACGCAATTTGGAAACACTATCAAAGTGTTTCCAGATTGCATAGAGCCCTCCGACAAGGTGTTTAGATGTTTCCTGGAAGAAAATTACAACAATTCTAGTAGTTGACTAACATTTCGTTGTGCCCTCGTAATACGCATGTTGTTCGACATATTGTTGGTGAGACTTGTGGGGAACATGATGATCATGACTTGCAGTATTGCGTGATCATCGTAAACATGTCCAGATTGAACAACTGTTGTTAAGTGTTCCTCCATAGGGTCCAGCTTAACATGGAAACATCACCAGATTTGAGTAATACGTCTCATGTACAATCTTGTGGCGATACGTGCAGAAAAATATCACAACTGGCCCTGTGTTACAAAAGAACGAAGTGCAATACACACAAAAAACGTTGAGTCGAATTGCAGCTAGTATAGGGCATCATAAAATCGGTGGACTCTAAATGGGGTACTAATAGTGTACTATATTGGAATAAGTATATACATGTGTCATAAGTAAATATGTGAGACTGGTAGAATAACTCCCTCTAAAAGCTTCTGAAACAATTGATTTGGAGGAAACGGAAAAACGAGCATAACTGATCTCTTCAGTAAAGAAAATTCCACAACATGATCCACAAGCAGAAGACGCAAGAGACATCCTCTCAAAATAAGCGGTACTAATTTCTCATTATAACTTGACTCCATACTACATAATCTTTTGACTACAAAACTTTCGAATCTTTTAAATTACGAAGAAGTAGAATATGGCTACAATCTTTACCTGATTGATAGGCATCACTACTCAATCACCTCTTGAACAACTTCAACAAGTGTCTCGTGGGAACAACTGCTCCATGAGATGCTTCTTCGAGCACTTATTCACGGATTCATTCGAGGGCTAAGTTCCATGATCTGATTCCGTTGAAGCGCATCAAGGAGCTACGAAGAAATAATTCTATTTTCTAACAAAACTTCATCATTTCGTCCTAATTCAGATCTTGTGAAATTCAAACAAGGTCCTTGACATATATACGAGAATCAATTGTACAGCTTAGCTGTTCTCAGAATTCTTATCAAGTAATCTATCAATGTCAGGAGTCAGCACAACACGCTGCCGGATGTCACCCAAAAAAAGGCAGTGTTTAGCAACAGGATTTATAGCTGCTAGCTCCTGGGCAAATACACAACTGGTTCCTGGCATCGCCTGCATAGACATCAGACAGTTCTTACATTAGCATTACTTTTTCAGATGTTATCTGTGATTTGTTGAACTTCACTACTAAAGAGCATGGCTATCCCATAAGTAAGGAGATGGCGAACTAAATTAGATAGCACATGAACAACCGCAATGACCTACAAGAAAGATGAACCAACGGAAAGTTCCCTAGGAACAGAAATAAAGGCCGTTGATTTCGAACGCGCACTAGAAGGACAACAGCTGACAAATGAAAGTATCCGGTCATCAAGAACAAGTTCCAACTTGCTAATAAGTTCAAAAGAACAGGAGCAGTTAGGATTGCAAAACATGAGAATTTATGAGCGAACAAAGGTACAATTAAATGAACATAAAGTGCAGTTTGAGCTGCCGCAGGACCCGGGGACCAGCTGATGGCAAGCGTCATGTAGCCATCACACGTCTCAGCAGTGTTTATTAACGTAAATAGGTTTCTACCTGCACTTGTGTGAGGTATGAACTGAATGACGTATTTCCTCGTCAGGCTACATCACAAGGATGTATCTGTAATCTAACAGTCAGTATTCATCAAATGCCACCGGGAGAGAAGCCTGGGCCTCCTGGAATGTGGGGTACTATATTAAGGAACTGCAATTCTTAGCCAGCATGATTTTATTTACAACGATATTTGTCAAGATAGCGGTAGCTCATGATCGAGGAATACGGGAGTGGGCACAAGTACTTACATCGAAAACGACATCACCCAGCTGGAACTTGACTGCTCCACTTTCGTAGACCAACATCTTGCCGAGGAAGCCTTCGGGTAACTTATCTAAGCTAATACTTTCTTTCGTGCTACCTGCAGCCTTCTGAGCAGGATTGCTACTACCCTCATCCTTCGGTACTTCTGGTACCATGTCCATGGGAAGAGCAGAAGGGAGCTGGAAAAACATGAATTTGTCTTCTAAAGATTCCTCCTGCAAAACAACAAATATCATCGTTCTTAGATATCAGAGACCATAATTATTTCATTCCAATATATAAGCTGTTTCAAGTAGAAGCAGACTCATTGAAAAATCTCCAGAAAAATGTAGGCTCTAGAACCTTCTCCAAACCTCTGGCACTTTAGGCACCCATAACCTACAAATGGAATGACTGTCTTTATAGTATGGTGCCAACCAGAGAAGAAAAGATCTAGAAAAACTGTTCCCTTAGTATGGTGCCCAAAAGGATGAAAATGTGATAAACATTACATCAAGTCAGACACTTTATGCTAGAACTCTGGAGGAAGTTAACGCCATAACATCAAGTCCAGGATTTCCCATGCAGCATAAGGACATGAAGTACTTAGCAACTTTGACACACTTGAAAAAGCGTGTACATTTCATCGAAACATTCCAGGACAGAGTCTACACAAAATGGGCACTATTAGCCGTGCATTGTTGAGCGCTCCCTAATTACAACCAGCATTTCATACCCAGTACCCACAAAATTTCATAGGAAAGGAACAGAACATTGAAGAAGACCTCGTTTAATGAGAGTAAGGACTTCAACAGAGAACAAAATTGTTTGGCAGCAGAAGAACAGCTAGAGAATTTGCAGTAAAAACATTAGAAGGGCTAGGTCTGAATCTGAAAGAACTGGCTAAAACCTCCTGAAATTAGTGAAGTTCTTAGGAACGAGATTTCACTAATTTCAGGCGGTTTTAGCCAGTTCATTATCATCCATTATCTGCGGCTTAGCAGGGCCACTTAGTGACGTCAGATCAGAGGTTACAATAATGACATAAACAGGTTAACTTTGTAAGACTAGACTTCGGTTATAGCTTAAAGCCAGGTCTGGCCAAGTATGTGTAGACTTTCCTGATTTTCATCCGAAGATCGGCGGTCATCCAATCAGATTTATTTGTGCAATACTATCGAGCGTTCAACCTTGCATACGATAAAAATCCTCTGCACAGAGTCGTTCAACTAATGACCAACAACTCTATGCCATCATGAGCCTTCCTGATCGCATACCATAGACGAAATTGGCAAAGCGTTGAAAGATAGTTCTCAAATCATACATGGAGAGGTGATTACAAGGATATCAGCAATGTACAAAACTTGCAATGTGTACCCCAGCATACTCTTTGAGCAAAGAGTATGCTGGTTTCTGTAACTTAACAAATTAGATATCTGGAAGCGATAGAGAAGGATAACTTACGAAAAGTCCCAGCTCCTTGGCAGCGGGAACTGCATCTTCATCATATTCTTGACTTCCTCCAAACTCCTCTTCATCCAATACCTCTGTGTGTAAGATCGTGGCTTCGGATTAGCTTGAATTTACAGTTATGGGAGATATTACTCATTAACATCTAAGGTATGATTTTTACCTTCAGTGTATAACATACCAGTCAGTACCAAAAAACTGTAGCATGACTCACAAAAATTTGCTTACGTGAGAGCTGAGCTTTTGACAAACCCACCTGCTAAGCCAGACCTCGGCTTTCGGAGTGGGAGAGCTACCGGATAGTACTGATCATAATCCTGAAACCAGTGTCGTTCACAGTACAGGTGTGTCAATATCGAGGTCTCTATAGACGCAGTATCTATCGTAAGCACAAAGGGACGTAAGACTGACTTGAAGCCACAGGTAACACCAGCAATCAGTATAATACCATAGGATCTGTGGCATTCTTCTTCGATCCACTTTTAAAGTCAACGTACTCTTCCATGCCTGTACAGGATCGACAATGCAGAAGCATAAGTAATTGCTTACACAAGTCTACTGTTTTATTTCAAAAATCACACTGGGTACAAAATGTGACAGAACTATTATGCTTATCATTCCAAACCTTCGACAAGATTCACAGTCTATTATGGTTTGCATTGTGTGTAGAATTTATGAAACAATTGCCAAAGTGGTCAAAAACTCACTGGCAATCGTTGTCGATGCTCTCCCGCCGCCTCCTCCACCTCCTCCTCCCCCACCACCGCCACCACCACCACCTCCCCCTCCTCCTCCACCACCTCCACCTCCACCCCCAGCCCCGCCACCTCCATTACCAGTCCTGAACTTACTAAATCCAGCAGATCCAGCTGCTGCTCTTCCCGCCGTTGCTGAGCCAAAACCGAAGGCAACCCGAACAGGGGCTGTTCAAACAATATAAAGCACGATTAGACTTGTTTAAATCATCATAGGTGACAAATCCAGATTTATACCTGCACTGCGAGCAGAGAAGACATACCTTTGTTGTCCGGGCGTCTTCGAAAACCAGATGCATCCTCTTGAGATTGCTGCGAACAAAAGTAGAAATAATTCGTCTTACGGCCAATTCTAGGATTATAAGCAAGTAAATACAATCAACCGGACCATTTTGATGACCCTGCACTGTGACTAAACACATTTTCATCGAAGCCACCGTTTCCACCGATGACGCGGAAGCAAACGAGAAACAAATTCATTATAACTGAATCACCTGTATCAATCTCTGAAGTTCACTAGATAGCTCCCCTCCATCACCTTCACCGGGCTCCCTGGGACAACAATTTTATTACGAATTGCGATGTCAGAGCGAAACAACAAAAGTCCATATTCAGTAAATTTCATATAACAGACTGACAGTCCGTAGCCGAACACATGTCAATGAGTACCTTTTAACTTGGGAGAGCTTTTTCAATCGCCTCGTTGGTACTTTCGGCTCAAACTTGGTCTGTAACAAAAACAAAAGTCAGGCATTAGCTCTAAGCTCAGAAATTTCCCAAACTCGGAGGAATTTTCGCCAGCTCTGTTCAAAGAAAAATCACGGAAAGCTAACCTTCTTGACTCCACCATGAGTAAAAGCCTCTGCAGGCAAAATGTTGGCTTCTCCAGTGACTGCCGCTTTTCCTTTTTCTTTAGTCCTGTCCTTTTCATCCCCTCTTGAAGCTTCCGACATTCTGCTCAACTACACTATAATGAGCAATATCTCCAAGTTATTGCACCATTCTTCCCGCAACTAAAATTCAAACAAATTCTCCGGCTCCGACCTTCGAAATCGACCCAACAAAATGTCGTACATTGAATGGCGATGTCGCAGTACACGACCCACAAGCTCAATACCGCAAACTTCAATTCACGAAAATTACAATTCCTTCGCCAACTTGCTCTGTCTGTGAACCAGTCTCGGCCCCATGATTCCAACAACTGCACTTTCAGAATGCTCTGCAACTGCTCCGAATTCCGAACTCCAAACCTACTTCCCCTTGCGAATCCAAGTTGACGCAGGAAATGGCACAAGTTTTAAAGCATGCCCCGCCAAAATTCGCCCCTGCCCACATAGGAAGCTACGGCACAGCATAGAGTGCTGTCGAAGAACATCCGAACAGTACATTGACTCGCCAGTGGAGAGGGAGAGTCCAGACAGTGGCACTGGCGGCGCTGTCGTCGCATCCCCTAGCATAGAACAGACGACACTGAAGCCCATTGCTGTGATTCCACGATCCTGCCGCTCCTGAAAGTCAGCTTGAATTAGTCATTGTCACTTGCTTCAACAGGAAATTCGATGCATCAGGCCATTTCAAGTCAAGACTTGCCGTACTATCCTTGAAGATCATCAAGTTGAGTTTTGTACACTAAACTATATTTCTGCTAGCGGATCATGTACATTCGCATAGGGTTACTCTTTTAATTCCATTATTATCATTTTTGCTTGATTCACTTTGTTAACAATACTTCCATCTGTGAATTGACACCACATCTTTGTTAATTACGTGTTAAAAGAATAAGCTTATTTAGAATAGAGCTATTGCATGTACGATATTATTGGTTACGTAAAACTCTTGTTATACTTTTTATTTGTGAATGTAAATTGAAATATATGACAGAACACGAAATAATATTGTATTCATCTTCATAACATCAACATCATGGTTGTTTTTGCTTTATCCGACTAGAATGTTTCATTTACTCTTAGTTTATCGTTGGTGGATCATATGAGTTCTTTTACTCCTATGAATAGTTCATGATTTTTTTCAATTATGAGGCATGCTAGATCATGCATAAGATTCTCCTAGTCTAATTATTTTCTTCATTAACGAGATATTGCTGAATTCTTTAAATTTATTAAGAATGAATTATTATATTAAAATTAAATTTTCTTCACATACAACGTTACTTATCTGGATATCATTAGATATAGCTTATGGTTATAATGTTTACTATTACAAAATGAATATGAAAAACTAATTTAGAATAATTTGTATGCAACCTATTTTACTCTATTTGCAGAAAATGTATACTTATTTGGGAACATCATGCAATTGTTGAGACATGGTGTATAAGGATACTACACATAACACAATTCTACATGTTGTGATTAAACAATCAGATCAAAACCTTCAAACAAAGGATATGTGTAGATGTAACTTTTCTTTTCAAAGACACACCAAGTTAGAGAAATCTGTGAGAGACTTACAGTCGCCCACAAAATTGGCAGTTATCGTTCTTTGGCTTATTGTTCAATTTATAGAGAGATTGAATATATAGCCCACCATACTCAATAAATTTCGGTCTTAATTGTTATAATTTAGATGAGTTTCAATTATTCTAAACTGATTACAAGCTATTGTCAGCGATAGTAAGGTCACTACTTTGTGTTACAAAGTAGTGACAAACTTAGACAAACATAGTCCTAAATGAAGTTTTCTTCTTTCTTCCAAAACTAGTTAAAGAGTTACCATTGTGGCTAGGTTCACCATCCAGGCAATAGTGCTCTGTACATCCAAAGGAAAGTAACTCAGAGGCTGGACATTTGAGAAACAGGGAAGTATCTGTGCAGAAGACTCACGTGGAACGTGAACTTTGAATTGCTGTATAACGGTCGACAGTGCATCCGGATTCCCAAGCCTGTGTCTTGGGTCTGTGCTGGTACTCCTAACGGGGAACAAAGATGCCACCACAGGGCAGACAGTCTTACAGTTTCAACATGGTGAAAGAACACGTTGGTACATCATGTGTAAACTTCTTCCTTGCGCTTTTCCTGTATAAACGATCAGCAGAGAAAACTCTCTTCTCAATTTTCGGAATTTCGAATTCAAATGGTTATCGATCGGTTATCGTTATGGATTCGGCGAATACAAATGTTTGTCGCGAGTGGCGTGAAATGTAAGACTGATGTCCCTCAGAGAAGCAGAGCTCAACATTGGGTGCCCATGCCCAAACCCATCCATGCCCATGAGTTTTGGGTGGGTTTTGGGTGACATTATTTTTCCATGGGTGGGCTCAAGTAATGCAAAGAGCAGTGTTTGTCATGATCCAACCAGGAATTGTATAATTTGTATAACATGGATGGGCATGGGTGGGCTCAAGTAATGCAAAGAGCAGTGTTTGTCATGATCCAACCAGGAAGTGTATAATTTGTATAACATGGGTGGGCATGGGTGGGCTCAAGTAATGGAAAGAGCAGTGTTTGTCAAGATCCAACCAAGAATTGGTGTAATTTGTTTAACATGGGTTGGCATGGGTGGGCTTCGGTCGCTGCTCATGGTTATGGGCTGGTTTGGATGCAGATTTGAAGTAAAATGTTGGCCTCTGCAGAGAAGTGAGTTATCCTCCTCTGAGCCAGCCCCTGTTATATGAATATAATGACGACACGAATTGGCTTTCGTACTTCAAACTTCTTGCTCTCATTTTCTCGGACATAGTAGATGTCTTGAGTTTAAGCTTCCACAAGAACCCAGATCCGTCCACAATGGTTCTATGAGATCGTTTACGTAGGTACCATCTTCGAGCTGAGTGAATCCATTACCATACACAATGGTTCTATGAGATCGTTTACGTAGGTACCATCTTCGAGCTGAGTGAATCCATTAACATACGTGGAGAGAGTGGCAAATCCAAGGAAACTATCCGTTGTGACGTATTCTAGATTTTGATTGATTGACTTGCCATACATTTCGGTGTAACCTGGCAGTACCATGTACAATAAGACATATGTAGGGGGAATCTTCAGGATCCGCAGAAAAGTCTTTTTTCGAAGTCACCCACCGAAGTCCTCTCACACATCTTGGTGCTCACTTCCAACCGTCTTAACTCCACACCTTAACTAGACAGGGCTCCGTGTGTAAATAACCAGAACACTTCTCACGAAGAGCGATTACCCTAATTCAATACTATCGCCACAACCTTTCAAAGAGCAATGGAACATGAATTCGAGTAGAATCAATCACGTTTTAGTCCAACAAATCCAGCTGATCTTCAGCATATTCCACGAGTAAAGAATCAGTTTTATATCTACAAATGATGTTGGTGCCCATCTTTTCCGTCACTAGCGAGTGATAGAGCTTCACAACATATCGTATCTCAAAGGACTGGTAACTCGACACCCTCCCGGTATCGATCAACCTGATCCCAATCCATCAGCAGCAAGACGTACATAAATTACTTCCCTCTAGTAGTTGAAGGTACGCATCACTCAACCTGTGGGAGAACATATCACATGAACGATGCCCGAGTAACAGACTGAATAACAAAACTCGTCTGACTGTAATAACGCCCAATCTTCTAGATGGATGTACCTATCCGATGAGATACTAAAACTCTACCGCTCCTTCATCATGTTTGAAAGCAGTGATAAAGCTCTCGCATTGAAGGTAGTACTGAGCTTCATTATAATTCTGCCAGTTCATTGTGAACACCTGCAAGAAACCACGGTACGGCAGGGTTAGGATAGTCTGATTGCTAAGGTCATACAAGAAAACTTCCTATCTTGATGATGCTTTTATTGACACGCTTTAAACCCTTCTCACAACTTTTTTACCCTGTGTGGACCCAAGAAAATTTCATTTTTCTAACACCGTCCATCGAGTGAAATTGGTGATCAGACGCTGACCTGAGTACAAATAATTTCCGAAGCAAGCACTCAAAACTCTTGACAACACACAATAACTATGATAGATTTTGTATCAAGAAAAAACCTTGGCGCACAACGCTAGAATTGACTAAGCTCTTTAAATGCTCCACAGAATCGAAAGCATAGGCTTGGCCACATTACTCTGATATTTTAGACACAGAGATGATGCTGTTCATAAAGACAAAAAATCACATATGAGATTTCGTGTGGTCAAAAGTTCTCGCATGATACCTGAAAACTCCAGAAGATACGCTGATTTGTTTGTCCTTATTGATCTCAAGCTTGAACTGACGGTGCTATTTAGATACCCCATTGTTTTTCGAGTACCCTAGTGACACAATCCTTATATTCAACATTCCCTGAGGAGCCAAGTTTGAGCCAGCCTCCATACACCGAGGCACCGTTGTCTTGGTTGGGCCAGAGAACTCCGTCCAGGACTTTCAAGCGTAAAATGGTTTTCATACTAAGATACAGCTTCCGACTGTCCTTACATACATTTCTTTTATCACTTCAGTGATGGCAACCAAAGGCCGAGCCACTGCAGTCACATCGCCCGACGAGCACCCGCTTCCAACTTGTAAGACATTCTTATGTAACATGTCATTCAAATCCGAAACAAGCAAGTGCGTTTCGGAAACGTGTACATCTGATCGTCTGCTGGATCTGCTAATTCACAATACGACCCCGTGCGGCATCTCCTATGATTCCTCATGGTACAAGGATACACAAGTTCCCTGGCTTTACAGTTGACATGTAAGATGGATCACAAGATGAACCACCAGCTAGAAGACTCCCGTTTCAAGGGAGAAAAGTACAAGTATATATAATGGGGGAAAGTTTGTCCATCTGCATACTCTTAATGTCATCACTTGCCCAAAAACAAGTAAACCAGGTCAAAGGGACTGTTCACCACCAGCTAGCAACCAGCAGCCTTCAGGAAGTTGTCATAAGGACTAGCTGGAGGAAGTCGAAACACCTGCCATGGTTCAATAGGAGTAAAAGTAAGCCAAGCAGGGCTGAATGGCGTCTTCTTTGGTGTTGTGAAGTCTATCAGATTTGGACTCCGTAAAAGACTTTCTTCAAACTTCTGTTCCAAATGCTGCACAATCACAAAAAGAAACAAAAAGCTAAGACCTCTGACGGCCTCGGCGAAACTATACTCATTCGTATAGCCCGATATTAAACTCAGGACCATAGACCACGGGCCTAGGAAGAGGGATACTTGCAAAGAGGAAAAGCAATAGATATAATGGGGAAGTACAAGTATATATAATGGGGGAAGCGTTGCGACTCTAGAAAAAGTCGCAACGCTTCATGCACGTTCCTAGAGGATTTACTGCATTCTAATCAAAAGTGTTTAATTAGATTTAATATGGTGACCGATATGCTACAGTCCATGATACGTGAGAAAGAAGACAAGAAGAAACTGTTACCAGATAAAGATACATTGACAAAATATAACTTCAACGACTTATATAAACATCCTCCATGGCCTGCTAATTGAATCCAAACTTCATCCGAACTCGACAACCTTATCTGTTACTCTACTCTTCTAGCTCGCTCAAGACAGAACGTTGGAAATAGACAGGTATGCATTGAACCCAAACTTACGTTTTTGTATTGAGCCTGTGATTGTAATTGTTCTTTCATTGGTGTCTGCGCTGGCGTTTCAGGAAACGTCAATAGAAGAGAGCTGGATTCCGTGTCCAATCTCAACACAGAAGACATTTTCTTGCGGGTCCCAACTCCAAAGTTTTCACACTGACTTGCAACAGCACTGTACGATAGCGAGGCTCCAGAAGGTGAGACATTGCTCACAACCTGACCAGCTGTCACGAGGGCCTGCGATGACAAGCGTGTGGGTCAAAGATGTGCTCAATAGAAGCGCAATGAATCTACAAACTAAAGAGTACAAGATTTTAGCTTACCGCTTCCAATAATTGCGTAACTCCCATTGCGTGTGGGGCAAGCGGAGGAACAGGGAAACATGCCAGCAGCCTGGGTAGTTCTCCCCCAGACTGGTCACTCACTTCATCTTCCATCGATGTACCAGTATCAGGTATAATCTGCGGAGGGAAAAGACACCCAGTTAACAAATGACAACAAATGGTGAGCTTTGCAACCATTTGTATTATTGTTGATGATTAAGTCACCATCTTGTGAAGTAATCATCTCAGCAAACCTTATCCTACAACTTTGACTTTCATCCGGTATAGAAACTCTTCCAACATATTCGACACTGTTGAGCTTCTTTGCATCGCAGTTCTCGAGCTCAGGTTAAACTAACCTCGTCGAATGAAAGCGAATCTCGGGACTCAAGGGGTGATCCACGTGAATGAGGAGTCTCTAGGTAGAGCTGTGGACCCAGTCCATATCCTTCCTCAGCAGAAAACGGCTGTAGCATCTGGTCAACAACCGCAAAATCCTCGGGCTGTGGAAGTAGACGACGATGCAAGGAGCCAGGCAAATTAGGTTTCAATCATACTGCAAGTATTCTTTAGCACCGAATTCACTTCAATCCATATGAATAGTGCAAGATATCCAACTTCTTCCCGATCAGCGAAGTAGTGGTGGCGAAACTCTAACATGAGAAACTTTTTCAGAAATGTGTCCACCTCTAGAAACTCATTACTTCTATTCACTAAAACTTTCTCGTCCTTCAAACATGCTTAGTTCATTGCATTGTATACAAACCTCTAAGACTGTCGAACTTCCAACAATAAGAGCAGCCAGAGCTTCGGAAGTTTGCTCAGGTGAAATCGAAATGCCTGAAAGAGAATTTAGCGCATCACGGTCATCTGCCGCAGTTCCGTAGTCCTTCACGTTGACATAACCAGCAGGTGAATTTATAACTTTGAGACGTATGTCCTCAGATAGTTCCAAATAAGGATCCTTCTGCAATAGTCAGGTACCCGAGTTACAACAACAGTGGTACAACGCTTAGGCTATTATTGAAAGAAAAAAAGACATAAAATAAAGGAGAGAAACGAATTGTGCGTAAATCAACTACATTCATATTTACACCATATCGTGAGAATCTCTGAAAAACGAGCCACTAACCGCAGAGTTTGTGAGCGAGGCTTTCGCTGTAGCAATAAGCTGTGGAGCACCATAGGCCCTGCCGGCGAAAACCAGCATCGCAGTTGATAGCGTGAAGAGAGACCTTCGTCGTGAGGGTGGAAGCTGCACCCCAGTATCTAATAACAGAGCGATGATGATCAGGAAACGGGGTGATATCATGTAACACTTTAACACCCTCCAATTTTTCAATACGACTGGCTTTGACAACCTAAACAAGATTACAGAGAATGAAGACAGGGCGTACAACATTGGCCTATTCAATGAATTTTCTGTTTTAGAGAAAAAAAATTGAGTGAATTCTTACAACTGGAATCCAGCACCAGGCTCCGAAGAGACAACGCTAGTTGGAAAGCACGGATGACGGTCTTATGGCTGGAGGTCTGCACAAGAAAAATGACAAACGTAATCAGTCAGAAAATGAGAAAACATGTTCCTCTCTAAGACACAAGACGAATTGGTTCATGATAGCCACACGATGTCTTTGTATTTTACTCATGATCAAACAAAGTTATATTAAGAAGTCAAACATTAAATTGCAGATTCATGAAAAGTTGAAAACCTTAAAGCACAGCTGAAGTAGGTTATACTAAGATCGAGCCAGAATTGCTTTGACGGTCTAACTTATAGAGATAGACACCGTACTTGGGGGTGATAGCTGTACACTATCTCGGCTATAACGCTATTCTATTCTATTCTATTCTATCTATATCTGCAACGCCAAACAAGGTTGAGAGGCCACATTATGTATGTGTTCTGGTAAGATCATTTACAACCCTGAAGGTCACAGATACGTAACTATCCACCATGCAAAAAACATATGGGCATTGTAGTTATTCACAAGGACTTCGCATACATGCACATCAAAACAATTGTAACGACAAAAGAAGCATGTTAACTCTCGATTTCAAGTAACTTGACGACTATAAGCTAATTTTTGGTAAAAATGAAGGTTTTAAAGGATCGACTTCGAGGTCTGACTCACCTTAGCTCTAGAAAAGAGAAGAGTCAAAATGTACGTGTGAGCGATAGCCTCATAATTGGCAGGGACATTGTCGGGTAAAGTCGCACTGAGCCACATAGTAGAAAGAAGGAGTGCTGCTTGGTGCCCACTCAACCTGACTGCACTCATTTCCTGTAGAAGGGAAAACATTATCATACTGAATAAGTTGAAGAACTGATGACTAACAAACGAAGAGAAAACTGAAGATGTAGGTGAGAGGTTTTATTCCAGGAGCGAAAACTAGAATTGATCACCCATGATGACTATCTTAAAACAAAACTTTGAAAATTATGATAAAAAAAAAGTTGACCGTACCATATCCTTTGAGCTGGTCGTAGGCTTCCTCATTTGTGCCATTCTTTCCATTGATAACTCCATGGACCTATCCTTGCTAAGCTTGTAATTATAGGATGTATTTGGACTAGGGTATGTTTCCTTGTTTCTAGAGGCGCCTACTTCCGTAAGTTCTATACTTTCCACAGTTTCTCTGGTATTTTCGAACCTGTTACTTTGTGACTTTCCCTCACGCTGCGCCTCCTTCTCTGTAGTAACGTACTTTTCGCCTCCTCTAAGTTTCTCAAACAAGGCTGCTGCTGAAGCAAAGGCGGAACTCGTCCTAGAAATCACTGAACTGGTCTCTGGCCTGCTTTGGGCGGGAGCTAGTTCTTCCCCTTTTGGAGTGGCTGATGGCACTAAGAGAATGGCAAATACATGGTGTGCTCTCACTCGTGTTTCCACGTCTGGATGTATCATAGCTTGCAAAAGTTCCTGGAATAAACCCTCTGGAAATATCTGTACAAAGAAAGCACTCTCCATGAGAAAATCTTGGAAGCAGAGAACATTTGATCTTTTCTCCACATAGTATACATGCTCTTTGGATAAAAAGATAGAAGTTCTTGTTTAAGAGTTGAAAAGTTCTTCACCTGCTCAGCGTAGGACTGATCTTGAACATTCGCTACAGACTGGGCTAATACAGACACAGCCTCCACTGTCGTTCTCGCGATAATGGGGTTAACGGAGAGTTTTTCCAGAGTAGTTGCCATCATGTCAAACAACGGAGCTGCATCACTTATCTGTCAAACAAACCGACCAATTCAGACTAGCTAGTGTGGCAGTGAACAAATGGTGCTTCAACATTAAGTCAAATGATTCGCAGAATTGCAAGTTATTCCTGCCCAGTTATTTCTCGGCACCTTTTGCTGACGAGCTACGGCACTTGCTCTGGGATTGGCGTGATGATTGTCAATGTAAGGGTGCAACGTACCCGTTTGGCAAGTTCCATCAAGCAATCTTGAATTGCTCCCTGGAGACCTCGGTTCAAACTGCCTCTGCCGCCTTGGCCTGATTTTGACGTCTCCAATGAAGATTGAATGCTCTTACGTAAATGTCGAACCAAGTCGCTCATAGCTGCTACGTCTGCAACCGTTGCTCGTGCCTTTGAATGTTGTGCGAGGCTTCCAATTACCTCCACAATATGTATCTTCATCTCCAAATTTTCGGATAAACTCTTATGATCAAGATGTCTGACCAGAACAGGCAGAAATAGTTGTTCATTACCTGCATAACGCCAATTAGTGTTACGTACCTATGATATTCAAAAATACATTTCGCTGAAAGCTAGCTATCAACATTGAAGAGTTAGCTACATTCTATCTTTCTAAAAAACTTACTGTGCAAGGCTAGACACAAACCCAACTTGGGATGAATTTGTCAGAGGCAGTGCTAAAAAACAAAGGGAGGAAAACAACAATAGCTACAGAAGAAACGAAACATGACACGACCCGTGAGCCAGGAGTACAGTCTAAGGTCTGTAATGACATGATGCTATATTTCGGGAACGTTCGGTAGGGACAACAACTGTCCCTACCGAACGAACAACAACGCCCGAAACAGCAGGGTCTTAAGACGACATACGAAGAAGGATCTACATGTACCTGATTTTTCCATAGAGTGTTGCATGTCGCGTAAAACTGCCAGTGCGAGTCCCTTCTCAACTGCCCAATGATCATATCCATCAAAGTACCGGAACATAGGCTCCAGAATTCTTCTTACTGTAGTAGCTTCCTTGGCCAAACGCGCCATATTTTGAACACAAATCTGTGACCAGACCTTTGGTGTCTCTGTCTCAATCCTTGTCAAATTTGAAGGGTCTTTGAAGTAACTGCTGTCCTTGTTCGACTGAAGTTTCGTCAATGCCCCACGCATAACTGCCACAGGACCCCTACCCTCAACCTTGAGAACCTCCTTGACCCAATTATGATTTGTTTCAGTTCTCTCCTGAGATTCTGCTTCTTGATCAGGAACCGGAGCTTCATAGTTGTCCAAAATGACTGCCACAATCTGTACAACAAGAAAGGAATTTTAGGCTCTTCTTACGACTTCCTGATCGTTACAAATCTTCCAAATAAACTGGGAAATCTTCTTCTACAAACACAGATGCGAGAAAATAACCGTCACAAACAAATCCTCTTTATCCACATCATCTTCTGTTCTGAGAAAGGCAATGGTGGAAGACATGACGAAAAAGTAACTCACGTCTTCAAATTCTGAAGGCATGTGGGAGTACTTCCCCATGAAAGTGATCTGCGGACACACGATGAAGGTGAGCTTCACAATGACTCAAAATCACTGCTGCGACATCGCATTCATAGCACAGGATCCTCTTCTCTTTAAGCAAAATGATTATGGAGTACAAGAAATACGTCTTTCCCCATGTGGAGAAGTATTGAACCCTTTGTTGTGAAAAAAGTACGTGGAGTATGAGTAAAACAATCTGAAGCTTGAGTGGGCAAGGAGAAAATGCTTCACCATGGCCGAGAGCGATTGCAAGCCAGCAGCACGTAAGGGCATGCGTCTCCGTTCTTCTACTGTCTCGCGACTAAGAGCGCACAACTTTGGCAGGAGAGCGTCTAGGTTGCGCATATACGTGGCATCAGTCTGCAGCCAGAAGTTTTAGGACGTGATTATGTAGAGAAATGAAGGGCTTCTTGGCTATCATAGCAGGAGCGCCACCACGTTTGAATGAATAACATGAACCTACAGTATGCGACAAAAAAGGGCATAAAAACGAAAAAGATAAAGGGCATTCCACACCAATCAAGATGAAGAGATTCACCACACACGTACCTGGTTACTGACAAAATCAACCACACTGAGACAACCAAGAATGCGCATGGAATCTTGTCGTCCTTGCTCCAAGAGAACTCGTATAATATTCAAAACACTAGTGGCAAACAGAGGCCTGCAATTCAAATCGGCACCACAGAACATAGTCAGAAAGCTGACATATCGCTTTCCAATACTTTGCTGCTTAAGTGCACAATAGAGCAAATTTCCTCTCTTTTCATGAAAGGTTCCAATCAGCACTTCTACAGCGTCCACCGGCCATAAGTGGGAACCTTTGGCACGCTTACTCGCACCAGCAGATACAGAAAAATACAGACAAAGGACTCTGCTGAATTAAGACATTGTCGATGTTTCATATCTTAGTAGTCTAGGTGTAGATGGAGAACGTACAAAAATCGACACCTAGGCCTCTATTGCGAAGGTTTAACTTTGACTCTTTGTCGGAGATGAGTTCACCTCCCAAGCCTCATATATCGTGAGACACTGAGCATGACAGCAAGGAGTACATCACCTTGGCTTTAGGTGTATTACAGATGATACATCCTTTCGCTATCATATCGGCTCAAGATACGAAAAACCAGACAAACCAACACAGCAAACCGGGACCTGTTCCAGCGAGAATCTGGATAGATAACTGCAGTTTGCCTTTCTTATCATTTTCATATTCTCTCCCGAACCGACCACATAGAACTCGACCAGAAAAAGGACCTACATTTGGTCCCTGCATGCCGAGAGAAGCTTGTTGAAGGCTCGCATGACTACTATCACAGTACCGTAATGCTCATGCCTCAACTCCTTGTATCCCCGCTGCTCGAGGCCATTAGCAATCTGCGCAATGCGTCGACCATTTCAGTAACCCTAACACTAACCGCCTCATTTGAGTAAGCATATAGAGAGATACAAATAAATGAAAGTAGAAGTGCGGGAAGGCCACAACAGTGAGAGCTTCAGACAAGTCAATGAAGACTTAAACATTTGAGTGAAATCAGACAACATGTCTGAAGCACGAAAGGGTGGAAAACATCCACAGAGTCGTATTTATGACGCTGATTAGGCATAAGGCTACGTAAGGACAGGTAGCTCCAATCTAAGCGAAGCTTTATCTCGAGCTCCTCGACTGCCTTCAGATGACACGAGGTGCTGGCGCAACGCAGGACGCCCCTACTTAGAAAATCGCCCCTACTTGGAAGGCTCGAAAGGAGATGAAAATCAAATGCTACTCAGAAGCCTTAGCACTTGAGCTCCTTTGAATAGTCCTGGAGGAGTGCTTACAAGCGAGACTTGACTGTGAGCGAGATGGAGTCACGTAATGCTTATTTTGGAACGTAAAAGAGAATGAGTAGGCTGAAGTGAAACCTTCGGAATGCGTAATGGATTCTTGGATGCATACTCGATAAGCTTTGCAATTTTGCGATCGTTCGGTGGTTCATCCTGCAACTCCCGCACCCCATTACGATGAGCGGACTTCAAGGACCTCAAAATCCTCGGCAAGCGCTACAAAATAGACAAACACCTGGTTCGGATATCAAGAAAATTTTCGGAGTCGGAGCAGACAGGTTAAATCATCAACTTGGCAGAGACAACGTCAGAAACTAGCAAAGACCGGAGATGCACCTGCGATTTGGGGAAAATGTCCGAGAGAAGTTTCTTATATCGTTTAACAGGTTGTCGAGATCGTGCTCGCAGCTCTGGGCAGCAAATGCAGAGGCTACCACAAGCTGGCAGCACTCTCCGAGACATTACCCCCATTTTGGCGCAAACAAATTACTGACAGAATATGACCGACCAAAAGATAATCAGCTCGTAGCTTCTGTCGAAAACATGTATTCAGTTCAATTCCACAGTTTTGAGTAATGTGCTCTGATTCTCAATATCCCGTAACTCGCCTCCTGTCCTTCCAAAAAGAATGACTAGCTTTACCCTACAGAAAGTTGGCAGCGTTTCTTCTAATTAGTCGAATAATTGTTCTGTCGAGTCCCGGAAGACTAACAATCCTTGGCTCGTGCGCCCTGCAACTTCAGCACGATAATGTCGGATTGCGCCTGCCTGCCTGCTTCGACCTGTTTTGTTTTCCTCCCACGCTATCTCCCACGAGATTCCTCGTCTCGTCGACTTTCAGGAGCGAGGAGCGCGCTGAAATTTCCAAGCAACACAGAGCCTGAGGATACTACTTCCTCCCGAGACTCAACGACTCGTCCCGCAGGCTCGAGGGGAGACCATACAAGCGTGTGCGCAGGACAGCATCATATCACTCGCCCTCGAGTATGATGAGTGATTGATGTAAGCAGACAGCATGCCCGCATCAAATGTGGCGTGCCTGAGAGCGAGGACCAGAGCGCAGCTGGCCTTTGTGGACATCACCCGAGCCAACAGCGAGCGCCGGGGGCCGCGCAAGAAGGTTTGTATGATGGACAGCAACCAAGTGTCTTCCACTCATTGCTGCTCTGCTCTGCTCTGCCTTCCTCTGCTCGCCTCTGCTCAGGCTCTGCAAACTGCGCCAGCCCAGCCAATCCTCCCGTCGTCGCCCACAGAGACCGGTACAACCCCTTCGTCGCCGAGCCCCGCACTTCATCCACTGCCTCGTGGCAGTCACTCTTCAATGTCCGCTCCTTTTCCCCGTCCGTCCTCCCTCGCCTGCCATCGTAGGCCCCGTGCTGCCATGCGCCTTCACTCCTGCCACGGACGCTCTGCCAACCCGCGCCTCTGGGGCCCAGGCGCCAGGCCCCGTCGAGCTGGGAACGGGAGACCAGGAAAAAGGCCGAGTCACGCCCGCGCCTGCCCGCGCTCCTCAAAACCATCGCCGCTTCCAGGTCAACCCGGGCCACCAACACAGCGACGCAGTGACCGCAGTGCCACCGCTCCACCCTACAGTCGCTCGCTCGTGCTTGTCGCATGTGCAGAGTTTCGGTTAAAGTGGTGCGCGGAAAAGGACCATCCGCCGCGCCCTCGGACGGTCTCCTCCTTCCGTCCACTGTCCTTCTGTCACCGATTCACTCACCCTCGCATCATTCCAGTGGCGCACCGCCCTCCCCCGTTCTACAGAACTGCCCTGACAGCTTTCCGTCGTCACGCATCTCTCCCTCTCTCTTTTCCCCGGTCCACCTACGCAGCCTGGCCTCCCCTCGCCTTTTTTCCTTCGAGGCAGCCAGCCTGCCAGTCACCACCACACTGTACGTGCCTACCTACCCTCTCAACTTTCCCTTCCGCCGGTAAGTTTTGGTCCTGCCCGGCCCTCTCTTCTTTACCCGACCCGGACCCCTTTTGATTCTCCGCCCGTTTCTTCCCGTCCTTTCCACTATCCCACTAATCGGGGCCGACCGTTAAACGCCCCGTTATTCTCGCCTCCCCGTCACTCTACTTCGCTTCCTGTCCATCGACCTCCCCGGGAATTTCTGACGGCTGTCCGCTCAGACTTTCCGACGCCGGAGAGCTCGCTTCTCCGAGGGCCCTCATGTAGCGAGCATCGAAATGTCTCCGCTGGAAACAAATAAAGAATCGGCCGAGAATAAAAACATCTCTTCGATATCGTCTGGGCAGATATTCCAGAAGACTGCTGGGAACCAGATCCACCTCGACCGCTCCTATAGACGACGAGTCTTTCTGCGCTTTTGTCTTTTGTCTTTTGTCTTGTCTGTCGCTTCGCAGGTCAGTCCTCGACTGTAATACTCCGTGAGTGCAGGCTACGGCCTCCGTTCCGCCTACGCGGTTACTCCACCCGAGTTTCTGAGATGGGGAGAACAACCGCTGCCTTCTGTGTTCGGACCGTATCACATCGTCGACGGACTTCGGCATCCGCCTACATTCCTTTCGACTCTGCCCTGCTGTACAGACACTGAGAATGGCAGAAATCACTTTACAGTCAAGAGCGCACTAATTCTCGGTCGTGTACCTCGCTCCTGCTTTATCATAATCTAGATTACTTTCAGGAACTGCTTCAATGCTAGTGCGATGCTTCTATAAAGAACGTCCTTCGATTGGTGATCTACGGCAGGCAGTTGCGGAATCTTAATTCGCGAAGTAGAGTACGTGTGTAATTCACTGTTAATTAGATAACGTGACTGGTACTCTGGTCAAAGTCAGGTTTGCAGTAGTCAAGGCAGCGTAATCGACGCCTGACTCCGTGGGAGGACGACATAAGTCCGATCTGAAGTTCCAATCACTTGATTGTGAAGAACGGCAACCTAACACTAATAATACAGCGTGACATATTCTGAGCAGATGAAGTTATTGGGCGCGCAGAGACTATTGACCAAGTTTAGCGTTCTCAGACTCAGCGCAATCCTCATGATCTTTTAAGATTTCACTCTCTCTGTACAACTCTCATCATCCCCAATTCGTATGTCGTCTTTTACCAATCTTGTTCAACAGCATACGAGGGTTCAACGGTGACCTATACATTTCAAGATTCTTTCTATTCAAACTCCCAACTTCTTACTCATCTACAATCCATTCTTTTAGCAAAAGAAAATCATTTGCGAGAAAGTGCTAAAATCGAGTCTTCGTAAACATCAAAAAGTCATATGTAAAGGTTGCGAAGCACACGGTAGACAACTTTGTTTTGGAAAATATGGAATTGAAATTTGTGAAGCCGAAAGAATGTGCAAGTGGGACCACCTATCTCGTTGTCTGCAAAGTGAAATTTCCTAATTAAGATAGTCTACTTTTACTCACTTTGGTCGAAGCAATGAACTTTGAGTTTCAAATTTTGAATTCAAACAACCCTCAGATACCAGCAGATAATCTATAGTTAGTTGTATGTGAACTTAGGAAGTGAAGATATACTTACTAACTGAAATTAATGTATTTATAATCTGTATGTTTGGTTGAAAATTACAAGTTATACTGATTTTCTGCGCTTGTTAAGTAAATATATCACTTCATCATTCCACTAAGAGTGACTTGGAAGATAAAATGGATTTTTATCTTCTTGTATATGTTGGAAAGAACAATATTAGAAAATAAAATAATTTAAATATGTCATTTAAAGAGTTTATAATTTTATCATTAGAGTTAAATTTAGGAAATTGCTAGGCACACACCCCCCCCCCCCAAAAGAGGTATGACCGCCCGTGACCTTAATAGCACGCTCGGATCGATCAGCTCGGACGTCCGCGAGGCGCGCGGATGACGAGCGCCAGCTGACAACAGCACTCGACGGGATCCGTCCGCGTTCGAACGTGTTCCCACTTAGGTACCTTCCAAACAAAAATTTCAGCGTTACCGCCTTGTTTGCCGAAGCGCCGGCATGTTTGGACCCGTAAACAGCTTTTTCCCCTTGTTTGACGAAGCGCTGGCATGTTTCGATGCAGAAATGTTTAGATTTTGGTGTTTTGACGCAGAAATGTGCTTTGTGGACGAGTGGATGTATGCACATGAGGGGAGGTGTGTGCCTAGCAATTCCCTAAATTTAACATCTTACAATTCAATAACATACTTTGGTATAATATGATATTTATATGTTTACAAAGATATATCCAACTCCCACATGCTTTGTTATAGCTATATTGCAAAGCACTTTTGGCAACTTTTCATCTCGCGGAGTCCATGTATGTTGCTTGTTAAATATCAATACTTTAGTCCAATTTACATTTACCACTTACAATGTTTTCATGATCTATGCATATTTCTTTCCTACATGTGTCATAAATTTTATGAATCTTCTAGAAGTATTTTTTGTAAATGTCATATAATATCATTTAAGTTTTTTCTAGGTATCAAAATAGTGGATAAAAAATTAAAATATAATTTTATTCTACATATTTACAACAAATATTATCTAAAAAACTTATAAATGTAACAGATTCGAAATTGAAATTAGAAATCATCATTAGATATTCAAAGTGATCAAATCTAGTTAAAAAATAATATTGTAAATATCTTGATTCACATTTTGGATTTGATTGCAGCCTGTTAACGAAAAATCAAGAATCATTCACAAGACACTCATATAACGTGGTTCACCCTCGAGGGCTACGTCCACGGCTGGAACACTAAGCAGGTTTACTGACAAGTGAATACACAATGTTTCGGCTACACTAAAAAGCCTTGGCTTTGGAGGTATATTTATACCTAAAGCCAGCGACACACATAACTATAAATAGCTAGAGCCTGAGGTTACTCCTTAATCAGAGTTAACCTCAACAATCTTTCCCTTAACTCGTGTTAAGGAAACAGTAACCTCTGAAACCTATATTATTACTCAACGGGAAGTTCTAGACAGATGCCTATCACAAGGCCCCTCTTTATACGAGAGTTAACTAAAACTAGACCGTAGCCATAACAGGATAGAGTAATAACATAAAGAGATAAATAGAGTTACTATGCTAGCAAAGTTTACATGTGCTCCCTATGCACAACTTGCATGGTAGCACAGTGTCGCCTGAAACTCTCCAATGGAATAACTTTGGTCAAAGCATCAGCTGGATTGAGTTTACCGTCGATCTTTACTAGTTCAATCGTTTTATCAGACACTGCTTGTCTGATAAAATGATACGTGATGTCAATGTGCTTCATTCTGCTATCCATGACCTGGTTCGCGGCCAAATGTAAAGCGCTCTGACTATTACAATGAAGATTAACCACGCCCTGCTTCAATTCCATTTCCATGATAAGCCTATCCAACCAAATAGCTTCCTTTGCCGCTTCTGCTGCTGCCACATATTCAGCTTCCGTTGTTGACTGAGCTACGCATTTCTGCAAGGTAGACCTCCAACTAATGCTTCCACCGCCAAGTGTAAATACATACCTAGTTGTAGATCTCCTTTTATCTAGATCTTGTCCGTAGTCAGCATCAACGTAACCAAACAAGGATTTGGCATTGTCTAATAGACCATCAAACAATAAGTCATAATCCAGAGTACTCTTCAAATATCTAAAAATCCATTTCACTGCTTCCCAATGAACTTTCCCAGGATTTGACATGTACCTGCTCACCTTGCCCATCGCAAAAGCAATGTCCGGCCTAGTGCACACCATCAAATACATGAGGCTGCCTACAGCTTGTTCATAGGGAACACATGACATATTTCCTTTCTCCACCGCATCCGTAGTACATTGAGCTGCAGAGAGTTTGAAATGTGCTGCCAAAGGAGTCCATTGGAATCCATCATGTTGAACCTGTCAAATATACGACGAACATACTTGCCTTGACTCAACCATAGTTTCTTCTGCTCATGATTTCTATGTATCTCCATGCTTAATATTCTCTTTGACTCCCCCATATCCTTCATCTTAAATGCAGACTTCAACTTACTCTTGCATTCATCAACATCGGATTGGTTTTTTGCCAATATGAGCATATCATCAACATAGAGTACTAAAATGATGAGATTGAACGTCTCATCATTTACCTTCTTCATGTAAACACAAGGATCATACACACTCCGAATAAATCCTTGTGCCTTCATGAACTGATCAAATCGCGTGTTCCCCTGCCTATGAGCTTGCTTCAATCCATACAATGATTTCAATAATCTACAAACCACCCTCTCTTTGCCTTTGACCTCAA